CTTGGATATAAAATAAAAAGCTAAAAAATACATATCTTTTAATGGCAGCTGCTTTATTCTCGGCTATTTGTCTCTTGCCATCGTCCTCATCATCATTATCACTATTATTATTTTACCTTTTTTTTCATCATTATTATGATTGCTATTTTTTTGCTGTTTTTATTATGATTGCCATCAAATTGAGCTTAGACACACTCCTGATGATGATGATGATGATGGCTAAATCCGTTTTTACAATCAATAGAGGCTAATGTTGAACTTTTCAGCTTTTGATTCATCCTTTTTAGCATCTTCATCTTTTTTTGCTCCTCCTTTCCTCTCCTATACAAAGGTAACTGGATTCCTCTTTTTACCTTGTTTTTGATCCATTTATAGGATGCCAACTTTTGGTCCATAATCAATAAGAGCAAAATGGTGATGTTGATGACCAGGATGATGTAAGGAAATCAATGTAAATTCAAGTTATAGGTACATGAGGTTGTTTTTTTTGGTTTAATGATCATTTGTTCACAAGATGTTTACATTGGTTTAGTTTGCTTGAGCTGTTTAACATCTAATATTTAACCATTACAGGTAATGCTGAATTTTCGGCATCCGTTATATCAATAATAATGATTGCAGGTTTGAATAAATTTCCCATTTCATGTTAATTGATTCTTTTCTTTGGCTGTTGATGTCCTTTCCTTTTCAATTCATCATTAAAATGGAAATTCTGTTTATAATGATGATAATGATGATGATGATGATGGTGGTGGTGGTTGCTGAAGAAATGCTCTGAAGGAAGTCACCTATAAATGGAAGATGGGTGATGCAGGGGAAGATGATGCAGGGGAAGATGAAAGGAATGAAATAGTTTCCATTGGAATGGGAGTGATTTTTGAATTTTCTTATTCTTACAGTACATGGTTAACTCCTCCTATTTCATTGAAGATGTTTTATTCTGCACCAGGTAAATGATGAAAAGTGTAATGAAAATGGAAGCAAAATTTGAACAATCAATGTTACCTTCAATTGTAGTTTATTTATGAGCTGTAAATAAATCACTTAGTTTCAATTGAATTGCTTCTCGTCCCTTTTGTTTCTCTCTCTCTCTCGTTCCTTCGAGTCATTAAATGTTCAAGTAATAAAATGTTTCAAATGATTGAATGCTGGTGACAAAGGTAGAGATTGGTGTTGAGCCATTGACCAGAAAAGGTGATAGGAAAATTCAAGGGAAGAGGAAGGTAGAGAAAAGTTGATGATATTCACAGCTTATTTCCCTTTTGGATGGTCATTCATCTTTTCCAATTATTATCAGGTATCCAGTGTCCATTTATTATAAGCCAGGGTATCCAGTTACACCTTTAATTTTGAAACCATTTCGTAATTATTCTTCTCTCTGTGATTGCTTTTCCATGTAATGGGTGGACTTCAGTTTGGAGCACAATCAAACTGATGAAACTTTATTCACTCCTGTGTAGTCAATAATGTTGTGACGTCTATCTCAATTAAATGAATGTATTCATACCAGAATGATATCGAGAAAGAAAAGTTCACAAAAAATAAACATTTTTCTGTTGTTTATTGGTTAGCTATTTGCTTTCATTTTCAAAGTAAACAAGTTCAGTGTAAGTTGGAGTTTGATTAGATCACATAGAATCACAGAATGCTTTCTGGTTAAGACGAGTTTAAATCCAAAACTTTTCATGCAGTTATGTCTCAATGTCCATTGATGCACAAATTGACACAAAAGAGTAAAAATCAATTACTTTCAAATTTAGATTCTGTTAGTTAATGTTGGTGCTATTAAATAATCTCTCCGATCGACAGTTTGCGAGAAAATCGAGTTCAAAGTTAAAATTTGGATCGCCTTATGTTCAACTATGGAGGCAGATTTTTTCATCAAACTCATTTAACTGATGTGACTTTTGATAAATCAAGTCTCAGACAACATAACTTATACAGTTATACAGTCAATTTATACAGTGACCTAACTTTTTTTCAGAATCTTGAATAGTTTAATACTTCAATATATCATAGCCCACAATGAAACCTAATGTTTGGCCAAGACTGTTGATTGTAGATGATACCGTTCACGAAATATTGAGGCTCAAAGTTTTAAGACCAATGGCCAAAATCAAGAGAACTGTTGTTAAATTGAAAAAAGTATTCAATCAATGATTTGAAGGAACAATTTTTATGGGCAAATAATAAGTTTCAGCTCGATAACTTTATGGTCACAGAAAGCGATTGGTTTAACTAAAAATTGAACTTGATCTGTTTTACAGAAAAAGAAAAAGTTATTTCTTGAAATAGGACCATTTTCTGGTTGTTCATCAAAAGTTACATCAGTTGAATGAGTTTCATGAAAAAATCTGCTTCCGTGATTGTACAAAAAGCGATGCAAGTTTCAACTTTGAACTCGATTTTCTCGTAAACTGTCGATTGGAGAGATTATTTAATAACACTAACATTAACTAACAGAATCTAAATTTGAAAGAAATTAATTTTTTACCCATTTTTGTCCATTTGTCCAGTATTTGTGTCTATTTGGGCATAAATGTGACAAGCGTTTGAATTGTGTCTTTTAGCACCAACCTTTTTCAATCGTGTGGTACATTTATAGACATTGAGACATAATTGAATGAAATGTTTTGGATTTTATAAACTCGTCTTAATCAGATCGTGCGATACATTTGGTGATCACCTTTCTCGACTTTTTCACCTATTTCTTGGTGTTAAGGTGGGAAAATATTTTATTCTTGGTGTTTTGTGTGTTTAAGAAATTTTGATTGAAGTTGGACCTTTTTTAATTTCATCCATTCAAAGAGCATTGTCTTGTTTTGAAACAATAGTCACTGAAGATTGAGTCTGGATTGATAAAAGGGTCTTTGGGTTTGATAATAAGCTTATGTGGTTTGTAATTATTTGTCATTTGCTTGTTCATGGTTGGTTGTAATTTGTTGGCCAGTTTGTCAGCTATTTTGTTCAAATCGCTGTTTTTTGTGGTACCAGTGCTGTCGCCTTTGGCCTTAGTCGATCATAAAATTACAGTTTATTTAAGTCAACCGTAAATTATCGTGAATTTATGGTAAGTAGTTTGTTTTAGTTTAACTGTGTCTGTGTCTCTCTTCGCGTGAGAAACAGTTGGTTACCGAGTTACCGGTAATGTTAATGGTCTTGGTTTTTTAACTATCATCTAAATCAGTTTATGTTTATTTTATTTCAATTAAATTCAAGTGGAGTGTCTACAACGAAATCAAGATTCCTCTTGATCACCATAGTTCTAATCATCTTCATCTTCATCCCCTCTCCATACAAGTCCGACCAATGGATCATCATCAGTTGGAGCCTAAATCCAAACCTGGATCTGCTCGTAAATTGGTTATCAAAAATTTTTCCAAACCTTTATTACCCGTTAACTATCTCGAGGACACATGGTCTAAACTTAAATTTGCAGTAATTGCTATTCAAACATCCAAAGCCATCGCAATGCCTTTAGAAGAATTGTATAAAGCGGTTGAAAATATTTGCTCTCATAAGATGGCCTCTCAATTATATTCTAATCTGGAGCAGCTTTGTGAGGCACATGTTAAACAAAATATTAGCCAGTTTATTGATTGTTCTATGGATTCGTTGACTTTCCTTAAAACGATGGATACCTGTTGGCAGGATCATTGTCGTCAAATGGTACTAACCGAGTTATTCCATTTCTTATTTGAGTTGACTTACAGCTGTTGACAAAATTTTTTTCAATAGCTCACCTTAAAAAGCATTATTAACAGGACTTGGTTAGCACATCTTTACTCATTATTTTTTTCCTTTTTTCTTTACAGATAATGATAAGAAGCATATTTCTTTTCCTCGATAGAACTTATATTCTACAAAATGCAGCCATAACATCAATCTGGTAATTGTTTTAAATAGTATTCTTTGCAATTAGACTCTAGCCCAACTTTTCATCTCCCTTTTACGGACTCATCCCATTCAAAAGTTTCTCTTTCTTTCATTGACCCTTCATCTTTTTTAATATATTTTTTTTCAATTCTTTAACAGGGATATGGGCTTAGAAATGTTTAGAGTTAATATTATCAGTAATTGGCAAGTTCAGAGTAGAACTGTCGATGGGTTACTGCAACTAATACACCAAGAACGCCAAGGAGAAACTGTTGATCGTTCATTGCTGAAAAGCTTGTTGCGTATGCTTTGTGATCTCCAAATATACCAAGAAGTGTTTGAAGGTAAATTTTTAAAGGCCACAGAAGAACTGTATGCAGAAGAAGGCCAAAGGTTGATGCAAGAATTGGAGGTAGCAGCATACTTAGCGCATGTTGACAAACGAGTTAATGAAGAAACTGAGAGACTTCTACACTATTTGGACCATTCTACTCGGAAACCATTAATCACCTGTGTTGAAAAGCAGTTAATTAGTGAACATTTATCGAGTATACTTCAAAAAGGTCTAGATCAGCTCTTGGATGAGAACCGACTGGACGATTTAACACTCATGTATAATTTACTATCCCGAGTGAAAGAAGGATTAGTTGAATTGTGTACACATTTTAATCAATATATTAAGAAACGTGGTAAAGTGATCGTGACCAATCCTGAAAAAGATAAAACTATGGTTCAAGAATTACTCGATTTTAAGGATCAAATGGATCTCATTGTGAATCAATGTTTCAATAAGAATGAAAAATTTGTTAACTCGTTGAAAGAAGCCTTTGAACATTTTATAAATCAAAGACCTAACAAACCAGCTGAATTAATAGCAAAATTCGTCGACTCTAAACTCAGGGCAGGTAACAAAGAATCCACCGAAGAGGAATTGGAGAGGCTTTTAGACAAGATTATGGTGCTCTTCCGTTTTATTCATGGTAAAGATGTTTTCGAAGCCTTTTATAAGAAAGATTTAGCTAAAAGACTTTTAGTCGGCAAGTCAGCATCTGTGGATGCAGAAAAGTCAATGCTATCCAAATTGAAACAAGAATGTGGAGCCGGTTTCACAAGCAAACTAGAAGGAATGTTTAAAGACATGGAACTATCGAGAGAACTCAATCTTGCCTTCAAACAATACCGTTCAAATGCCAAGTCAAAAGCTGTTTCCAGTATCGACATGACAGTTAATATTCTCACAATGGGCTATTGGCCAACTTACCCGGTGATGGAGGTTCATATGCCTTCCGAAATGGTTCAATACCAAGAAATGTTTAAAAAATTTTATTTAGGTAAACACAGTGGACGTAAATTACAGTGGCAACCAAATCTCGGTCATTGTGTCTTGAAAGCTCAATTTCCTTCGGTAAGATATTTGCATTAGTTATGACTTAAGTTTTTTTCATTTCTGAATCATAATCATTTCTCAATTTCTTATTTTTACAGGCATTAAAAGAATTGAGTGTGTCTTTATTTCAAGCTTTAGTACTTATCCTGTTCAACGACAGAGATAGACTGTCTCTTGAAGAAATTAAACAATTAACTACAATAGAAGATGGTGAATTACGTAGAACGTTACAGTCTTTGGCTTGTGGTAAAGCTCGAGTTCTTCGTAAACAGCCTTCAGGTCGTGATGTTGAGGATGGAGATAGATTTATTTATAATGCTGAATTTAAGCATAATTTGATCAGAATCAGAATAAACCAAATTCAATTAAAAGAGACTGTAAGTATTATTTCTTGAAAAATTATGTTTGATTTATTTGTATTTGTAACTGAATTAAATTTTCACCTTTTTTTTGTTAACAGCAAGAGGAGCAAACAAACACTCAGGAAAGAGTTTTCCAAGATAGACAATATCAAATTGATGCTGCTGTTGTACGGATTATGAAAACTAGAAAATCATTGACTCATACTAATCTTATTTCCGAACTTTATGATCAACTGAGATTTCCGGTCAAGGTAATTATTCTCATCATCAAAATACTCACTCAAAAGAGTATTACCGAACAAAGCATCATGGTCTGAATTGAGTTTCGAGTCATTGAAATTTTGATCTGATTTAAGGTATTTTATTGAAGAAGTTGATTTAAACAGAAAGAAATCAGAAGAATTCCACAATTAATGAATAACGTGATAAACACATCTGAAAATCTGTCTGAATTCACTTAATTTTGTGAGAGTAAAATTAAGAAATCGATTTAAAAATCTTTAGATGTTGCAATTTTATGAAGCTCAATTCAGCTTTGGGCTATCAAATTAGTGAAGGGCGATATCCATTTCTCCGATAACGATATCAAGTTTAGACCAAAATAATCACCGATATTTATCGATATTTTTATTAAAATTTAATATTGGTTTCAATCGTTGAAATTCAATGGACGAACTGCAATATCGTTAAATATCGACAATTGCTATCGATATGAATATTATCGCCCATCTCTACATGAAACCCTAACATGTCATGATCATTTACAATTCTAACATTTACCTTTATTTTTATTTTTCTTTCTCTTCGCAGCCTCTTGATTTAAAGAAAAGAATAGAGAGTTTAATAGAAAGAGACTACCTGGAAAGAGATAAGGAAAATCCTAATTTGTACCATTACCTTGCTTGAAATCAAAGCTAAATTCATCGTGATTTCATTGTGATACCAGCTTCTATTGAGTTTTTTCATCCCTTATTAAATATGGGATTAATTGCTCTAAATTAGTAAACAAAACATAATAAGTGTTCACCTCATTAAAAAGTGAAAAAGAATATTTGTTGTAAACAAATCGATTAATGTTTACTTTTATTCCGTAAATTGGTGCCTGTACAGTTTAATAAAAGTAAATCGTTTAAAATACCAAATGCAAAAGGGAAAAAAAATTAATTTAATTGACCCAGACGTGATTTGAACACGCAACCTTCTGATCTGGAGTCAGACGCGCTACCGTTGCGCCACTGAGTCGATTTTAAAGATATTTGTCATAAGTTATTGAATAACAACACCTTGTGAAATTTTGATCAATTCCGATTCATTGTTCCTCCGAAAATGTAAACAATTGAAATGAAAATACATTAACTATTGTGCTGTGCTGTTTGTGGAACCTAGAACATCTGCCTATTCAGATGCATGGAGAGCTTATCAAAATTGAAATAATTGGATCGTTGTATTGTCGATTTGTGCAGTAAGTCCGCGCAATTTTCACCTCTATTTTCGCTGTTAGTGAACTCGCTGTAAGATATGGTGAACAAAGTGTTCTATATTCTGCAGCTACGAGAACAATTGGCTGAGCAAATCAAGCGTAAAAAGTTACATCAATAGATTATAAATAAAAGATGCAAAAATAAGCAATTAAAGTTAAGGTTGTGCGAAAGTCCGCAAGCTCACTTTTTTTCATGTTAAGCTGCAGCTTGTTTAGCTTAAGAAGAAACTCAAATAGCTGAGGATTAAAATGTAAAGCGGCATCTATGGGATAATCAAGTTCTTAGTAGTTCTTAACTTGCTTTACATTGGTAATCCAAAAAATCTGTTTATTTAAGCTAGATTATTCCTTATTAGAATTACGTTCAAGCTTTTCAAATTTTAATGATTTAAAGAAACTTGAAAATTCAAACTAGAATTGTTATTAGAGGAAACCTAGATTTGTATAAAAATGTAATTAACAAGACAATTATTTTCTCCATCTTTTGCTCGACCTTTATGTTATATTATGTAATATTTACAATTATTTGGTTTCCCTTTTTCAAATCTACCATGGAAATTTGACCATGGCTTTTAACTCATTAAAGTTGTAGGTTTATCTTTACTAATTGTAACAATTGCATCAACGAAATTCATCTATTTAAATATTAAATTCTCCGTTTGTATTAGAACCTGGTTTAGTCAATTTCTCATTGCGTCTCAATCTGAATTTTGTTATTGCGAGCGATGCTGAAGCACATCTTATCTCTTTTCGATTGCCATTTGATATTGATTTTGAATAAAACATAAAGTCCAAACCACCTTTTGCTAACGGTCAAAATTACTAAATTGTTGAGACCATTTTAAACATTTTTTATGATTGAATTGCGGTTGTTGTCAATAGAATCTGGATTAATGCTCTTGAGAAATTTTCATCTAAACTTGATCATTTTTCGTGCTTTTGTTAACCAAAATATCAAATTGTTTCAATCCTCTCATTGATGACACAACAAGTTGGCTTAAGATTTCAAATGAGAATCAATTGATCATTTAAACAAATTTCCACTGTTTCATCGATTGGTTCACCTGCAAAAGGCAATAAAAAGCATTTGAATCAGTTTGGTCCTATTTTTTCGTCATCAATTAGAGGAACAATTTGATATTTGCATAGCAAAAGCACAAAAAGTGGTCAAGTTTATATGAAAATTTGTCGAGAGCATTTATCCAGATTCAATGGTGACCATTCTAACGAATCAATTCTTTCAATTCGATTGCATTCTCTTAAAGATTAGACTCTGATTCTGAGATAATTGGTAATGATGATTCATCCATTTGCTCTAATGATTTATTGATCGACTTTACCGAACGAAGCCCTTTTCATCAAAATCGGGTTCTGGTATTAATCCTCTGAAAAGCAGACAATCGGCAGATACAAATTAAAACTTACAAATCAACAAGTAATGATAAAACTATGAAAAGCTCACAAAACTAGTCAGAAAAACCTTCATAGCGAAATGTAAATCTGGTAAACTGGAGTCCAGCTTTTATGTTAGACTTTAATAGGTAAGTGCGTTGGTTCTAGACCAGAAATTTTTGTTCATTTGGGAAGAACATCGATAAAAATTCATCAAAAATAGACTCATTTCACAATAATAGATGGCGTTTGAAGAGCATCGATCAGTTTAATGTTTATCTTCATCAAACATCATTGCATTGATCATTTAAGTTTCACGACCAAAGCTAACCTCTTCACATTAGATGATGTTTCAAAATGAAGCTGAATTAAAGTGTATCGATAATTATAAAAGTTTAAAATTTTAGTTATTTATTTATAATTGAGTGTGTTGCCCTCTACCAAAATGCTTGCTAAACTTGGGCTGTTTTCAAGTAACTAACTGTCTACTTTTTTCTCCTTCTCTCTCTTTTCATCTTTCTGTAAATTCCTTTTCATCTGCCAGTCCTGAAATGAATCCGAGTTCTTGTGTTATTGTTATGAGTTACCAGTTTCGATAATTTTATTTTCCTACCAATTCTCAGTTAAAGCATCAACTTTAATCAACACCACTGTGACCCTCTGGTTTTCTGTGTTTCCATCAACAACATGGCCGATAAAAGAAAACTTCAAGGTACGCTTTTCACCTCTTGTCCCTTTCATCCTCTTTCTTTATGTCTCTTTTGATGTTTCTTTTTCTCATCACTCTTGATCTCAATCTTTTCACTCTTTAAGAATGTACATAAATGTATTTCTTTTATAGCCCTCTGTCTGTCTGCCTGTCTTTCTTTTTTTAAAACCATCTTATTCTCCTCTTGACCGTCTATTGATGACATACCATCCATTCACTAGAATAGACGCTGGTTAGTCTTCCATTAGTACATTTGCATAGCTTAAGCTGAGTCCAAAAATGCTATGGAGAAAAGATTTCCCAAGAAACCTGTGACACAATAATTTAAACTGCTTCAATCACCAGCCAACTGGTTTGCCTCTCATTTAAGGATCATTTAAATTCTCAAGATTACTTTTTCATTTGTTGCCTTGTCTAGTTTTTTTCTCCGTTCTTCTTGTGCTAGCTTTTATTGAGATTCAAGTTAGATATTTCACTTCTAGTCAAGCATGAATATAACGAAGAAATACAAATCTAAATATTATTTTAACAGACTCATGTACATCTTGAGTATCCTTTCCAACTTCATCATTCAAGTCCATTTCATGAACATTTCTCATCCTTCTTATTACTGTTTACCCCTTCAATTAACTTCTTAACATTAACATTTCTGGTTTCAATTGCTTGTTATTGTTATAAGCTTATTGAGAATCTGATTCGATCGTTAACTCAGTCAAAATTCCATGCTCATGAACTGTCATGTTTACTTCTAACAAGACTGCTTCTCTTTCTTTTCCCATCTCCATTTTACCTTTAATCACTGTAATTTTTTCGCCATAACCTTTTCATATTCATAACCAAGAAGAGCTGTTTTGATTGAAAAAATTAGCTCCACTTACTATCTTTATTAGAAATACTTTTCGCAGAAATTCGCGTTTTTTGTTGAAGTTTTTTTTTGTGTAATCGTCTTTAAGGTTAATTAAAAAAGGAAAAAAAATCATGTATGATTGGCATTATAAGAAGAAAAAAAATGAAAATTGAAAACCTTGATTTGCTGTACAGTTGCTGAATAACTTTTTTGGGACAGATACAATCAATTTGTGACTCTATTTAGCTAAAGACTACTTAACTAACAATCTTGAACTTTTACCATGTTTGTGATCATCAATAATATTAACATTTATCAATAAAACAAATTTCAATTGATTTGTTAGTAAACAGCTTTTAATATTTTTGCCATTCTTTACATTTACAATTGAATTATTATGAATCTTGACATGACAATGACCAGACTACTAACTGTTAGATGAATTATCATTTCAATGTTTCTAGTAATTAATCTCTTCTTACTTGTTTAACTTGTATTTTAATTACCTTTGACCTAATTTTAATTCGCCTTGTGTTGTCAAAATCATCATCATATCAATAAACTAATGGAAAGTTTCCCTATTCACTTTTTTTGCTATGAAACTCTCACCGTACTTTGAGAGACTTTAGTTTTCAGCTGAAAATTTAAGCTTAATCTATTTCACACTTTCCTTGTGAATCAATTCAATGCATTCATGAACTTATTTACCATCTGATTAATTTAAAACTAATGAACATGAGTTCAACGTTTTCTAATTTAAGTTTAGACGACTTTTCAATATTTGACTGACATTTTTCAAACAATAATTAACTTAGACAAACTGAACCATAATTTGCAGCCTCAAAGTATGCAAATCAATGATCACTTTGTGTGAACATATGATTAATTAATCAATGTCTTTATTTTCTGCCAGGCTGAACAACAGGTTCATATTAAATTAAATTGTGTATTAAGTGACTCAAATTGATTAGCTTAGGGTAGGTCAAGTTTTGGTGTGAATCAATTGATTTCCAGGCTCAAACTAAATTCTGGCTAAAAACCAATTTGTAAATTTCCAGCTTCTCGGAAACTCAATTGCTCCTCTAAAATTGAGCCTCAAGAACTAACCAAATTCAACAATTGAATCAGTCTATGCATCAGTTTGGTGCAGTTAAGGTTGAAATAATTTGGCTCAATTGATAGACAACCCCTTTTGAGTTTGTAAGTCCATTTGACGCCAAGAGGAATTGCAGATGATGGCGATTTTCTTGCAACATTTGAACTCTTTGTCTCATCCTCTTTACTTTGACTTCTATGGGCTAACATCTTGCCTAAATATTGTCAATTATTTCAAAAACGTGATGATCAAAGTGTCTCAAGTTTATTACTTGCAAGCGACTCAGAAAACCTTCTTGATCCTTTCATCCTTCCCACACCAGTAATTCATATGTGTGAGCGTTTTTAATACACGCTGAACTTCATCCATCATTCAATGAACAATTTTGCTTTCTAAGTTTACTTGTTGATTGAGTCTTTGTTTTTGTGTGTGTCTTTCCTTTCCTCACCCTTACGCTTGATGCAATTTTATTATTTGTTAGACAACAAAAAGTTTAAATCATCTGTTGATTGACATTCTTATTTTGTTTCTTTTATTCTTCTGGTTACAGGAAGCATCATCTTAACTGTGCTCGATGGTCCATACACATAACGGTGGCTTGAGGTATTATCCGGAGTTCTTTGGCTCTCCCCATTCATTAAAGGTGATCATCAACTTCATTTTTTATCTCCTTTTCTGGCTACCTTGAACTCCTTTCCTGTATTGTCATTTGGTTGACTGATTTCCTCAAAGAGTAATAGCAAGAGAGAGCACGTCAATGAGAGCTATAGATAAGAGAGATAAGAAGTTAAAAGGTGACGGAAAAGAGGGAGCTAGCAGCGAGAAAGAGATGTTGAAAGAGACGAAAAAATGACAAAAAAATAAATGTAAACAAATTTTTTGATGAGAAAAAGTTGAAAAAAATTAAAGAAAAATTAAAAGGGTTGTTAGTGGCGCCATCGCGTCCGAGACCTTTTCCCTATCCTTATCTCAAAAAGATAATTAACATTGCATGCTACCTCTTGTTATACTCTTTGGATTTCCTCCAAAAACTTTTTTTTAAAAAAATTTTTCTTTCTCTTTCTCTCTCACTTTCTTCTCTTGCTCAACTTGGAAACTTATTTCTTCTTTGTTTTTCTTTTCAGCACTTCATCAATTTATCTGTGTTTTAAGATAGCAAATTTGATCGACCTCAGGAAATACCAAGCAAGTTCACAGAAAACAGTTAATGAAAGGTTGAAAAGGAAGGCTGCAAAAATTGTACTCTTATCAACATCTATCTCTTCTGGTATCTACCGGTTCACTTTTGGTCCAGGAAAAGTTGAATTAAAGCAAATCAACCATCAATAAGTGTCAAACAAAACAATCATTATCATCACCAAGACCATTCCTTTTAGTTTTTAATCAAACATTCTCAAAAATCATTCAACAAAGGATTATCATTTCTTTCCAATTATTGGTTGACATTATCAAAAAATTGTCATTATTATTTGATATACATTTGTCCATTTCCATTTTAGTGTTGATTTTTTCTTTTAATCAACAATCATTCCTGATAATCAATTTTAACTCTTCCAAATGCATTACTCTACATCATTCAACTGCAAGAATGGTCCATCATTTCCTCACCGGACCCATGAAGAGGATATTTATGAAGATTTGTGCTACGTTACACTAAGGATTGGTAAAGATGTTTTGGAAGAAGATGAGACTTCTATCATTGATTCGACCCCGTTGGAAAATAGAGACTACTGTATTCGAGAATTGGTGGAAACCGAGAAAAATTATGTTGAAGCTTTGAATATGATTATACGACATTTCGTGCGACCATTGAAGAAAATTTTGGACGCAAAGGATAAAAAGATAATTTTCAATCACATTAAAGAGCTTGCTGACATACATTCGGGATTCCATCGTGATCTGTGCAAAGCAGCCTCAACTTCATCCAATGGGTTTAGAATAAGCAATTGTTTTCTCAGTTGGAAAGATCAGTTTGTTCTGTATGGTGATTATTGTGCCAACTTGCCTCGTGCTCAGGGTTTAATTGATGAACTCTGTTCTAAACATAATGTTATCCATGAAGCTGTCTCTCGCCACGAAATGGAAGCCAATGATGGTAAATTTAAATTACGAGATTTACTGTCACTTCCCATGCAAAGAATACTCAAATACCATTTGTTTCTCAAGGAGTTGATTAAAAATACCCATGAATCTCATGACGACTATTATGGTTTACAACAAGCGTACGAAGCAATGATTGACATAGGAGATTACATTAATGAAGTTAAACGTGATAGTGAGACATTGCAAATTATTGCTGGTATTCAAGTTAATATTGTTGATCTCGATATGCCTGAAAACACGGAACTTAAAGATTATGGGAGATTGTTACGAGATGGTGAGGTTAAAATTAAATTTAACGATGAAAAATGTTTAAAAAGTCGTTATGTTTTTGTATTTGACAAAGTTATGTTAATGTGTAAATCCTTGAAAGGTGAACAATTCAGTTACAAAGAAGCTCTCATTTTGAGTGACTTTTCGGTCGATGATTGTTCACCTTCCTCCACTGGAACAATCAAACATTTTAAAGACAAATGGAGTCATCATTGGTCCTTAGTTCACAATCAAGCTCGTTTCACTTACACCTTTTACGTTAAAAGTGATGATTTGAAAAGAAAATGGATTGAAGCTATTGATAAAGGTTTGGATAATGTGAATCCAGTTGCTTGTCAAACTGGATCAACGGATCATGTTTTCATATTTTACACATTTCCAAAGCCTCAGAATTGCGGTCATTGTGATAAATTGTTACCTGGTCTCTTCTTTCAAGGTTACAAATGTACAATATGTGAGATATCTGTTCACAAATCGTGTATTCCGTTAGTTAAATCTTGCGGTGAATTAACTCTTCCTCCAAGACCACCTTTACCTTCCAGTAGTCCATCTGTTATATCGGCTTACTCTGGTGAAGATGAAGCTTTCCTCCAACAACATTCACCGGTTGATTTCATCGCTAAATATGGTCAACACCATGGACTAACAAATGGCACTTTATTGTGGCCTCATGAAACCAAAGTAAAAGCCATTACATCTTTCGATGGTGAACCCAATCGAAGTGAACTTTCCTTTCAAATCGGAGATGTTTTACTTATCACCAATCCTAAACCTGATGTCAGTAACAATGACGGAAAATGGCTCGAAGGGGAACTTCTTAGGACTGGTGTAGAGGGATTATTTCCCGCTGACAAAGTCCAGCCAATTCTTTGTAACCACTCTAGATCATCTTCATCTTTTGATGATTCAACATCTACCACAACAACAACTCTTACCACAACCAACTCTAATATAAACAACAACAATAATAACAATTTTACCAACCTTCAACACCATCATAGTAATAATAATAGTTTTAATAATAGTGATGATGGGAACTCCAATAACGATAATATCAATAACAACATTAATAATGGAAACAGTAATAACAAAAATGGTAATCTGTTATGTCCAAACTATGTCAATTTAAATTTGGAGGAACATCTCTGGTTTGCTGGAACAATGGACAGAAACACAGCTCAAACGGTTTTGGAAAAAATGCCCAATTCAACATTTCTACTTCGGATTAGTCCCAATCAACGAGGAAACTATGCTATCAGTTTAAACTGTAATGGTATTGTTAAACACATGAGAATATGTAAAACCTTGGAAGGACAATATTACCTGTCAGAGTCCAAATTTTTTGACACAATGGAAGAGCTGGTCAATTGGTATGAGGAGCGAACATTGGCTGAAAGTTTTTCTGGACTTAATTTGAAATTAGGTATTCCATATAAATCAGTATTGACGCCGGTTCCTCCAATTGGTTATGCAATTGCACTATACAGTTTCACCGGTAACTCGGCAAACTTGTTATCGCTTCGAAGAGGTGATTATATAGCTATTCTCAGTAAAACTGGAGCTGAAAAAGGCTGGTGGAAAGGACAAATTGGACAAAGGATTGGCTATTTTCCTTTTGCTTATGTTAGTGAAATCAAAGATTGAGGACAAACTATTATAATTGTTTAGTAGATTATGAGAAAAGCCAAAAGATTTTCGGGAAACAAGATATTCAAGAATTTAAAGTCAACCTGACAACACGACTATGTTTGTTGTTATTGTTGTTGTGAATGATCCTGTTGTCCATATTTAATTGTGATTTTCAAATGAAGATATCAAACTCGATGATGATGGCTCTTGAAAGAAACAGTCTTTTCGCTCATTATTCCCATAAAAGAATGTAGGATGTTGATTGTGAATGATAATGATGCTGGTGGTGGTAAATAGACTATTTTATTTGTATTATAAAGAAAAAGTTATAATGATAGATGGAGGAGGAGGAAAAAAGTGGAAGAAGTTAATAGAAAATCAGGATGAAAGATAAACAGCTTAAGTTTATTGTACCTTATAGTCATTTAAAACCACCTCCAGATTTACCTTGCCAACGACAGTTGATCATTATGCCCATCATATTTTTTTATGAATTATTTATATTTAATTAGAGGCCATTCAAAGTTGGCCATTCATATATTTGTTTCATTCAATCATCAACATCTCTCATCTCTCATCTTTATCAAATCTATCTTTGAAATTGAAAATTTTATTCTATACCTCAAGTCAATTTAAATTTGAACGCAACAAAATCCAATGTTAACTGCTATCATATTGCTATTTTTATCAATCCAAATGAATGTATCATTATTGCTTGATCATTACATTGTCTCTCCTCAGTAATCAAATAATTATCCAAAAGTTTATAGAATGGTAATCAATTTTTCATATATACGAAAATATCTTGATTCCTTCGAGAAACAACCAAATGTTGACTACGATTGTTCAAGATTTTAATTGCACAAATTTTACTTATCAAGTTTTCCATTTTTCTTCATCAATTGTTAATATTATATAATTTGTTCTTCTGCTACAAATATCTTCCACTGAATCAATGGACAGAGAAGATGATTCAGCCGTTGAAAAAACGCACAAATCGATTCCAGAATTATCAATCAAACTTGAATTAAAAAATTCACATTTCATCATTTTTGCCATCATCATTTTTCATGATTATCATTATATTCAAAGTAAATTTAATCATAACTCGTTGTTTAATCAAACACATGAGTTGCTGTTTTTTTTGTCTGAAAAAAATTTAAATCATTGGAGAGAAAAATAATGTCAAGAAATTAATGAAAAAATTTATTAAAAAGATCAAATATTCAATGTCTATTTCTTTCGTCTTAAACCTTAATCAAAAAAGGGAGAAATTTTCAAACTAAGAGACAAAATGGACAGGTAGACGTCGAAGTGATTAAGTTAATTTTCTTCATTCAAATAATTTACCAGCAACCTCTTCCAATGGATTAGATGGTCTAGTAACGTCTCGAACTGTATATTCAGCAGCTGTAATATAAAGAGCCACCAATAAACCTATGATTGAAGCGATGTAAATGTTTTTCTGGAAAATTATGCAAGTCGCAATGCATAGTCCTAAATAGGTAATATATCTTGATTTTTCTAGATGAACTTCACGATCGCGAATTTTGGTATCAACACAAATTCCTTCTTTCATGACAAAATCTACGGCGCACTTTGTACAGCTATCTGGTCCATCACCGTGGCATCCATCACAAGCTTTATCACATTCTAAATGGATAGAGAAATTTTGATTAAAATTTTGTATGATGGTCGATAGAATCGCAAATAATGCTTACCAAAACATTGAAAGGATCCTTCAACGTTGACGCAAAATGTATTATGCTGACACGGATTTTTGGGTGATTCAATACATTCATCAATATCGAGACAACCATAATCTGTGTCCCAAATGTAGCCCTCTTTACAAGCATGGCAACCTTTAGGTCCAGAGCCTAGGCATTGACCAAGACATGATTTATCGCATTTTTCACATTCTTCGATGCCATCTTTTTCGGAAATCTTGAAATATCCAGTAGCACATTTTTCACATAATTCACCTTTGTACATCACATAACAAACACATTTTCCATTCCCTTTGCGTGTTCCGTTACCTTTACAGCTTCCATGGCCATTACAAATTGCTTCTGGAAAGCCTGAACACAGAAGGATAAAATGATAATGTAATTCGATTGGACAGAATACTAAATGTAGAAATACTGACCTGGGCAAAATGAACAATTAGGTCCAAACATTCCATCAGGGCAACAGACTTTTCCCTTATCTATGCAAAGATAATCATGAAGACCTATTCCTTGTTTACGTTCATCAGACCACCAGTGGTCAATTTCTTGTTCATGTTTGCTCGAAAATTCTTTACACTGAAAATTGTAAAGCAATCAGTAAATAAATATGAACATAGTTTTATATTAAATAGAGTACAAACCTGTTCTTCAAAATTTTTCGCATCAGAGCATAGTTTCTCTTTTATTTGTATAAGTCTTTGGCTGGAGTCTTTGAAATCGGTCGATTTGGCAACTTCATGGTCAACATTGGAGTAATCAGTGTTCTTGAAACCCTGTAATACAAAGAAATGGTAAAAATATTAAAGAAATGATGAAAGATATTGATGAAAGTGAAAAGATAAATGGTAGATAACATAGAAAAGGCAACTTACTCTATGAAATGATCTAACAACCTCACGACATAACTGACAAGGTCCAAGTACACGCACTTTGGCATTAATTTTTACATTACTTGAATCAGGATTGACACTAGGTGAAGGTTGTCCAGGAGTTGAAGTAATTATAAAGTTGATTTGTAAAAAAATTAGTAGAAAAAATGAAAAATAATTTATAACCAAAGATCTAAGCAATGATGAACATTCGATTTTCATCCTATCAGATGTTTAAAGAAGAATGAAACAAATGATAACTACGATAATTTACACCTCACTGATTGTCGTAGATTGTTTCTTATTTACAAATTGGCATTCCTTTTTAAATAAACTGAGCATTCATGATAAAGTTCTTTCTTTCTTCGATATAAGGCAAATAATATGGCTTCACGTAAACATAGTAAAAAATATCAGTTAGCAATGCATTACATCGAGACATCTCTGTAATGTTATGCTCACTAGCAGTGTCCAAAAAATCTATACAAATATTTCTGTAAAACAAACAAAAGATACTGATGAGTAAGATGAATGAAATTTTATCCATGAAAATGTGTATTAAGCAAATATTTTGGAAACTGCTCATTGGAAGCGATTAAGTTTTGAATCGAAAGGATCTTATTAATTACACTCTGTTACCAGCAAAATTTGCATTTCGATCGATAACCGCCAAAATCTTTTGTCTCAAGATTCATAAAATTTCAATAGATTGTTCTAAATTTTTAATGACGATCTAAATTTCTTAGCTCACAAGCTTACTATTTGATCTCACAAAGTATTGGTTGGGATAAAAAGTCAATCTAATTTGATATAATTATAATCTTAATTCGTATTACATCTTGAGTTAGAACAAAGAAGATGTTATTGGAATTTTGAATTTCGACTCAGCCACGAAAAACGAGTAACACAGATAAAATTGAACTAAGTATCGAATCTTATCAGCGGTTACCGAGTTAACAATTTTTAATTAACAATTAAAATAACCAAAAATTTTATTTAATTCAAAAAATCAATGACCCAAGTCAGGTTTCCAATAGATGGCAGCACGAGGCCTTTTCCTCCTTTTTCAAAAGGAAATGGATCAGTATAAATAGTCATCTTGGGCTATTTTCACGAAAATTTGATTGTTTTGTGTTTTAATCGATTTTCTAGAGACCATTTCAATTTTTTTGCAACTAATATGTGTGAAAAAAGTCTCATGAAAGTTTCTGATTTTTATTCCAAGAATCATGAGTATTTGATTGATCATTATCGAACTGAATTGTGCCTGTCTTAGTATCGAATGGCAGAAGTGAAAATAACTCATTCGCTTAAGCAGCTCAACATCTCATTTAAGAGTTTTGAGATTTTCTGATTTTGTTGTGATCCATTTTTTTCTTCGTGTTTATTATTGTCTCTTTAATTTGTCTTTCAAGCGTTATTTAAGGTTTGGATAAATTTTTGAACATGATTTCACGATCTTTAAGAGCTGATACCCGAAGCCGGGCCAAGGATGACATGAAAAGAGCGATGCTTGTCAAGGATAAGGTTAGAAAATGGTAAATACATTACGCTTTATGACATTAAATCTTATTTACATATTCAAAATTGTGTGCACTTTATCTCGATATTTGTGTATTTTCATCCGTCTATTTTGAGCTATTCCTAATGTCTTCTTATCGTATATTCTTCCAGGGAAAAGAAATGGGTGACTATTGGAGATACTTCTATGAAAATTTTCAAATGGGTACCAGTTACTAATTATGACACTGTATGTCCAATTTTTGTTATCGATTATTATTATTCAATGTCCTTTTTTACGAATATTTACTAATGTTTTTGTTTCTCTGTTTCTACTGAACTTTTAGGTTACTCAAAATAAAAACTTGAAAGGAAAATCAATAACTACTCATAACAAGGAGAATATTGAAGATAAAGGCAAAAGTCACAGTTTGAGTCGTAACGATGCAACCACTAACTCATCATTCTCATCAGTGTCAAATGTTTTGGTTAACAATGATCAATCTGTCACCGGATTCTCTGAAACAAGTCAAGATGATTCAACTAATCATGAAGAAAAAACTCACGTCACCACATCAACATTGTTGGGTGAAAATAGCAGTGATGCACAGTTTCCAGATAATGTTACATCGGATAGAGGATGAGCAATCTCGGATCGATACTTTTTTCGGCCATCATTTCAATCTAATTAAAACTCAACTCATTTGGAATTCAGTATCGTGAATTAACGAGAGCTTGGACAATTTGCATCTCAAACCATTGCGGAAGAAAAAAAACAGTAACAATGTACAATTGCTGATAAATGTCATTCTGTGTTTATATCTTAATTTTCAAATGTTAATTTCTTTTCATCTAAATTAATTTCTTATAAAAATCATTTTTGAAATAATGAAAAATAATCCAAATTAAAAGAAAACTTATGATTCAATTTGTATCTTATTATATTAGTTACATAATAGGAAAATCTTGTATCTTGACTAGAAAGATAGATATAAAATTGGCGATTCATGGCCTTTTTGATTATATGTAATAATTAAATTGTAAAAAGCTGCAAACGTGGTTAATAAATTTCATTTTGATTAAATCAAATTTTTCTACAAAAATTAAAAAAAAGTTAATCTAACGAATCCAGTTAAGCTAACATTACTGCAAGTCCATTATTGGAAAGACTCACAGTGAAATAATCGTAATATGATGAAGGTCCCTCACAACCTACACTCTTTCTTTCTTTCTCTCTTATTTCTTTTGTAAGAAAAAATGAATTAATGTTGTATGTTTTTTGTTTTCCAGTTTATTTTACAATTGTTTAATCGCCTTTTTCAATTATTAGTCCAAATCTCAAGTTTAATCAACACCATTGTGATCCTCTCATTCAAATGTTAGCAACAACATGGCCGATAGAAGAAAACTTCAAGGTACGGTTTTCATCTCTTGTCTCTTTCATCCTCTTTCTTTTTGTCTCTTTTGCTGTTACTTTTTTCTATCATTATTTACTCTTGATCTGTATCTTTTCACTGTATATGTGTATATAAAATCTCTTTTTCCTTCACTCTTTTGAGCCATCTAATTTTCTATTACCTTAGCTCCATTCATAAATGCTATTTATTCATCGAGATTGCCACTAGCTACTTCATTAATAATGCATTTACTTGAGCTAGGCTGTATCCACAATCCCTGTGATTTCTCCATGTAAAAACCTGTGACACACAACACAATAGGGTATCTGACTGCTTCAATCATCAGTCAACTGGTTTGGCTCACATTTTAGGTTCATTTAAATCTTTTTTATAAGTTTAGTTTCAATTGCTGTGATCAGTCTATTTATCCGTTCTCATTATTCTTGTTCTAGATTCTTTAATTGACACATAGTCATACTGTTTCACTTGTCAATGCTTGCAAAAGATCTCGATACTCAATGCTTCTGGAGATCGGTCAGGCAAGCTCACGTAACAATGTTAACCTGCTTATTTTTCAACATAAAGGATAGCGTCCATTTCATTCACTCTTTCCATCTCTCTTTTTTTGCTATTTCCCCCTTTCAATTAGATACTTGGTTTACCTTCATTGTTCAATTAGCTTGCTTTCGTATTTATATAGTATTTCCGTTTTATACCTTTTCAACAAAATACACTACTTCGATAGGTAACTCAGTTGCCAAACCATGCTCATGAACTGTCATTTTTCTTCTCCTATTGCTTCATTTTCTGCATATGTATCTAATCTTTAACTATTATCTTCGTTTCTTTTTCATATCTTTTACATGTACAGGTGAGATCGAGCGATGCCATAAGAAAGTTCAAGAAGGAGTGGAAACCTTTGAGGATTTGTGGCACAAAGCTCACAATGCCCCTAACTCTAATCAAAAAGAAAAATATGAAGCTGATCTCAAGAAAGAAATTAAAAAGCTTCAGGTTGGCATCAAATTTGAATACTTCCGAGACTGGCTATCTCCAAGAAAACATCCAATATTTTTAATTGCTTTTATGGTCTTCGTCAATGATGAAATCTACAAAAAAATTTCTTTAGACTGGCTTGTGCACCGTTCTGTTAGCAGTATTAAATTGTGCAGTGATATCTAGCTGTATTAGTGATGTTTACTGTAGTATAGTGCAGTATTTGCCTCTAGAAAACTCTTGCATAATTAAGTTATCTTCTGTCATTTTCATGCCATGTGTATACTTCAAAATTAAGTGATAAAAGCACAGTGAAGCAAGTGACGGACCATAAAGCAGTTATAAATTGGAACTTATATAATATTATATGAATTTTTACTAATTTTAACATTCTATTATTCCCTTTCATTACAGAGACTCCGAGACCAGATTAAATCATGGATTGCCTCTAGTGAGATTAAGGATAAAAGATTACTCTTGGACGATAGGAAACTCATAGAGACTCAAATGGAAAGGTTTAAAGTTTTAGAGAGGGAGACCAAAACTAAGGCTTATTCTAAAGAAGGCCTGGGAGCAGCGCAAAAATTAGATCCAGCACAAAGAGAAAAGGATGAAATTACAAATTGGATGTCCGATTCAATAGCTGCACTCAAGATCCAAATAGATCAATTCGAATGTGAGATTGAAGCCATCATGGCTGCTTTAAAAAAGAAAAAGAATGATAAAGAAAAACAGGATCGTAATGAGGAATTAAAGAATTGGTTAGAAAAACATCGGTACCATATTAATCAGTTAGAAACTCTTATGAGAATGTTGGATAATAGTACAGTGGACGTGGATCAGATTAAAAAGATTAAAGATGACATTGAATATTATATTGAATCTTCACAAGATCCTGATTTTGAGGAGAATGAATATATTTATGAAGACTTAGAATTGGATGACATGCAAGAATACCTGGCCAAGAGTAGAGCAGCCCTTGCGAATCATACATCTTCATTCGATAGTGGAACAACTAAAACAACAAATTCTTCTAATGCCACTGGTGATGAAGAAGGAAACAATTCAGTTCATTCTTATACACCAACATCAACTTCAAGTTCACCTGCTCCCAGTCCAGGATTGACCAATCATTCCAAGGGAGTAGCTGATTTGAATCCAGGCACTAATATCAATGCTAGTTGTACATCTGTGAATAACTCCACAAGCAACTCTAATACCAATAACACCAATAATAATGGTTGTTTAGTAACTTCATCCTCCTCATCTACGGGAACCTCTAATGTTAAACCTCAGCCTGTTTGGTCTCACTCTACATCTGTTAGTAGCTCAATTCCTTCAGTTTCATCGAGTAATTCATCGAGCAAAGTATCTACATCCCAAACCACAACAACAGGGACAAATTCAACAAATACCGTAACCTCAACTACATCAGCAACAACATCAATAACTACTACCACAAACACACCAACTTCTTTAGTAACAACAACGTTGAACACTTCAACAACGATGACATCGACAACGTCGTCTTTATATTCAGGTAAGAAATTGTCATCACAGTGCATAGTAAAAGTGAAAACCAACACAACTGTGAATCTTCTGCTCGCAATTATATTGCTCACAGTTCATCGTCTCATCAGTTTTATTCCAAGTGTCTTCAATTGTGACTCAATAATTTAAGATTTGTATTTGAAGATTTGATTATTACTCGTTAATCACAGTGCTAAGAAATTTTGCTCATTCAACCTCTATTCCAATATTATTAATATTTTGTGTCCGTCTTTGTGCCTTAACATTATTGTTTGTGCTTAGTAATTTATTGTTCTTGTTTCTCTGACCACCATCACTATTTACTGTGCTATTTAATTCTGTGCTCATCACTTGTTTTTCAAAAAATGATCTAGATTGCTTTTTCTTGTCCCTTGCATGGCTCCTAATCCTAGATCAAAAGCTTTTCCAAATATCATCAAATTTCGTCTATTTCACGTTAAATCAAAATTTCCATTTTCTTTTATCTTTTCTTGCAGAACTAAATCAGAAAAGTTCTTCCTCTCGAATGAATTCGAGAACCAGCAGTTGCAGCAGTAATATCAGTAACAGTAGTAACAGCAGCAGTAGCAGTCCACCTTCTGTTAATTCAATCAATGGTAAGACTGATTATTTGGAAAAGCAAAACCAGATAATTATTATCTTGATCTATAAAAAAACGAAGAAAAAAAAATAGTTTGCAAACCAGTAAAATCATGGTTTAAATTTATTGCTACACAATTGTCTTCTGTGAGAAAGAAGAACAATTTAAGCATTGTTTTTTTGACATTGCTTTAAATTATAAAGTGAAGTTTTCCTTTATTTTAGATTAAGTTAATAATTTAATTATTTATTTAATTAATTCAATTAAATTTTCATCTTTAATTTAAAGCAAGCGGTTCCATTTCTTTTGTTTTAAACAACAAACTCAGTGAATCCTCTTTGATCTTTTCTTTTTACCAGGTATCACAACTACAACCATATCTGCAGCATCTTACAGCATGGCTGCAGCGGTTACCTCAGCACTAACATCCACAACAGTCACCTTATCCTCACTTACTTCAAGCCCATGGAGTCAATCGATTGGTTCTTCTAGGAATCAGAGTAATTCATCTAGTTCTCAGACAAGCCAACTAAACACTACCAGCACCGCCACCTCCAATACCAGCAGCAACAACAGTAGTAGTAACACAATCACCACCAACAATAACAATAACAATAATAATAATAACCCTTTGATAATGAATGGACCATCCGTACCTGGGGGCCTTGGTGTTAAAGTACCTTCCCAGTTACAACAATCACAATCTCAACAACAGTCAAGCAACACAGGACCTGGGCAAGGTTTAGGAACAACTTCTGCGCCCGTGAACCAATTAACATCCATGTCCTCACTTAAATCAATAGCCCAACAAGCTGTTGCTAGTGCAGGTTTGGAGAATTCTACGAACGATGCTACTTCTTTATCTACTTCAAATCTTTTTGAGACAAGCACATCCATGTCAGGAGCTGCCACAAACTCAATGAACAGTAATGCCTCAGTTACATCAACAACATCAACAGTGATAGGTTTATTAAGTGGTAATAGTAAGTCCCTGGTTATGCCTTCGTGTGTTTCCTCAACAGTATCAAATTTCACCTCCTCTGCGGCAACGTCAGCCGTTAGTCCTGCCAGTTCAATCGGGATGCATCAGTCAGAAGCCCATATTCCACCGTTGTTAGGTGTTGCTCCATTAGGACCTGTACAGCTACCTAAACAATGTCTATATCAGCTTCATATGCTTGAGGCTGCTTGTAGACATACCATTTATCCAGTAGATTCTCAGAGGCTAAGGTAAGTTAAATGATTAGTCATTACTGTTCTATCGTTTATTATCTATATGATCATCATATCATAGGCTTAATGCATCTTTTTATATTGGCGCTTTTTTCAATAGAAACATGTGTTTACTCACTTCTTTACTAATTTTCTTTCATTTTCTCTTTATCTATCCTTTTGATTGTTTTTAATCATATCTTCTATATTAGACCATATCTGCCTCCGAATCCATGTCCGACGCCGTCATATTATCCGCAACAAGCCTTGCAACACAGCGATTCTGTTGAGTTCTTCCATCGACTCTCAACTGAGACATTATTCTTCATTTTTTATTTTATGGAGGTAACAGTATTGTTATCACAGCCTTCATTATTGCCTATTGCATCTAAAATAATCCTACAATTTTATCTTGTATTTTGTTTAATTAGGGTACAAAGGCGCAGTACCTGGCAGCTAAAGCTTTGAAAAAGCAGTCATGGCGTTTCCATACAAAGTATATGATGTGGTTCCAACGTCACGAGGAACCAAAAACAATTACAGACGAATATGAGCAGGTAAATAAAAATAAACTCATCTCACTTTACGTTATATTCTATCTATCTATAAATACTAAACATGATTCTATTTTTCACTAGGGCACTTATGTATACTTTGATTATGAAAAGTGGGGCCAACGGAAGAAAGAGCATTTCACGTTCGAGTACCGGTACTTAGAGGATCGTGAATTGAATTAACGGATAATACCAAAAAAAACTACCTTCAAAACACAAAAAAACTTCTAAAATTGTAATTGAAACAAAAAACTCCTGAGAGCGCAATGAAAAATGGCGAGAGATAGAGTAAAAAGCCTTTTAACACTCATATAAAAATTGTTTCTCATCTTATTCATTTTCTTTCTCTTTTCTCCTTTTGCATGTTCTCATGTGACCACACTTTCCTCTAAATTTTCATCTTCTGAAAACAACTGGATAAAAATCGACAATCTTTTGGTAATAGTCTAAAGAAGAAAAAACTAACAAAAAGCTTAGTAAAAAGACAATCAGAGAAAAGGTCTAATTGGGTTAATTTGGCAAATTGGTCTTTGGTTATTTTGCTCAACATATTTGTGTTATAAAGTTAAACCTGAAATCTCAGCTCAAATTACGTTGATCTCAAAGACACAAAGGCAAACAAATGAGAGTTACTCTTTATCATGAGCGGGAAATCACGAAACAAAAAAACACTTGCAGAAACATCAAAGATTGAAAGATTCAAAATTATCCAGACGATAACCTCAACTGTTTAATTGGCTCTTTTTCTTTATCTTCCAACTCTCTTTCTCTTTCCTCTCTCTTTATTTTGTCTCCAACCAGTGTTATGGTTACCAAGCAGAAGCAATATTGCGTATTGTGCTGCCATCAATTTGATTTAACATGGTGACTAATGGTGACATGTTGACCTCTAATTAACGGTTTTTTTTCAATTTATATCTTACCTAAGTAACCATTTAGTTGATCGTTAAAAATTAACATCTACATTTGGATTCAAGTAATCTGTAAAGTTTAACTTATAAAAATATCTTAGCAACTGTTTAGTTCCAGTTGAATCAGCTGTACCTTTGTTGGGCTAAATTTACTTCTTGACCTTAGGTAACGGGGATGTGGCGCAATGGATAACGCGCCTGACTACGGATCAGGAGATTCTAGGTTCGAATCCTAGCATCCTCGAAATTTTTGCCTCTTTCCCTCATTTTTACCGAAACTCAGGCTACTTTTGGACCAATGAGTTAGGTCACTATCAGGTTACCACCGACTTTGGTTGCAATTTCGCGGTTGCTTAAAATCTCTTATTTTTGAATTGTCTTCAAGACTCGATATTGTTAGTTTTAAATTAGCTTCAAATTACATTTTAAAATCAGTTGACTCTTTGATTAATGGCTTATTCTTGGCTAACTCAGTGTTACTCAGTCAATTTCATTTCATTTACTTAATATACACTTGTATATTAAACAAATAATTCCTTGTTGTGATTACCTGCTGATTTGCATTTAATTTGTACGCTTAGTTAATTTATCGTGTACATTGTTTTAAATTTACATTTGAAATCTCGCTTTTGTTTACTCAATCTTTAAACTTTGATTTTAGAGCTTATTGTCAGTGGAGTTAATTAACACTTGTTTTTATTCAATGTGCGTCTTCTATTTGTTCATACAATTAGATAATGAATGCTGAAGCATTTGATTTGTTGTTAACATTTAGACTCACAGTTTCTCATAGTTTTTTAAAAATGTTCAAATCAATTGAAGTGATTTTTACAAGACAAACAATCTGTCTTTTTATTCGTTATTTAATTTTATGACATTTTAGAATAATTTCGTTACTTTGATAGAAAGGCTTTGACATTTAGATAATTGCTTTGATTGATTTAATAATTTGAAAAATACATGGACAATATTGTGAGACTTTTCTTAAAGCACAGTTTTAATATTTGATTATGTTAATCATCAGTCAATCACGGGATAGTAACAGCAAAATGTGAAAGTCAACTGAGAAAAAAAGGCAAAATGTGGACTTGAAACTGTAGTTGATTTAAATCTGTTTGTGAATCCACATAAATTGTTGACGACGACAATAGCGATGATAATGATGATGATAATTATTGGTGAGTTTTTGGTTTTTGTTTTTTTGGTGTATGTTTTTCGTGATTCTGGAGTTTTGCGACAATGAACAGTTTTGTGTTTAAGTAAAAAGCGAATGGTGAATGAAAATTCAAATTGAAAAAGGCAAAGTGAATGGAATTGGTTTTTGCCACAAAAACAAACAGTAAATAATGCATATAATAATTATGTGTAAAAAACAAAAGCAAACGATTAGTAAAACTAATTTGAAAAACAATTAAAACAATTAGATGGTTTTGAAGATTGGTTAAAGCTATTTGAAGTGATAGAGCGCGACATTGTGCCACCATTTGATTCTTGATTACGGCTAACCAGGATTTCAGCAATTTCACGAAATAACTTTTCCACATTTTCAGCCTCTAATGCTGATGTTTCCATGAATAAATCGAAATTGTTGTTGTGTGCAAATTGTTCAGCAATGTGTAAAGGAACTTCACGGTCTTTATCACATTTGTTACCAACAAGAACCTTAAGAACATTACGGCCGTTACCTGTAAATTGAATTCATAAAGAAAATACATCAGATTAGAATGATAAACTCTAAATATATAGAAGAAAAACAATAAATTTTATAAATCAAAAATTGCTGAATAGAAAAAAAGACCTAAAGAAATAAGCAGCGTTCGTTGCCAACAAAAAGACTTAATTTCGTTAAAATGCATAATTGTTACGGAATTGAAAACAGAATTTAATTAATTAGATGCTAGTTGGCAAGTTTGAATGAATATAAAGATTCCTGGAAGAAATAAGCTAATCACGCAATTTGATTAGTATTATAAAATGAAACATGAATATGGCAAATCTTCAACTACATCAGAAAACTGGAAAGTCTAACACACCTTGTTATCTCATGGTTAATGGATAGTTAAGAAATTTTGACAATAAATTGTAAATACTAATTAACTCAAGGTTATTATGGTTATACACATCCATTTTGTTCATGAATGTTGATGATTGAAATGGAGAAAAAAAACGTAGGAAGAAGGAAAACTTTCAGAATGATAAATTCATGAAAACAGTATAGTTTCACTCAATATCACTCTTCAATAATGTAGAACCATGAGAAAATATTTACCAGCGATGGCTGCACCAGCATATTGATCAATATCTCGACACCATTGTGGTAACGAATCAAAAGAGCATTGTGAAAAAACATCATAAACCAATATTAAACAATGTGCACTTCTATAATAGCTTTGTGTTATCGATCGGAATCGTTCCTGGCCAGCGGTGTCCCAAATTTGAAGTTTAACTTTGACATCTTGACAGAAAGAAAAAATGATCAGATTGATTGCAAAAGTAAAAAAATATAAAATAATGATTAAGAAAGATGAAAAAGATGGAGGCCAGTGAGAAAAGAGACTTAAATGTTAAAGGACGATAAGTTTTGAGAGCTGAATGAGTTAATTGAATGTAGTCTAAAATGAGATGTAGTCAGGTTGTACGGTTGTGTGAATGGGAAAAGTGTAGCTTACTGAATTCAACCAGTCAACAAATTCAATAACAGTACGCAAAATGAGTGCTAAAAGAACTGTACGCTCATCAGCAAAATGGCTGACTTTAAAATCTAGTTCAAAGTTGAACGAGCGAAGGACGGTAAAAGTAAAGTTAAAGATTACGATAAAAATAAAGAGTGAAAAAGAGTGGTTCATTGAACAGATAATAAAGAAAGTAATGAAATTGCAAACAATGCAATTTTGATCATAATTTAATTGCATAAAAATTTGCTTTCACTCTATTGTGTCTACTATTCTTATGACGTTACAGATTATGACTATTTAGATGACTCATTCCAGAAAAACTAGAAATGATTCAAACTGACTTTGACCAGCTTTTAATTACATCTGATTAGCTTTGTTATTATGAGCCAAGGTCATCAAGCGAAACAAACGAATCTCTATAAACTTTGACCTGGTCCATTGAACTTGTTGTTATGGTTGGCTGATAGTTACAGCAACTACAAATTGAATGATGTGCTTTTCCTGGTCAGCAGACAACCAAAAAAGAAAGAAGACAAAAGAAAGAAAAAAAAGGTTGCAACTTAATTCTCAACATGTCAATTCAACAATAGATCTGCAACGGCTAAAACCATCATTTTCATAATCATTTCTTTATATTCATTTTCTTACCGTTAACCATTAAAGACTTAATCATGAAATCAACTCCAATGGTAGCACCCTGAACATTAGGAAATACACCCTGGAGAATATAAAGATTTAAAAGGTAATGAAAAAAGAAGAAAAGCAAAATTAATGTAGGAATAATACAGAATTTCTTTTATAAGATAATAAACAGATCCGGGATAAACAAGCGATGACACAACAGATTAGTGATCTGATTAGTTGCATCTAAAAACTCTCTGTAGGTAATGAAGCTCCTAAATCCCTTTATCATGTTACTATCATGGTAATTACCTGAGCAAATCGACGAACAAGGCATGTTTTTCCAACCCCAGCGTTTCCTATGAGAACGATTTTGAATAAATACTTGTAATCTTCCATAAAATATGCTATTTGGAACCAAAATATCCAATTTGATTGAACTCGTGATGAGTCAGAGAGATATTAAAAAGTAAGACTGATGAAGGTAATCGTAATGATGATGATGATGATGATGAGCACTGTTGTTGAATTGTTGAATAATAAGGGGAAAAATCCTAAAATAAGAACACAAAAACAATAACAATAACAATTTATTAGATGATTTGGACAGAAGAAGAGAAGAGATGAACACTTACATATAAAATTTACCCAAGTGTCAGATGAACAGAAAGAAGAATCAATTAGTTTAAAGATTCAATCAATAAAGATAATTAAAATAATAAATAATTAACACAAAATGAATGAGCAACAATCTTTAATAGAGAAATTTGAGAATTGTGTTGCATCAATACCAATAATTTAGTAAGTGGATGAGGTTTTACAATACGAACTAACAATTACTTGTGGCTTGTATCAGTATCGATATTTGTCTCTCTCATTAAAGCTCACATTAAATTGAGTATCCCAATACGAATATCGGTACTTTTAAAGATTTTAATATCGATACTTAAAAACCGAATATTGATGCAGCATTGATTGATTTGAAATCAGAATCAACAGTTATGAAGACAAGTAAACCGACAACAGCGTAAAAGGACAATTTTATAAATTACAAAATTAAGATTGTTATTAATCTTACAATCTCTCTAATAAACCCTCTTAACCAGGTAAACTGGTTACCTTAACTGGTTACTTTTTCTGGTTTAAAGTAACCGATGACTTGTTGGTTATACGAAGAGCGTAATTCAAACAATAAAGAAAGGTTTCATTTTGTTTAATTTAACAAAGTAAGTTGGAAAATTTTGTAACCAAAAAGTGTCCAATTGAACCAGATTTATTTACTCATCTTCATGTCTTCATCTTAACTCAAATTTATCTCTAATCAAGTATCATTTAATCCAATTTGCAAATTCGTGTGACAATCAATGGATATTTTTTAATGTTCATCTTTTATCTCCTAAGGAGTCTTCAACCCCTGATCCACTTAGGGAGTAACAATAGCTTTTTGTTTAATTTAAAACAGGTAAAATCGTATAAGTATTAACTCTTACCTTTTGATTAACTGTATATTAATAATAATCAGTATCAAAAAGGAAAAATTTAACTTACAATTATCATTACCAAAATTTATCGACATCCTCTTTAATGAAATTTTTACGGTAAACCATGCATTGTATGCCTTATTTTATAGCTTAACCAACTTGTAGTCTGATTATAAAATTAGTCTGAAATAAAATCATCAATTGATTCCTCATATTTTTAGCCGTTTGAGGAAACTTCTGATCTTCTCAATCTGATGTTGTTTTTGGGTTAAATACAGAAAAAAACACCGATAGATGGCTCTCACCTTTCACCCAAATTTTTTTGTATTTATGTTATAAATCGATGATGATGAGAACCGTTTTTTCAATGTTTGATTTGATTACTGAATAAATTTAATGTAAGGTTATGTCTGGTTAGTTAATTTTATTTCTGTTGTATTTTATCCAGAAAAGTTGGTGTTTTGCATCTATTACTAACACTTGACCAAGTGTAAAATGATGAAATTGAACAGCCCGTTCAATGATGAATTATAATACAATATAATATGATTGTTTATTAGTTGTTTAAATTGTTTGATTTAATAAAATCATACCTTGAGAATGTGACATCTGAGCTTGTATTGAGTTGCATTTGTTTGATGTTGGATCGATAATTTGAAGGATTGATGGCAGTAGAAGCAGTTCAAAGAAGCATCAATGGACGGTGTTTTTATTGATCTTTGGTTATGCAAAAAGTTGTTGTTTAAGGTGGCCTTTATGCTTTTTAATTTGACTCAAATTAATCTTCAACTAAATCTGTAGATCTAATCATGTAAGAATGCAAAAGTAAGTCATTACAGCCTAAGCTATCAACATTCGCAACATAACTAAAAAGGTGATGAAAAACAATGTGACTTTGTGAAAACTGATGATCAGTAAAAGACGAGAAGCAACTAATGATTGAAAAAACTATAAAACAATAAAAATCTATGGTTTTATAACAATCGCTTTTATAAGAATCCTGAAGACATTTGAATTACAAAAAGAAGAAATATCAAAGTTCCAAGTATAAAAAGGTCATTATCAAACTAGAGTTAGTATTCAATTATCAATCACTGAAAAACCTTCAAGAAACAGCAATGCGCCTCTCAAAAAATTTCAACCTGAATTCATGAAAAACTATACAGAAACTGACACAAGACTATTACCCATGAACTATCCATTTTTCATTCATTAAGTTACCAGTGAGAATCCTTCCTAGTCACATGAAATTATCTAAAAATGAAACAGATTATCTAAAGGTCTAAAGGCTTTACTGGAAGGTAGCAACAGTTAACCTCTTTAAGTTTACGAAAAGTCGATTCAAAAACTGTAATGATAAATTGCTATCAAATTGATTAAAAAATGAGGTGAATCAGTATTCAAGCTTCAAGAAAATAAACAAATTTATATCAATAGAATGGTTCCGATTCTACAAACACAAATCAATCAATTGTTTCTCGAGAAATGAATGCTCAAATTGGCTAACCTGAAACTCGAGCAAATGGACCAAAAGCAAAAAGACCGAGCAACAAATTCCGTTAATTAAGCAGAGTTGAGCAAAATTGTTTGGTGAGAGTGTAGTTTAACGGACCAACAGAGATATCTATCATTTTTAGCTCAGGATTAAGCTTAAAGTTTGATTATCTGGATCTGGATCGAGACTCTGTTGGTTGCATTTCAATCAATTTCTTAAATCTTTAGTCTTCAGTTGTATTTCTTGGTTCGTGTAACAACACTCTTGCCAAAGAGTTACTAAGAGTACAAAATGTCCGAGCTATTGTCAATGTTCAAACCTACAACTATGAAACCTAATTTTCAAATGATGAGTATTCAATTTTCAGTAAGGTTTCAGTATTAGGCGAACCCAAAAAACATTGGACAGAAAACAAAAGAGACTGAAAAGATGATCCAAAAATGATTATAAACTCGATGATCAAAGGTTCAGCTTACAAAGCTTGATGAACTGCTTAGCCAATTTTTGTAGAGTTAACGTGTTCGTCCTTTTTAAGCTTTACGATTAAGCCAACGTGATGTAAAATGTCTAGTTTTATGACAATCAAAGCATCACCAACACGACCATCGCCATTTGCAATCCCTTTGAAACTGAAACCAGAGGAATCATTGAATTTGTTCAATGTAAACCATAAAAATTCAACTAAAAAATAAATACTCAAAACCCAAAATCACATCATACTTCTGTATCAAATCTACAGCCAATTCATATTGTTAAGACAAATTGATTGAATTCAAAATGAAAAATCTTTTAATTTTTGGTCAAATCAATCAGCTTAGAATAGATTTTTATTCTTAGCGATTAATGACCAAGGAATTGAAATTTGACCTGAAGTTTACCAAGAAATGTTGGTTTGAAAATTGAAACATTAATCAAGCTATTCTAATTAGTTATTGTTTTACTCGTTCTAAGTCTTTTTTCATTGTGAATTCAAGTCTCTTCAAATGAGATCGGCATCTTTAAATTGCTATTAAAGTCTCACCACACTGATAGGATTAATTCAAGTCCTAAATTTAATAAGCGAAACCTAATTGAATTTTTAATCATTCAATGAACTTGTTTAGATTATCATTTATAAACTGAATTGATGAAAATTTTGAGCTAAATTATTCTGTGAATGAAGTGAAAATGTCTTAAATTGTGTATATTAAGATTAAAAATGAGTTTTTTTGTTACCTTTTAGGAGAATCTTTGACTTCCAGTTTGGTTACAAGTGAAACAAAGGTGATAACTTTCAATGTAACGAACATTTGGCTCGTTTATCCGTCAAAAACTCGAGCATTGGGAATAACTTTGAAAACTTGCTCTTCTAACAGGTCAATATTTTTCTGGAGCATTTGATTTCGCTTCAATAAATCAGCAGTTTTAAGAGTAACTTCAATAAGATCACTTTTATTAAGGAAATCCCAGGTTTCCTTATACCGAGCACGACGCTGTTCAGCTGAATGACCAGAAACGGGATACATATTGATTGAACTGGTTGAGTTTGAATGAAGGTTTGGCTGAAAATTGGATCCAATAAAGTTCATCGTTGAATCTGTAGTTAACATTTGAGACTTGCTTCTTAAAGGTTTGTTGTCTTGTTTATATTAACAGGCATGGAAAGGTGAACACTTGATAGACTCCATGGAAGGATGGAGTGGATCACATGAAGGTAACCAACAGTTGAAGATGCGGTGGATACAACGTGACACCTTTCATTCCTACTGAGTAAAATTGTCACGTTACAGAAAATTTAACCCATGAAGATAGCCAATGCATTTATTACAATGCAAACATTAACTTGAACCACATTTAATTGAGGCACGAATAAACAACTGTACATAATAAATGTATTAGTTTTCTCTACCATTTATATCATTTAATCGGTAAATTATCATAAATCCAAGCTTAACCAAAATTCAAGCAAATCCACTGATTGTTATTGTAGTCTATTGATACAGATTTCATGTTTATTTTTTTAATAAATCACAGTTTATTTTGCTTTTTTATCAGTGATTTTCACATTGAAATGGGAAAGATATTCAGCATTTAATTTTGCTCTTCTAAAATTAAATTGCTAGCAAGAGCTGAATTAAATGATGAATGCTGTATACAGTATTGCGAGAAACTGCTTTCAAAAATGATCATTTACTGGGTCTAATGAGATTTAGGTAGAAAATTTGGCTATGAATTTAAAATTTTATTTCAATTGCTGGCTAAATTTATTGAAGGAACAATTGAATTGCTGAATTTAGATTTGCCTTTTTTACAGCAAAAGTTAGCAATCTTTGACAGAAGTCGCTGTAATCAGCTGATGATTCTCCCATCTTGAGAACAAAGCTTCAAACTAGTTTTTACTCACTTGCTGCAGCTATAGAATGAAGAGGGTTGTTTACAAATTAATTTAATTTTTTAACCTACAATTTTCAATTTTTTAAGTTAGATGCATAAGCTGTTATCCCTAATTTTTGTTTTGTTGGTAAATTGTTCTTCCACGGTTAATAATAATTTAAGAATCTGTATAGATAAGTAATAATTATGTTGTCTACCGAATCTCCATCTGCAATACGATGGTTACTCTCCTTTCTTATTCCTACCCTGGTTGTTATTCATGGTTATCGCAAAAAACATCTTAACTGGACTGGATCCATTTCTGGTAAGGTAATTATTGCTATAACTCTTAAATAATCAATACAATAATAGCTTACAATAATCATCTCCATTCATCTTGATCAATCTGAATTTTTTACTACTGTTAAATCTAATGTTTACTTTTATGCTGACCGGCTTTTCTTTTCTCTTTCCATGTTAAAGCATTCATTGTTGGCTTCATCCTTACAATTAGTAACTCCTGTTTTATGGCCTGTATGTTGACATTTTTCTTTACCTCATCTCGTGCAACTAAATATAAAAGTCATCTGAAACGTAAAATTGAATCAGATTATGAAAAATCAAGCTGTCGTAATTGGATTCAGGTTATTTGTAATGGTGGAGTGGCTTCTCTATTTGCCCTGGTCTTTATGTCTTATCAAGGAGTTGGCCAAGAAATTCCAATCAATTTAAATGACAATTTTTATTCTTCATGGTTTGCAATTGGAGTTATGGGAAGCATTGCTTGCTGTAACGGTGATACATGGGCTTCTGAATTAGGCCTAGCCTTAAGCTCTGACAATCCTAGATTAATAACAACATGGCGTAAAGTTCCTAAAGGTACAAATGGAGGTGTTACTCTGATTGGTCTGATACTTTCAGCTTCGGGAGGATTAGTCATTGGACTTGTTTACTATTTGGTTTTAATATGCTCTGTGGACCAAAATATTCTCGCAATTAATCCACCGCAGTGGCCAATTATTTTTTACGGACTCATTGCTGGCCTTTTAGGATCAGTTATTGACTCGTTATTGGGAGCAACATTGCAATTTTCTGGTTTGAATCGTGCCACTGAAACGATTGTCGAAGTACCCGGTCAAAATATTGAATGGATCAGTGGGGTTCCAAGACTAAATAATCACTCGGTCAACATTTTATCGTCTCTTTCTATGGCTTTGATTACGCCTTTGATCTCTCAATTTCTATGGCCATAAACATATACAAGCTTCAAAAACTGACTCAGCAGCTCAACAAATTTTTGTGTTATTCTATCTATTTTGAGAGCTTTTATTAATTCTGATACGAATCTTTTTACAAACTTATCACTACGAGATTATCATATTTTTCAAGTCTTCTTGTATGTAAAATTAATAAAGATAATATTTACTATAACATTTGCTGCCAATTTTCATTAATTCACACTATTCGAGATTTTTGCATCACTAAAGATTTATTTTATATTCTTGATAAAAATTCCAGGTTGAGTTTATTCATTAATCCTAAGTCTTACACCGAAAGCCTTGATACAGAGATAAAACCAAAATTTCGACCATTTCATTTGAATTTTCATGTTTATCTAAGATATTCAAATTATATAATATCCTGGTCTTTGCCATATAATCCCCAATAGATGTAATATTTATTTTAGTATCCATTGCATATTTCAACCTCCCATGGCTAACCTCCCATACAAATATTACCATTTAAATAAAATCAATTTGCAATAACTATTTATGCAACATTCAAGTTGATTGCAACTGTCAGTAGAGAACTAAATTATGCAACCAAAACAAAATTCAACCTTATATTTGGAATGATTTAGTCATTTCAAGTTAAGATTCAACTTTTAGGTTTGTAGGGATATAAAAAGTACACACAAATTTGTATGATTTAAAGATGCCTGAATGACAGTTTTCGAGAAAATCGAGTACGAAGTTGAAACGTAGATCGCTTTTTATACAATTATGAAAGAAGTTTTGTTGAAACTCATTTCACTAATGTGACTTTTGATTTGCAACCAGAAAATGCACTTATTTGAAGAAATAAAACTTTCTGCTTCCTTTAAAACAGATCAGTTGACAGATTTAAACGAAAGACGAAATGATCTGTTTTATTCTGAGAAGAAAAGTTTATTTCTCAAAATAAAAGCCAATTCTTGTTGGTCATCGAAAGTTACACTAGAAAAGTGAGTTTGAGGAAATAATCTGTATCCATAGCTGTATAAAAGGCATTCAAAGTTTCGAACTCAACCTCGATTTTCTTGCAAACTAGCGATCGGAAAAGGTTTCTAATAGCAGCAATAAACTTTTGTCCCTAAACTCTGCAGAATCCCAACTCTTAATTTGATTGTCACATCTTCTACACTTAGTACTTCGTTAAAACAATGAAGAATGTAACTAAAAAGACACAATAAACACAATTGTAACATTTTTGCACATTTATGCACAAATTGACACAAACACTGAAAGCAAAATGGGCAAAAACGGGTAAAAATTGAGTTCTCGACAAATTAAACTCTATGAGTTTGTAGGGAAATAAAAACTGAGTCCATCTGTATGATTTAAAGGTGTCTCTGATCGATAGTTTTCGAGATAATCGACGTTAAAGTTGAAACTTCGAACGCCTATTATAGCATTATGAAAGCAGATTTTTAGGTGAAACTCATTTTTCTGGTGTAACTTTCGATTCGCAACCAAAAAATGTATTTATTTTGAGAAATAAACTTTTCTTCTCAGAATAAAACGGATAAGTTCGATTTTCAATTAAACCGACCTCTTTCTGCGACCGTAAGAGTAATGGAACTGAAACTTATTATGAGCCCATAAAAATTGATTGCTCACAACCTGGCTTGAATAAATTCTTCAATTCATCGATAGTTCTTTTGTTTTTGGACATTGACCTAAAAACTTTGCGTCCCGATATCTCGAGAATGGTAACATCTAAAATCATCAATCATTGGCTAATCATTAGATTTCATTATGGGCAATAACATAACAAGGCTAATTAACGTAGAAATCTGAACTAATTCATTTGATGTGGAATATTCTTCAACACATCGTAAGTAACCGTCTAGCTTTGTTAAGGTAATATCAAATCTGACAACCTAATTAATATAATTTTATAACATTTTTTGTGGTTCCTTAAATTATCTGAAATTTCGGTATACCATAGCACATAATGAGATCGCATGATTGGTCAATGAATGATGATTGTACCTGCAACCATTCTCGAAATATTGAGTCTCGAAGTTTTTTAGGTTAATGGCCAAAATCAAGCGATCAATAGATACATTGAACAAAGTTCAAGATCGTTGATGTATACAATCAAAATTTATGAACTTCTAATAAATTTCAGCTCACTGACTCTTTTGGCCACAGAAATTTGTCGATTTAGTTGAAAATCGAAATGATCTGTTTTATTCTGAGAAGAAAAGTTTATTTCTCAAAATAAATGTATTTTCTGGTTGCGAATCGAAAGTTACACCAGAAAAATGAGTTTCACCTAAAAATCTGCTTTCATAATGCTATAATAGGCGTTCGAAGTTTCAACTTTAACGTCGATTATCTCGAAAACTATCGATCAGAGACACCTTTAAATCATACAGATGGACTCAGTTTTTATTTCCCTACAAACTCATAGAGTTTAATTTGTCGAGAACTCAATTTTTACCCGTTTTTGCCCATTTTGCTTTCAGTGTTTGTGTCAATTTGTGCATAAATGTGCAAAAATGTTACAATTGTGTTTATTGTGTCTTTTTAGTTACATTCTTCATTGTTTTAACGAAGTACTAAGTGTAGAAGATGTGACAATCAAATTAAGAGTTGGGACTTTGCAGAGTTTAGGGACAAAAGTTTATTGCTGCTATTAGAAACCTTTTCCGATCGCTAGTTTGCAAGAAAATCGAGGTTGAGTTCGAAACTTTGAATGCCTTTTATACAGCTATGGATACAGATTATTTCCTCAAACTCACTTTTCTAGTGTAACTTTCGATGGCCAACAAGAATTGGCTTTTATTTTGAGGAATAAACTTTTCTTCTCAGAATAAAACAGATCATTTCGATTTTCAGTTAAATCGATCAATTTCTGTGACAAAAAAAGTTAGAGAACTGAAATTTATTAGTAGTTCATAAATTTTGCTAGTACACATCAACGATCTAACAATTTCTTCAATTTATCTATTGATCGCTTGATTTTGGCTATCAACTTAAAATACTTCGAGATCCAATATGGTAGCAGCTACAGTCATCATTCATTGACTAATCATGCGATCTCAGCATGAGCTAGGATATGTTTAAATTTCAGATAATTCAAGGAACAACAAAAAAAGTTATAACATTATATTAGTTAGGCTGTCTTATTTGATACTGACTTAACAACGGTAGATAGTTACTTATGATGTATAGTAGAATATTCCATATCACATGAATTAGTTCAGATTTCTACATTAATTAGTCTTTTTATATTATTGTTCATAATGAAATCAAATGATTAGCCAATGAATTATGATTTTAGGTGCTATCATTCTCGAGATATCGAGTCTCAAAGTTTTTAGGTCAATGTCCAAAATCAAAAGAGTTATCGATGAATTGAAAAAAATATTCGAGGCAGGATGTGAGCAATCAATTATGGACTGAGAGTCCAACAAAATTTTCACTTCAACTTGAGATTTACACTTGAGATTTCAGTGGAGAAAATTTGAAACAAGAAATATCAAATGGAGTTAACTGCTTGCCTCAGATTAGTTGAAATACGATCTAAATCATTCCAAACTAGCTGTTATTTTGTTTTGCTATTTTATTCATCTAATTTCATCCAAATTCATTTCAAGTATCATTAAATATCTTTGAATTGAAGAGGCTTTTGTTGTCCATACATAGAATGTGATGTTTTGCAATTGAAGTACACAAAACACTCAAAAGCACTTCTTAGCAAACAATTAAGATCATTATGATGAAGATCAAACCAAAATGAAATCTGATGTTATTTTCAATCCATTAGCTTTGCAAGAGCTGGCATAAAATCAAATATACTCTGTGAATATGATTTTCATCAGTATTATACAATATTATCCAGAGTCACAAGAAACAATAAGTTCCTGTTCTTTTGATAATAAATATCAAGATATGAAGATTTCATTGTATGAAGTTTCAAATTTCTTTATAAAAATGACTGGTTAAAGGTTGAAGGATGATTTACCCTGGTATGAAATACTAATCATTTGAGCTTAGCGCATAAATTTGTTGATTTTCTGAATAGCTCTTGGAATTTTGGGTTCTTTTTCATATAAAATTTAAATAATGAAATGATTCAACAGTCAACATTTGATAAAAATAAATACACATTTTTGTTTTAAATTTTAATCGATATTTATTTCAGCATAATGTTTGTAACAATTTTCATCTTTTTATCATCGAGTTGTCATCTATTAATAACAATGGTATATCACAATGGCGTGATTATAGATCATTTTAGAGCTTTCGTTCGATAAATTTAGTAATCATTTCAAAAGCAGCTTTAGGTTGATCATGAGGAACCATATGACCAGCACCACGAACTACGACATAATGGAAATTCTTGAAAGAAGTTATAAAACCTTGTACCTCAACAGATTCACCATCGAGTCTCCAAATTTTCCTATCTGTTTTACTGTATCCAGCAGCACCTTTCCATCTCAAGGTGTTAATCAGGGTTTCAGTGCAAGTGGCACCAACAACAATGTCAAGTGAACCACTGTAAAGTAAAACTTCGTAGTCATTGTCCATCAAAGCCTCTAACCAAGGAGCAACTGATTGACAGAAATCATCTATTAAATGATTATACACTTGATCTCCAGGATCACCAGTCCGGTTTCCAACATGAATAGCTTCTCGGACAGCTTCTTGAGCCAAATATTTATCAGAGTATGTAGTATCAACTGGATTAACGGTTAACAATGAATTGAAATAATTAGTTATTCCTGTTACATTGGTAAAGAATGATGGAACTCGATCTCCGGCTAAAAGATGATCTTGTAAATAGAAGCAATCTCGCCACCTTTTCTCTCGTGCAGCTTTACGAATCTCCTTCTCAATCGCTCGTCCTTTTTGAGCTTGATGAGAATCAAATAAGCCTGTTTGATATAAAATGTCAGAGTACCTGAACATCAGACCACCATCAACTAGACCATTACCAATTGCAACTCCTTTCAAATTGATACCGGATGATTCACGTTCTTGGTGCAACTTGTAAGCAATAGCGGGAACATATTTACCAGCATATGATTCACCAGTGACGTAAAAATCATTTGGACGCCATTCTGGGAAAAGGGCATAAAACTGTAACAAAGCTTCATACAGGTCACGACCAACTTCTTCTTGGTTCTTGACATAACCAGCTTCATTTTCAGTGTAGGAGAATCCAGTACCAGCTGGCTGGTCAATGTAAAGATATGAGAAAATATCAGTCCAAGGATATTGTCTAAGGGTTAGAGTCAAATCAGATTCAACTTTGAAGGGTCCATTTTCATTGAACAGTGCATAAGTTGATGCAGCACCTGGTCCTCCTTGTAGCCAAAGTGCGACTGGAACTGAGCTATTCTGTAATAAACAAGGAAATTAAATTTCTTAAGAATAATTCAGCTGATAAATGAGTTAATAACCTTACCTTTGATGGGAAAAACCAAAAGAAAAGATTGCTTCCAGTTTCTTTATTGACAGTCAAGTATCCAGAGTAACTTTCAACTTGAGGAGCATTTGGCAAAACAACTCTAGCCGATGAACGAGCCTCGGCAATTCGGCCAGCCTTAATTAAAGGTGTCAATAAAAGTCCTTCCTTGCTGGACGAACACTGAACATTGCCATAAAAATTTATGGCAACGATAATTAAAAACAAGTTAACAAATCGATACATTATAATCACGTTGAGAGTGAAAAGTGAATTCACTTGAAAGCACAAAGGAAAGTCCTTTTGTTTAACAATCTCTTCTTTCTCATTGTCTCATTGTCTCCTTCTCTTCCTAAATCTCACTCTATCTTTTCATCTTCAATCTTGATGTTGCTTGTCTATTTTTGAATCCCGATTAACGCCTTATACATTAAATGCCACTTACCATGGCACATTGAATTCACGTTCAGTTTTTAGCAATTCAGCACGAATCTATATCATGCTTTAAAATTAGTGCTCAATGGCTACAAATGTTTTAATTTGAATACAGATGTGATTTCCAACTGTCATCAAGGACCAGGTCGATTGTACTAATAGTTTTAATTGTAACCATTGGTATAAGTTTGAATTTATCTGCTTTCAAATATCAATCGGAAAAATGATTTTTTGATTGTTCGTTTGAATTAATATTTAAGCAGGAAATTGATTTTAATTGAGTTGAAAAGCACTAGCTAGAGTTATCATTGATGGATTGTATTTTCACAATTGTATAACCAGAAATGATAAAAAGATAATAATTCAATACATTCCATATCAACAAACATGTTGTAGACCATTTTTGATGAGTAAAGGATTGAAGATTACATTGAATAAAAGTTACAATGAAAAATGAAGCAATTCATAAGAATAATGAAACTGATCTGACAAGGGAAGTACTTCACTTGGTGCGATTTTTCTCGATTTTTTGTGTTTAGGAGATGAAAATTGAAGACACACATATTCTGATCTTTTTACTAAACATGAAGAAAATTGAAATGAAAGTTCAAAGTTGAAAGATCCAGTCTAGTCTATTTGATAATTATTTAGCAATTAAATCAAAGGAAGATAACCTATTATTGGCAATATCAGTTTTTTTGTATCTGATTATATCAACAATAGCTTATTGATACGTCTGTATTGGTGTTACACTCATTGTCTAATGAAAACAATTGGTTTAATCTCTGGTTTTTAGCCCGATAACAATTAAACATTGGATGGTTAAACATTTTCAATTGGAAAGATTACATATGCAGCAATGTCAACCGTAAGTTAGATAAAAAACAAGAAATTCAAGTTTCATTGAAGATTAATCATTTTTATTTAAAGTTAAGCTGTACCACTTCATTTTCAACTCAAACTAAATCAGTTTGTCAACATCATGAGTGAATTGAAAGAGGTTTGGAACTTTAAATCCCATGAAGGATACCAGAAAGCTTATCAACATCACAGTCGATTTTTGAAGAATACTCATGAATTTTCTATTTATCTTCCTCCTAAAGCTGTGAAAGGTGAACGATGTCCTGTTGTCTACTGGCTTACTGGAGCTGCTTCAGATGACCGAGAATTCATGTTGAAATCGGGTTTCCAAAAGTATGCCTCTGAAAATGAAATTATTGTTGTCGCTCCAGAACCCAGACCTTTACCATTGAATGATATGGCAAAGGAAATATCGTCCAAATATTTTGTCCAATTTGGCTTCTATTTGGATGCAACTGAGCCACCTTATGATGAACAGTTTAAAATGTATTCCTATGTGATGGATGAGCTGATGCCTCTAGTTGAATTCAAGTTTCCCGTTTTACAAGACAAACGTGGCATTGCTGGTCACAGTATGGGTGGGATGGGAGCATTGAATTTGGGTCTACGACATCATGATTTGTTCCAGTCGATCTCGGTTTTCTCAGCTGTTTGTAATCCCAGTAAATGTACCATTGGCCAAGAATTGATGAAGTATTATTTTGGTGAAGGTGCTGAAGAAGCTACTAAATTATACGATCCTTGTGTTTTGGCTGCCAACTATACAGGACCACATAGACACATCCTTTTTGATCATGTGAGTAATTGATTGAATGACATTGATCGCAACCACAGTAAATTAAAACTACAAAATTGTAGTCATTAATGATGGAAGATGACAGACAATAAAGAGTTTACAATTTTGGATAATTGAACGAGAAAAGAGTACAACAGATGAACAGCACCTTTGGTCAATCAAACTAAACTGAAGTTAAAATTCAAAAATGATTTTCTTTTTGAAGCTCAGATCTATTAAACACTCATTGTTTATGATATTTATTAATATCTGTTGATGCAGTATTTTGATAAGCGCCGTCTACTATATTACCAATGGTATACTTAAGCCTCTTACGTATAGTAGACGGCGCTTATCAAAATTATACTTATGTTTGAAACTCTGTTGAATATTCACTGATACTTATTTAGTTTTGAGCTGAAGCCTCTGTCAAAATTATCATTCCTACACAAAATGTGTCATGGAACTGAAACTTGTTTATCAATTGGTTGCGTACAGAATAGTTACGAAATATTGCTTTAATTTTAGTTATTAATTTTGATATTTTTGTCTTCTTCCTATTCTAGGGCGGCAAAGATGAACTTGATTTCCTTGTTTTGGCTCCTAATTTTTTGAAAAGCGCCATGTATAAAAATTTATCTGTTACTTATCGTCTTAGGTCTGATTATACTCATGGAATCGAGATAATTTCATCCTACATTGAGGATCACATTATTCATCACAGGAAAGAGTTGAATTGGAATCCTTGATTATAACTTTGTTTAGACTCTGTTAACAACTCCTGAACTTATTATATTTTAAATACTTTCACAATCCTAGTTGATTATCAACTTTTTAAAGTAACTGATTAGACAAAATGATATAAATCACTTCAAAACAATCAAACATTATTAGCATCACGATTGACATAATTTATCTCTTCGATTCAATTTTCAACAAAATGATTAAGAAATCAGGAAATTTTTTTACTGTAAGACTTACAGTGTAAGCAACAGAGCATCGAGAAAATTCGGTGGGTTCATCAAGTGGGTGGAAGGTTGAAATAATGATTGAAACAGTTGGCGGACTCGTCAAATCATTGGTACATTGAAGTAACGGGAGATTGTATGAGGAGCTGTCAGTCGACTTATTTCAGACCAAGCGGAGACTGCTAACTCGGTTAACCTGAACTTGAACAAGCTCTCATATCTGATTGATCAAAATATCAAAATGATCAAAATGTATACCAGAATCTATACACTAATTACAATCTTAAAAATTCGCATAGACATTACATGTTAAGCATTTTGTAAAAGGTTTTTAAGTTTTTCAGTTTTTAATAAACAGCAAATAGAGCTCATCAAAACCGTTGACCAATTATTCACTTCATGTTCTTATTACATGACAAAAATGCCAAACTACGGCCAGAAGTTAAACGTGCATTATACTAAAGAAAATTGAAATGAAATTTGATGTAAAATTAATGCCTTCTTAAATAGTGACCGGTGAAGAAATGGACAATGGCAATGGCATTATGTTGATCTTTGTCCAACACCATTGATTAGGAACTGAAGAAACTAGACATTCTTTCATGTGAGTGTTTCACAAACTCAAAGCTGTTACGATAAAAAAATACCTCCTAATATTCAGACAAATCTGAGTTAGTGGAAATGATTGGCTTAATTATTAATACAAATGTTCAGAGGCTTGGCCTCTCATCGTATAATGTAAAACGAATGAACCTCTTGAAGTTGCAATGGAAGCAAAAATATTCAAATAATGAAACTATGTTACAGAACGAAGTTGGATATTTTATTATTGAATCATAACTCATTATCAAAATGGTCAGAAATTTTGTTATTACACAAAAGCTAATGTTCAAAGTTAACAGCTCAAGTTTAATAATCAACGGAAAGTTACCTACAGTTATTAACGATATCGACTTTTGTGAATTTGATAGCAACAGGAACAATAGTTGATCTGTCTGGCATGATACTATCTTCTTTGTCTATTGGAAACAATTAGCTTAATCTCTCGTTGATGAGTGCCTGAAATTAAACCTTGAATAGTCAACCATTTTTAATGCGGAAAATTACATATTGAGCAAGACTAATCAATGAGTTGGCTGAATCTAAAGGGAGTCTATTTCGAAACTGAACAGAGACAGTTTTCAATGATTAATCATTTTTATTTCAAGTTATTTGAAATAATTTCATTTTAAACCCAAAACTTCAGTCAATATCATGAGTGAACTGAAAGAGGTTTGGAACTTTAAATCCCATGAAGGATACCAGAAAGCTTATCAACATCACAGTCGATTTTTGAAGAATACTCATGAATTTTCTATTTATCTTCCTCCTAAAGCTGTGAAAGGTGAACGATGTCCTGTTGTCTACTGGCTTGCTGGAGCTGCTACTGAAGACCGTGAGTTCGCGTTGAAAACGGGCTTCCAAAAGTTTGCCGCGGAAAATGAGATGATCTTTGTCGCTCCAGAACCTCGACCTGTACCAATGGGTGATATGGAAAAGAGAGTTTCATCAAAATATCTTGCTCAGTTCGGTTTCTATTTGGATGCAACTGAACCAGCTTATGAACAGTTCAAAATGTATTCCTATGTGATGAACGAACTGATGCCTCTAGTTGAATTCAAGTTTCCCGTTTTACAAGACAAACGTGGCATTGCTGGTCACAGTATGGGTGGTTGTGGCGCTTTGAATTATGCCCTTCGACATCATGATTTGTTTCAGTCGATCTCGGTTTTCTCGGCTATTTGTAGTCCTGGACAGAGTCCACTTTTGATGGAATGTATGAAGTTTTATTTTGGCGATGGTGCTGATGAAGCACTTCAACTGTGGGATCCTTGCGTTTTGGCGGCTAACTATACTGGACCACATCGACACATCCTTTTTGATCATGTAAGTAATTGCTTGTTCTCGGAATCTTTTCTGGTTCATTGTTTAGTGGTTCAGTTATTTATGACACTTTTGCTTTTCTTTCTCATTCAGGGTGGAAAAGATGAACTCGACTCTTTTCTTTCGATTCCTGCGTTTTTAAGAACTGCCATGTTTAAAAATCTATCTGTTACTTACCGTCTCAAGTCTGGCTATGCTCATGGAATGGATATAGTTGCGGCTTGCATTGAAGATCACATTGTTCATCACAGGAAAGAGTTGAACTGGAATCCTTGATTAAGACTTATGAAACTCCTTGCAAATCTTTAACTTTTTGTATCATAATATTAATACACTTTTACAATCCTTGTTTTGATCATCAGGTCAAACTTATTAAAGTACAAACTGATTGAGCAAAATAATACAAATCACTTCTGAAATTTAGACAAATAATGTTATAATAATTTACTGTCTTTCAATTTTTCAACAAAATTAGTATGATGTAAAGTAATAGCGTAATAAGTTATTATTAAGATGAAGTTTACCGAAAACACATTTACACATTTCTTTAAGATATTCAGATATTGAGTTGGTGTTATTGCCATACCCGATGTTTTATAAATCAATGCTTAATGTACAATAAAAGTAGAATTATTTCGAGTAAACGTATCGAATAATTTTCTGGTATTCAGTCATATCACATTATAAACAATTGCAAAGTCCCATAATTAGTCAAAGAATGATGATTGTAGGTTATCGCAATATTGAGTCTCAAATTTTTTAGTCAAAGGGCCAAAATCGAGAGAACTGACCATTAATTGAAGAAAGTGTTCGATCGTCGATGTGTACCAACTAAATTTATGAACTATTAATAAATTTCAGCACACTGACTCTTTTGGTCACAGAAAGCAAGCGATTTAGGGGGAAATCGAACAGGTCTGTTTTATTCTGAGAAGAAAAGTTTATTCCTCAAAAAAATGCCCTTTGTAGTTGGCCATCGAAAGTTACACTAGAAAAGTGAGTTTGAGGAAATAATCTGTATCCATAAATGTATAAAAGGCATTCAAAGTTTCGAACTTGACCTCGATTTTCTTGAAAACTAGCGATCGTAAAAACTTATTAACAGCGCCAATAAACTTATGTCCATAAACTCCGCAAAGTCGCAACTCTAAACTTGACTGTCACATCTTGTACACTTAGTAATTCGTTAAAAGAATGAAGAATGTAACTAAAAAGACACAATAAACACAATTGTAACATTTTTGCCCATTTATCCACAAATTGACACAAACACTGAAAGCAAAATGGGCAAAACCGGGTAAAAATTGGGTTCTCGACAAATTAGACTCTTTTAGTTTGTAGACAAATAAAAACTGAGTCAACTCTTACCATTGAAAGATTTCTAAGATCAATAGTTTTCGATATAATCGAGGTCAAAGTTGAAACTTCGAACGCCTTTTATAGCATTATGAAAGCAGATTTTTCGGTGCAACTCATTTTACTGATGTAATTATTATTTTGCAACCAGAAAATGCACTTATTTTTAAGAATAAAATTTTGTGTTCAGAATAAAACAGATCAGTTCGATTTTCAATTGAACCGACCTCTTTCTGCGACCGTAAGGCTAAAGGAGCTGAAACTTATTATGAGCCCATAAAAATTGATTGCTCACATCCTGGCTTGAATATATTCTTCAATTCATCGATAGTTCTTTTGTTTTTGGACATTGACCTACAAACTTTGCGTCCCGAATCTCCAGAATGGTAACATCTAAAATCATCAATCATTGGCTAATCATTAGATTTCATTATGGGCAATAACATAACAAGGCTAATTAACGTAGAAATCTGAACTAATTCATTTGATGTGAAATATTCTTCAACACATCTTAAGTAACCATCTAGCTTTGTTAAGGTAATATCAAATCTGACAACCTAGTTAATATAATGTTATAACATTTTTTGTGGTTCCTTGAATTATCTGAAATTTCGGTATACTATAGCACATAATGAGATCGCATGATTGGTCAATGAATGATGACTGTACCTGCAACCATTCTCGAAATATTGAGTCTTGAAGTTTTTTAGGTTAATGGCCAAAATCAAGGGTTCAATCGATAAATTGAACAAAGTTCAAGATCGTTGATGTGTACCATCAAAATTTATGAACTGGTAATAAATTTCAGCTCACTGACTCTTTTGGCCATAGAAATTTGTCGATTTAACTGAAAATCGAAATGATCTGTTTTATTCTGAGAAGAAAAGTTTATTTCTCAAAATAAATGTATTTTCTGGTTGCGAATCGAAAGTTACACCAGAAAAATGAGTTTCACCTAAAAATCTGCTTTCATAATGCTATAATAGGCGTTCGAAGTTTCAACTTTAACGTCGATTATCTCGAAAACTATCGATCAGAGACACCTTTAAATCATAAGATGGACTCAGTTTTTATTTCCCTACAAACTCACAGAGTTTAATTTGTCGAGAACTCAATTTTTACCCGTTTTTGCCCATTTTGCTTTCAGTGTTTGTGTCAATTTGTGCATAAATGTGCATAAATGCTACAATTGTGTTGATTGTGTCTTTTTAGTTACATTCTTCATTGTTTTAACGAAGTACTAAGTGTAGAAGGGTTCGAAAGTTACACCAGAAAAATGAGCTTGAAGAAATAATCTGTCTCCATAAATGTATAAAAGGCATTCAAAGTTTCAAATTCGATCTCAATTTTCTCGAAACCTGTGGATCGGAAAAACTTTTTAAGAGCCCCAATAAACTTATGTCCCTAAAGTCTACAAAGCCTCAACACTTGATTTGATTGTCTCACTTTTTAGACTCAATACTTCATTAAAACGATGAAGAATATTACTAAAAAGATGCAATAAACACAATTGAAACATTTATGCACATTTATGCACAAATTGACACAAACATTGAAAGAAAAATGGGTAAAAACGTGGAAAAATCAATTTCGTTCAGATTTAAACTCTGTAAGTTTGTAGGGTAATCAAAACTGAGTCCCATTATGCGATTTAAAGATTTCTTTGATTAATTGTTTTCGAGATAATAGACGTCAAAGTTGAAACTTCGAACGCCTTTTATAGCATTATGAAAGCAGATTTTTTGGTGGAACTCATTTTGCTGATGTAACTTTTGATTTTCAACAAGAAAATGCACTTATACTGAGAGATATAACTTTCTGTCCAGAACAAAACAGACCAGTTCGATTTTCAATTAAACCGACCTCTTTCTGCGAACTTAAGAGTTAAAGAGCTGAAACTCATTATGAGTCCATGAAACTTATTGGTACACTTCTTAGACTAAATAGTTTTTCCCCTCCATCGAAAGTTTTCTTGATATTGGCCCTTGGACTAAAAACTTTTAGCCTCAATATTTCGTGAATAGCCTCATCTACAATCATCATTTATCGGCCAAACATCAGACTTAAATATGGTCTATAATAAAATATGCCAGAATGCTTGATAAAATCTGAGTTAGTTAATTTAATAACTAATATATTTCTATTACATTCTACCGCTATTTGTGTTTGAGCCACACTTAACTTTATGAATCAAGTATTAATATCAAATCTGTCAGCACAAGTAACACAATGTAAGATCTTGAATAGTTTAACATTTCCTCTTATGATAAATCATAATAATATCTAGTGTTTGGTCGATGAATGAAGATTGTAGAACTAATTGTATTTTCGAAATATTGAGGCTCAAAGTTTTTAGTCCAAGGGCCAAAATATAGATAACTATCGATAAAGCTGGAAAAGTATTCGATCCATAATGTTTACCAACAAGTTTTATGGACGAATAATGAGTTTCAGCTCTTTAACTCTTTAGGTCACAGAGATCGGTCGATTCAACTTAAAATCGAACTAATATGTTTACAGAAAACAGAAAATTTTATTGCTGAAAATAAATGCATTTTCTGGTTGATTATCAAATATTACATCAGAAAAATGAATTTTGTCAATGAACTTGCTCCTTTAATTGCACAAAAAGCGATCTAAGTTTCAACTTTAAACTCCATTTTCTTGAAAACTGTCGATCAGCGAAACTTTAAATCCCACAAATGGACTCAGTTTTAGTATCCTTACAAACCAATAGAATGTAATTCTGAAAGAAGTCCATTTTTGGCCTTTTTTGCCAGTTGTGTCTATTTGTGTATAAATGTGTTAACTATGTCTTTAGTAACAACCATAAATGACTCAATCTTCGCTAAGATCTGACATATTATATATTTTCACAATTAATAGACAAATTTCAAAATATTCAAGCTTCGCCGCAAACATGTTGATTAGTCCGTTATGCATCTTTATGTTCATTTGATCATTTAAAATTTTTATAAATCATGATCGACGGTTTTCAATGCATTCACGTTTTAGGTTCTTGTACCTTCGATACCATTGATAAAAAAACAATCTTCAAACGATTGTTTTTTATTCAGTTCTAACAGAATTTTCAGATTTTGATACAATTTTCAATGTCTAGTCATAAAATGTATTCAAGTCGGGAAACAAAACAGATCGCTCCGATTTTTGGTTAAACCTTCTTCAAATACTAAAGACAGCTAAAGATCTGAAACTTGTTTCGCTTCGACAGGAAGATAGTACAGCAAGAGTTTATAACCATAAATTTACAAAATGAAATCGAAGTTTAAGCTTAGAGCGACTTGAAATGGCATGAAAATTTTTTAATGTTAAAATCTTCATCTTCATCAAGACTGTATTTTTATTTCATTTCAAATTCATAAATCGTCAGCTCAAGTCAAAGTTTGTGCTGCAAATTACTGTTAGCTAAACGCCATCTTACGTTAGAATTGTTCACTTTCTGTTATTTTTCAGACACTCTCCCAACTGTTTTGCTTTGCCCTGTAAATTACTGTTGTAACATTAGATAATTAGATTAAGACAAGTCAAAATAAGGGTTTTCATTATAATTTAATCCTTTATTTTTCTTCACTTTAATTAACCATAATCATCTCTTAAATCATTCCTATTTTAATTTATTTGTGTAACTAGTCTATTTTGTTTACATTATTCGCTGTGAAGTGATATTCCATAAGCAAAGAAAAGCGAAGACAGGAAGAAAATAATTTTACTTTTGGTAAGTTCAAATTTTAGTCTACAATCTTTTCTACTTCTTTATTTGTTTCTTTTTCTTTCTTTCTGCGCTTCATTTATGATGTTTCTTTTTTACATCCTATTCTTGTTGCCCTCTTCCAACCGATCTCAATAACCCATTAACCGTTCAATTTGATTCAGGTCTAATTTTACTATTTGAGCTTATCATTTTCCATCATCAGTGAAATCTTTATCTCCCTATTACCTCTTTACTTCTTTTCCATCAACACCATTTTTCTAATATTTTTCTCTTGTGATGTGTAGGTACAATGAGTGACTATCTGCGGTCCGCATTCAGTAATTTTAGTTCAAATTGGGGTAACGCTGGAAACGATGATGGATCCCACAGAAATGATATTGGCAACGAATTTGTTGGTCAAACAATCAATCTCAAAGGACATAGATTAAAAGTTGAACGTGTTGTTGCTGAAGGTGAATTATGCTTTACATAAATGACTGTTCTTTTATCGATTGTGCCAAGTGCTAACGAATCATCTTTACCTTTGACTATTATTTCCTTTTGATTAGGTGGATTTGGTTTTGTGTTCAGCGTCCGAGATCTTCAGAATCAAGAGCGTTATGCTCTGAAAAGATTGATAGCTTCCGGTAAAGAGGCCCAGAAAGAAATTGAAAATGAAATAGAAGTGTTAACCAGACTTCAACCTCATCCTCATATCATGAAATTCATCTCATGGGGTCTAATCAATCCCAATATTTATCTCATATTAAGGTAATCTAAACATTATTTATTCTCATACCTATCAACACCTTCATATTTTTCTATTTTGCGATTTGTTATATTGATTTCATTTTAGTGTCAGGTTAAATATAGGTGATTGTAGTGATATATGGATAAAATAATGTCGAGCTTGTTACGAATTATTACTCAATGACCTTGAACAATCATCTTTATCCTTTATAAGCTTAAGGTTTACTCGAATCTTATCAGCTATTTCGTGCTATTGTCATTTTTTTATTTTTTTATTATGATTGCTATACAGATTAACTCACTATAATTTTGTTTTAATGCGTTTTCATTAATGTTTACACGAGATTACGGAGATAATCTATTCGTATGAATATTCGTCTTCAATTTTTCAATACACAAATGTTATTTATTATGCGCAATCGCTTTTACAATAAGTCTTATTGTTTAGTTTTGATCTTACCAGCTGATACATTTTTTTATTTACTTTAATTTTAGAATCATTTACTAATCAATTTCATTCATTCCTATTTTAGCGAATACTGTGGACGCGGATGTCTCAAAGATATAACACTCCCATTAGATAATACTCCTCAACTGAATAAGATACTTTACCAGACAGCACTGGCTTTGGAGCAAATGCATCAGTTGAATATTACCCATCGAGATCTTAAAATTGAAAATATTCTGTTCGACAATTCTGGTTTTGTAAAATTGTGTGATTTTGGCTCAGCAACAACCAATTGCTACCAGCCAGATCATGATTGGACACCAATCCAACGATCTCTCCTTGAAGATGAGGTAATAAGCTCGACATTCATCAAAACTTTTAACTGCAAACCCATTTTATTCAATTATACCTTACCTTCTAACAAATAGAGTTTGTTCACAATAAAATTGCAATAGTTTCGTTCATTTAGATTTTGACCCACTAAAAATAGTTCCTTTTCAAGCTTATTTCAGGACTAATGCTTCAGTACACTTTATCATTTTACAATCAGTTTTAGTTTTTGATTGATAATTTTTAAGTTTTACTTAGTGTTCGCTATTTTTCTTGATCACAAGCGTGACAAAAAGAAGTAAATTAGTTAGATTATAATTTAACAAACCAGATTTATTGTTTCTGAGTTTCTTTTTTTGTCCTTTTCTTCTTTTTTTCATTTTTTTGATATTTCAATTTACAGATGAGAAGCTTGAATGAATGATGAAAGATTGATTGATTGATTGAGTGAATTTCCATCTTGGTTCTTAATTTTTTTCTTAGATGACCAGGCATACAACACCCATGTATCGACCACCAGAAACTCTTGACACTTATCTTAATTATCCGATTAACACTGCGATGGATATATGGGCTTATGGCTGTTTAACTTATTGTATGAAATTTGGTCGCCATCCTTTTGAAGATTCTGCAAAACTCCGAATTATCAACTGTAAATACACGATTCCTCCAAACGTACCAGATTCTGAAATTCATCTTCAAATTATTAGGTAGGTTAGCTCACTTGAAATTTATCATTTTATTCAAACGGTAAAAATACGACGTAACAGGCTTTTGTTATTTTCAGGTTTATTCAAAAAAAACTCAGAGCTAATTTTCTTTGTTTTTCATTGTTTTCCCTCCCCTTCCCTTTCCTTATATTGTTTCCTCTCCCACTTACTCCATAAATTCATGAACTAGTTTACTTTGATTAGTAACTGTTTGTCATTTTTGTTCGTCATTCTATCATTTGTTGTTACTAATTCTAATTCTAACTGATTGATTAATTATTTTGCTATCACTTCTTTTTCTCTCATTAGATCATGTTTGAAAGTTGATCCTCGAGAAAGAATCGCCATCGATGATATAATTAATCTGTTGGATAAAAATTTTGTTGACTTAGACTCGCCTTGCGTCCTCTCCAATCAATCTACTCCCATCAATCCAAATCAACCTTCACCATTACACCAACCATCGTTGCAACCACAACAACCTCCACCACCTCCTGGCTCAGCACAACCCACTTTTGGCTTATCAGGGTTCACTCGTTACCTGAAAGACACCTCATCCAAGGTCATGCAAACTGTTCAGCAGTAAGTTATCAATATAAATCATCTCTTTTTTTAGTTAGGGTTAACGTATTTAATTTGATTTTGCATTCTATTTTTATTTACTTATTTTCTTATAGATCCATCGCAAATGGACAAATTAATAGAAGAGAAAATAACTCGGTTGGTGAACAACAGTTTAACAGAAGAGAAGCAAATGCTACTAGTTCTGATCAGTACCCCAAGAGAAACTCAAATCCTATGAATGATGGACAATTAAATAAAAGAGAACCTCATTCGATTGGTAATGGACAAAACAATAAAAGAGATTCAAATCCAGTAAATGATAGACTATTTAGTAAACCAAGACAGAAAGAGGATAATTCTAACGATAATGGAAATTATAATAAAAGAGAATCAAAGCTTGTTGATGATGGACAGCCAAGTGAAAAAGAAGCTAATCTTGTTAATGGTGTACAGTGTAATAGAAAAGAAACTAATACCGTTGGTGATCTATTAAATCTCAGTCTTGACGAAGGAGACCGAGTGCCAAGTAATGGCACCAATGCTACTGCTAATAACATTCATTCTACTGGCTATAACCAGCAGTCAAATGATCCCATTTTTAGTGGTGGATTTGATGGTGCAACAATATCTAACTCTAAACTTGATGGTGATCCTTCATCTTCTGGTGCATTTGATCTCTTGATTGATCCCTCATCATCATCGTCTGGTAGTAATGAAAATCAAGGGGCTGGTACAGCCAATTCCGCCTTCGATCTTCTCAATGATATATTTAATTCAACTGATAAAGTACCAACGTCACAAGTTAAATCAACTTCACCCACCCATCTTCCTAAACCTGATCTACTTTTCCCAAGTTCAACTGCTGCTACCACCTCCTCTTCCTCCTCTACTACCAATAACTCTGTTAACAATCCAAACTTGAATGTCTATCCAGGACTCCACAGGAACACTTCAACACCTAATTTAACTCAGCTTGACCCACTCAGTGAGCTTGGATCATTTGTCAGCAACCCTTCGGCAACATCTCAAAACCAAAAAATAAACCAACCAACTACACAAAGCATTCCTCGAGTTTCATCTTTCTCAACATTCCAACCTTTTCTCAGTTCAACGAATTCCGCTTCTTCCTCAGCAACTAACAATGGAGGCTCTGCGAATCTTCCAAAAGCAGATTACAATCGAGCATATTTTTCTGAATCGAGTCATGGCAATAATTCATCTGTTGGGCCCAGAGTAACTGGATTTGAATTTGAAGATCTGCTTTCAGATTTTCCCAAACAATCTAAAAATGAACCTCAAGTCAAATCTCTTGCTGCTATGAAAAAGCAAGAAATGGTAAGAATGAAATGAACAAATGTCATGAAAGGTTATTAATTTAAAAAGTTTCTTTTGGTTTTATATTGATCGTGATTTAATAGATACGAGAAGGTATCAGTCCGATTGAAATAAAAGTAAATGAATGGAAAGAGAACAAGAAAAAGAACATTCGAGCTCTTTTATCCTCCCTTCACACAATTGTTTGGGATGACTGTAACTGGCAACAAACTGGATTACAGCAATTAATGACTTACAACGATGTTAAAAAAATGTACAGGAAGGCTTGCTTAGCAGTTCATCCTGATAAAGTAAGTTTTATTCAGATTTAAATTTTACAAAATGTTGCAAACTTTATATTAGATCATTAAATTGATTGTATTTTTGATACTTTTTCAGCTTGTTGGAAGTGATTATGAAGAACTGGCTAAATTGATTTTCGTTGAGCTCAACAATGCATGGACCGAGTTTGAAAAGCAAGAACTTTTAAAACCATTGTAATAACAATTATTAAGTATATTTAAACAAATGATTATCACCAATCTCACCATCTGTTCAACACATCAAAATAACTCAACATCTCAACTAAACTGTTTTATTTTATTAGCTTGTTTGTTCGAGCTGCGTTCTCAAGCAAGTACAACTGACAACAGTAATAGTTACAAATAAGTTTTTTGTTTCTTGTGTGTATAGCTTGTGTCCATTAAAACAAAAGAGTAAAATATTAATTAAAACAAAAATTAAATATAATATAATTGAACAAAGTAAATAAAAAGCTTTGGGTTTTATCCCATTTTGGCCATCTTTTAAACTTTTCCAATCTTTAATTTTTATTTTTACAAAATTAATTTTATAAAACCTTAATAATTTCTTTACTCTATTTATAATAGAAACTGGGAATTAAATAGTGAATAGGAAGAAAAAATTATTCACATTAAGTAATTTGAAGTATTTTACTTTGAAAAAAATAGACAAAATGTACATTATCATTAGTATTATCAGTAGATAAACCACTAAGATGAACTACTCTTTACTAAGAATGAGTCGCTAAATTTTGACCTTTCCATCCTTCAACTGCATTAATTTGCCGACTGATATAAAGAATTCTGTCAATAAAAAAGATAACAAAATTGACATTAGTTAAAGAACAAGTTGATGGGTCGAAACAACAGAAGCAAATCAGCAAAATCGTCTTTTAAAATTAATTATGAGGTTTAATACAATTTTGTCTATTTTGACATTTGTTATTTTGAACCCAAACCAAAGAACTATTTTGAAGATCAAATGTGTTTGGATAATCGAAATGAAAATTTTACCTTTGTTCCTGTAAAGTTGCTTGAATTTCTGTTAATCTAACCAAAGATCGAGCCATTTTAAGCTCAGCTGAAACTCTTGTAGAGTTTAAACTTCCAATTTCATGCGCTTCCTCGGAAAGCTTTTTTATCTATTTTATCAAAAAACATAGAACCAGATTAGACCAAAAATTTGCATAAAATTTAGTTTACTGACCTCTTTCTCAATAATTTCGCCTGACCAGCCAGTAACATGACCAATAAGATTTTCATCAAAATAATTAACCAATGATGGTGTCAAACTAGGCACTGATGGTTTAAGAGACGTTGTACCAATACCTGTTGGTATACTAGAAACTGAAGATGGTCCTCGAGTAGGAGAATCTACGCTCACATCCGAACCGGGTGATTGGGCCCAATTACGGTTAGTGAGGAGATCGAGTTCATGTCTAATCCCATCAGCACTCTGATGATGGCTATACGATTGTGGTAAAGAAGATTGATGGGATTGCGAATGGTGATGCCTGGATTGACTAAGATGGGATTGCTGATACTGCCTTGAATGAGATTGAGATGCATTTCCAGATGATGATAATGCTGAAAAAATTCAAAAATAAATATAACAATTAAATTATGAGGTTAGTAAAGTAGATAAATTTACAAAGATATGAATTCAATAAGTTTCCATAATAATGTGAAACTGCTAAGCAACTTAATGAAAAATTTGCTAGGGAAACTAATTTAACCGCCAATTTTGTGGAGAATAAGAATCGACTTTTACTTGGGAAAAATTGGTTAAAAAGTAAAGGATAATTACTCACAATGATGACGAGAATGTAGCGATGATGGAGATTCCCTTATATTACCTTGGTTATGCACAGGAGTATGATTCAAGGGTGAAGAGGAAAGTTTATTCACATTAGATAGATAATTAAGCCAGATTCCTTGAGAGTTTTGCATTTGTTGATTGGCAGACCTTTGTTTAACTTGTTTAGTTAACTGCAAAGCTTGTTGGATAGTTTTTAAAGCTTCTTGAGGTGAGAGGTCGGACAGATCGGGTAATCCATGGGAATTCGTTAATTGGTTAATTAATTTAGGAAGATTGGTTAAATTAACTTGGGAAGGAGATAAAAGATCTGCCGGTGGTACTGAAGTTGAGCAATTGGTATTCCCTGTGGAAGGTCCTCCTCCAGAAGGGACAGAGGTTGAAGTAGGGTTTCTATTTGTATTACATGAATTGACACTCCTATCGTTACAAGAACTAATCTCTTTGCATACAGTTGAACCTTTATGATCATTCATAAAACCAGGCGAAGTCATGTTATTGCTACCACAGGAGTTGTGATGATTACTTGAGCCACCATGTGTTTGTACATCAACAACAGCTCCATCACTGAGACGTCTTTCCGATTCAGAGTTGTGATTATCTTGTCTTGATGATCTCAACTGATGCCTAGGATCTCTTGGATCTGGTCTAGTCTCTTTGGATTCATTGAGTCGACTTTCATTAGATTTAACCAAATCCATGCGAGGCTCATTAATTTTGTCAACTCGTTTATCTAAATATCTTGGTTCATTTCTCACCAAATCCATCCGCTTTTCAAATCTAGGATCATTTTCACGATCTCTATCTCTTTCACGCTCCCGGTCTCTCTCTCGTTCTCTCAGAATTTCTCGATCACGATCTCTATCTCGATCTCGTTCCCTGTCTCTTTTACGCTCTCGTTCTCTCTCCCTTTCTCGTTCCCATTCTCTTTCCCATTCTCTATCCCTATCCCTGTCTCTGTCGCGCTCTCTATCTCTATCTATTCTTCTGTCAAACCAAGGATCATTTTCTCTTTCTCTATCATATTCTCGGTCTCGTTCCCGGTCTCGTTCTCTATCACGATCACGATCACGTTCCCGGTCACGATCGCGATCGCGTTCCCGGTCACGGTCTCGATCTCGTTCTCGGTCTCTCTCTCGATCTCTCCTTTCAATCTCTCTTTCTCTTTCTCTCTTGCGTTCCCTTTCTCGGTCTCGATCACGAACTCGATCATGTTCACGATCTCTTTCTCTTTCCCTTTCTCTCTCTCGTTCTCTGTCTCTTTCTCTATCTCGGACACCAACAGGCAATTTTTCATCACTGTATCTATGATGATAACCAGCTTTGTGATGATCTTTACCGTCCAACGTAGAAGTATTGGTATCATATCTATTGACAAATGGTTCTTCGTCAGCACTGATGTCACTGGCTTCATCTAACGGAGTTGAATCAACATCATGTAGACGTCTTCTAGAGTCTTCACTATCACAGGTTTTCAAACTACCCGGCGTGGAGGATGTCTTTTCCTTCCTTGATACCGAAGAAGCAGCTGAAGTAAAATATTTATCCTTATTGGATACAACACCAACATCAGGTTGATTGTCATCATCATCTTCTAATGTCGGGTGAATAAAATCCTTTGGCTTTTCCCACTGTGATACACCGGTCACTGAATTATAATAATACTTTTTGCCAGAAGAACTGATATATTCAGCCCAATCTCCGGAGGCATGACGTTTCATTGAGCTTCTGCTTCTGTCTCTTTCGCTGACCCTTTTGACACTACTACCACTATGATGGTTGACTTTGTCATTAGAGTATGCTGAAGGTAGACTTGAATAATTTTCAGATCGACAACCAGTCACTTCTCTTCGGCTGCTTGCTCCGCTGGAATTGTTATTAACGTATGTTTTATCCCTCACTCTATCTCTTGGTTTTTCTCTGTCTCTTTCTCTTTCCCTTTCTCTCTCCTTTTCTCTGATCCTGTGAGTACTTGGTACAGATCTCATGTAATCACTCATGGTACCTACATATTGAATGGAGTAAAAAATGCATATGGAAATTAGAAAGATTTGATCATCAATATGAAATTGGATCAGTAAATTTTGAGAAACACTAAAAGACAATGTAGAAAGATTAGAGTGATGAATATTGAATAGGATAAACTCAAAAATACATGAGCAGAGTAAAATTAAATAAATTTTCAATTGTCTAAAACTATTAAAAGAATAGAAACAAACAAAATAATCAAACAGGCAGAATTAAAATTGTGATAAACTAACTCACCACAGTATAAAGAAAATTATTTTTTCAGTCTTTCACTTTTTTCTTATGATAATTATTTCACAACAAGCATACCAGAATAGACTAGTTGAGTTGCACAAAAAACAACAAAAGATAGGAATGATTGAACAATTGATGAAAAATATGAATCAAAAAATTAAATTGGTGAAGGATTAAATTGAAATAAAACCTTCATTAAGTCTTGTTTCAATCTAATTAAAACAAAAATTGTCACTACCAGTTTGCAAACAACTGTATACAAGATTATTTCACAGATGAGAAGCTGAAGTAAATAGAAAGTAAAATCGACTAAAGATGGCGCTGGTAGAGATAAATTTTGATTTTTTATTTGCTATACATTTTGAATGCAAATGATCTAAGATTTAATCATAATAGTGTTGATAATAGCAATTTGATTAAGATTAACTTTTTACTGATTGGATCTTGGTTTATCATCAGCTCTAAACCGGTAACTCTAATTGAGCGAAAATGGGGAAAGAATACAAAAAGAAAGTTTGCTTATCCTTTCGTTGCATCAATTAAATCACTTTACTTAACCACACTGTTTATTTGGTTATTCATCTTCTGTTTTAAATCTTATTCTATATCTTGAACATTTTGCATCATCATCTTGTAATTGTATTACCCTTTTAATTATTTCTGTCAAATTGCCCTCAATTTTATCATTTTTAACAGTTTATTGTCTTCAATCAATTTGCTTCTTTTGACTGTTGACTTGAAGAATAAACTCAGCGGTCATTACTTATTCTCTTTTACTCATCTTTACATTTCTCTTAAGTGACAATTCTATTTAAGCAGACAGAAAGTTTCATTTGCTTATAATATTCTTTGCAAAATCTTCTAATTATTTTCTATTTCTTTCTGAGTTTGTTAACTTATGCCTTGTTTATTTATCGTAAATTGAGTTTGTAAATTAAAGCAAAATGTTCCTTTGTGCAAGGAAAAGATGTCGTAATCGGTGTTTACCGGGTGATGATGCATTCGATATCAAAGACTATCCTGATCACTTCAATATTCATTATATTCTATACTGTGGTCATACCTTGTGTGAACATTGTCTTTACATGACTGTTCAAAATGGCGAAAGGTCATATCAATGTGATCAATGCGGTGAATATACTAATTTGTCTGCTCGTGCCTTTGCCTCCATAAAGTCATCACATCTGAGTAGCTCTAAGCGCTTGAATCGTCTTAATGGGGATTGTGCTCAAGAGATTCCGCTTGACGCTTATTCGCTTGGATTAGCTTTCAATCAAGGTCGAATTACAGCTTCTCCTGTGGAGCCAACTGTTAATTTGGAAGGTGAGAGTTCTATTCAGTTCAATTTAACCTCTTAACGAGTTCACCTTCTTTTCAAGTTCTTTTTTCCATACTAATTTTGTGTACTGTTGTGATTTTTCATTTTAGATTTGAATAGACCAGCAATGGAAGAAAATTTCAAATATTCAAAGGATCCGAGAGATGAGGAGAATGCTGTGTTAAAGTCAACGATCCCAAAAGCTAGGCGGAATATGATTATTCCTTTGATACATACAATGCACCACTCATTGTTCACTCACGCTGAATGTGGACACAGTTTAAAAGTTCTGGGCAACATGGAAAGAAAGTTATCGAAAGAATTTTATCTTGCCAAAATGCGTCTTCGTGAAAAATTTCATATTCTTCATTCTCTACTTCAGTTGGAGGAACTCAGAGGTATTACTTTGTTTGAAAGTAATTACAAAAAACGTAAGGAGGAATATGCTGATGTTGAGAAGAGTTTATGTGCTCTTCGACGCGAAATCAATGAAACATTCAAGCTTGAACATAATACCCTAGAAACTTTAACTAAAAAAAGAAATCTGTTGAAAGAGGCAATAGCTAAACCTAGTCGGATAAGCTGGAGACAGTATGAAGTCAACGATGATTTTAATTTTGAAATCGATGAGTATTTGGCAAATTCTATTAAAAATTGCCTCACCCTTGATACCACCGAACGTGATTCTTCGCTTACTCTTGTGCATGTTGATCCTGAGTCCAGTGGCAAATGTGATCCAGTACCTCTTTTCAGAACCACATCTATGTGCTCATCACTTGGAACGACGGATGAGGATACATCACCAGAGAAATCCAGCAACAATGAAGCTGCTTGTTCACGTGCAAATATTGCAAATAGCATTGTTGGTTTTGAAGAAGAGATTGTCAAATTATCAAAAGTTCTCAGCCCAGAGCTTTTTTATTGCACTCTTTGGAATAATCCAGAAAAAATTGCTGAAATGAATCGACATATAGAAGCTTGGTGCACAAATGTGTTTACGCATCCTCCGCCACCAGGAACACTTAAAGTTGGCGGCTACATTTTCATCTTCTCAGAAGATCGTCAGATTTGGTGCCGAGCTAAGCTGCTGTCGTTAAACAACAACTCTGAGCCTGCCAACTCTCGAAAAAATAAACTTGCTTCCAAAAATTTAGTCACCTCTGCTTATAACCTCTATACCTCCCGAAGTGTTAACGCTGAACTTTTAGATCTGGGAGGAGTTGAAAGAGTACCCTACACAAAGATTCGACTACCCTTTGATGAGGTATTTGATTTGGAAAAATATCCTCCTCTTGCTATCAAGTGCTGTATATTTGGGGTGAAACCTAGAGGTGATGAATGGACTGAATTAGCTATTACTGCTGTTCGTGAATTTTGTGGTGACCGAAAGTTGTTAATGATGATCAAGGCTATTGTCGGAGATCTTAAAAAAGTAGACATCTATCAACACGAACATGATAGACTTGCTTATAATAATGCTTCATTACGAGAAGTCCTTGTATTCTCGCGCCATGCTAGAGTACAGCTTAATGAAGCTGATATTATCAGGTATAACGTACCAACTGAGTTGGATTTCAGAAAACCTGAATTGATCTCAATTGCTAAAACTGAAAGTGTTCTTGTCACGGAAATTCAAAGTCCAGATCTTTTCTATGTCACTCTTTACTCTAATCAACAAGCGTTTCATGATCTACACGAGAAACTTAAAATTTACTTCGATCTACCAGAAGAGCCTTATATTCTTTACTGTCCTGAAAAAAATCAACCTTGTGTGGCATTAAACGATAGAACATTTTACCGAGCTTTGATCAAAAAAGTACTAGAGTGCGATAAAGTTGAAGTGGAGTTTGTTGATTTTGGTCACACTGCAGTTGTTGAAACTAAAAACCTTAGGATTATTCGAGAAGAGTTTTTGAAGAAGCCTATTTTTGCGATTGCTTGCAAATTGGGAGACGTTGCTCCGATTGGAGGGTTCAAGTGGAGTCCTGAAGTAAGTATCTGCTATTTTCTTAATCTATTATCAGCTATTATTAACCACTGTAATTTAGCTTATTAATTTCAACTTTTTTTTTAACTTAGTCCGTGGAAAATTTCAAAGATCTTATTTTTGGTGAACCGTCCGGAAACAGTCATATTTTCAATTTATCTGTCCTCAGTTACGAATCTAACGGAAAACATGTTATCAATTTGAGGCGATACACTGGAACTGAATATATTTCTATTAATTGTGCTTTAGTTTCTCTCAAGTGTGCTGTGAGTACTGGTCCCCTCACTGAAAATTCATCTGAAGAAATGGCGATCCCACAACTCCAAGTAACCAAATTACACGATAGAATATTCAAATATTTGAAAGATTTTGATGTTTGTGGATATAAAATTTTGCGAGAACTTGTTGCTCGCAATAGAGAGGCAAAATCCTCTAAGATTGACTCTTTTATAAAGATGCGAATATCTCATTGGATTAGTCCTGACAAATTTTACGTCCAACTTACTTCTCCAGAAGTAAGAAGTTATTTTGTATGTTATGAAAATAAGTTAGCTGATGATTACACGAGCCGCATCGACGAACAAGTCTCTCTCATACAAGATGAATTGGAAGTCAATGAGCCTGTTATTTTTGCTATTCGAGAAAAATGTTCCTGTACATGGAGGCGAGGTATCATTTTGAAAAGAAATCCTACCGACGATGATGAAAATGAACAGCACATGATAAAACAAGATAACCCCGAAACTATCTATACGGTTCACTCAAGAGACTTTGGTTTTGAATTGGAGGTACCTAGGAAATATATCTGGAAGTTACCCTTTGACTCACCATTTCTCAAAGATGGAGATTTTTGTCTTAAATGCCATTTACATGATCTAGTTGCAGCTGGTGGAGGCTCTTGGACTAAAAGTGCCATTGAAATATTTGGTGAATACATCGAAAAATATCAGGATCAATATTTGCATATACCAGAAAAATATCTTCCATCAGATCCTCCAGAATCTGTCGGGGTTGATGTTTATGGTAAAGAAATTTACATTGAAAATGCCCTGGCTCCAGTGAAAGTTAAACATCATTCATTTAGAAATCTCCTGGTAAATCGAGGAATTGCTGTCCCTACTAGGTAATTATCATAATCTTTTTACCTCAATCTTTGGAATTAATTATGAAATTTATTTATTCTCTTTAGAATGATGTCACTTAGTGATATTGAAGATAATCCTGACTCTGATGGTGGAAATGAAGAGCCACCTAATAGAAGTTTGATGCCAAGTCCAAAGAAAGATTCAGTTCTTAGCTATATTCGAAGTGAGCGTGCAAACGTTCGTAGACAGATGGGTCACGTCACCATTCAATTTTACAAAGACCCAGAAAGACCAACCACTGAAAGCTTTGTTGGCATACCTACAGATGTCCATAAAGGTATGAAAATATGGTTTCGTATTCAACGAATAGACGGCTTTCAACCTGTGAATATTATCAATCGAAGCATTGCCAGAGCTTTGAGGGATCAAGAAGAGTTACTACCCTTTTCTGGTGAACCACTGAATGGTCGGGCATGCACTGCGTTCTTTGAATACGATAAAACATGGAATAGAGCGGAAATCCTCTATGCTAAGGATAATGACAATTTTTTCGTTCGTTTTGTCGATTATGGAAACGAAACTTCCGTTTCAAGAGAACAAATGAGTAATCAAGTATTCCATCCTGAAATACCGAAGCTAGCTTTGTATGCAATTCTCGCTAATTGCAAACCAGCCATTAACGAGAAGGAAGATGATAGGCTTGTGAAAGCCATTGGTGCAAAAATTGTTGATTTGTCTTGTGTCTTCAATTGGGAGGTAAGTCTTTCAATATTGATTCTGTGTGAATTTAACCAGTAATTTATCTCTTTATAGAACTATCAATCGTTGAGAGATCTTAAAGTTTCCATATTAACAGAGAATGGAGAGGATTTGAAAACACTATTGCTAAATGAAAACCTAGTCATCGATGAGGCTTCAGCGTGTGAATTTGTCCCTCCAGTAATGAGAAATCTAATTGAAAGAATCTCTGTGTGTGGATTTAAATTGCCGAAAATGGATTTCAAAAAGAAAGTTTATTATCCTGTTAGAATAACTGGCAATTTCCGTCAAAACTGCACTCTATTCCAAGTCAAACCCATCGCTAATCCATGTGACGAAACAGATTCAGCAATTAATGCCAAGGTTAAAGATTACCTTGCTTCTCTGGAGGTTTTACGATCGGAGATTGAAACTTTCGATAGTCTTAAAGAATACAAAATTAATGATATTGTTGCCGCCAAATACTCGGATTATCAATGGTATCGAGGAATAGTTGTGGAAACTGTTTCAACAATCTTTGGTAAAGAGTATCGAGTGCTATTTGTTGATATTGGTTTTTCAGCTGTAGTGGAAAGGGAAAAAATGAAGAGACTTCCTTATAAATTTATTCAAACTCCTGAGATATTCGCATTACCTGCTATAGTCGTTGACATTAAACCCAAAAATGGAGTATTTAATGCACTTTTATGCGACAAAATGGACAGACAAGTTAGTAAACACGAGAAAGCAACGCTCATACGTGTTGTTAATGATTCAATTCCGTACGAGATTGAAGTTTTCACTGCTGATCCTGAAAATAAAAGAAACCCAAAGGATAGTTTGTGGGAACCACTCTTCGAAACACAGGATTTTATCAAAATAGAACCTGCAAGCCCTGAAATTATCGAAGATATTAAGTGAAAAATATTTCCTATTTAATCACTTAGACAATTAATTTTTCCATTATTCATCAAATTCGTTTCTGAACCAACATTCATAATCTCAAAAAAAACTTAAAATTTATTAATTTCAATATTTTTATCTACGTTAACAGATTCAAAAAGTTAATCATGCATAAATAAAATTTCCAAATCTATTACACAGTGTGCTTCAAATTCACTATTACATTGTATTTTCATTTTATTACAATATTCAACCAAAGAAACAATAAAATTAAAAAATTCCCAAAATATTCCAAAAGTATTCAAATAATTGACTAAGACCCTTTTCGTCGAGAATACGATGGACTGAATCAACAATTAACTTTAATATGCATATTATAGTATATTCAGGCCATTTTAATCCGTCATGATTCCTGTTAAGATCGAGTCAAACTCTTGCTCTATAGTTGCTGGTATTATGAGCAATACACATTAACTTTGCTGATTAATTTTTTCATGTTTTGGCAAAAAAGGCCCACAAAGAGAATCGATATTTTTTCACTATTTTTCATCGAAACGCCACTGACAACATGAAAAGCTGAACTACTGATGATTTGCTGATGTATTCAGCCACGCAATGGAAGTCAATTTACATGTTTAGCCTGGCCGATAAAAAAATTAATGATCTTCTATAGAAACACCAAACTATCCAACATTAATCAATTAACTACTAATTAGGAATTGAAAGTCAAACATAATCATTGAGACCCAAAAAATATTCACAAATCAACAAACATTCAAACATTGAGCTGAATAATTGGAAGGTTGATTTAAATTTCTGTGTAAAATGGCTGGAAAAACCGATGAAAATTATTTCCATAGATGGTTGGCTCTTAAATCAACCAAAGAAAAAAGTGTCGATCTGCTGAATGCCTTTGAAATGTCTGGTTATCGCTGGTTCTCAACTATTCGTGGCTACAAACAGGTAAAACCAATAACAAGGAAACACTACATTATTGGATTGACGATTGACTTTTTAGGACTGATAACGGTTTTAAGAGGTTTCCTCATAATCTTGATTCCAAACTCAACAATTCGTATTCTGTTGGGTGATTTATTTGTTGGTTCACCCGCTGAAGAGATTCAAGTTTCGCTAATTACGATGCTGTTTACACTGTCAAGTGGTTTAAAGTACAACGGATTTTTAGTCGAACGAAAAGGACCTATCAGAGTATATCAAATTCTGTACCATGAAATTCGAGTCTCCAAATTTGATAGGAAACAATTCATGTTGACTCGAGAAGATGATTCCAGTCTTAGAAAGGGTTGGTACTTGTTTGGACGTTTTTATTTCATTGCAACTCCATTAACCTGTTTAGGTATCGCAGGTTGGCTGATATTTGCCTTCACAGTTAACCCAATCAATTACAGTAATCCAGTCAATTTGATTGCCACAAGCTTCTGGACCATTTTAACAAGTATCATTTTCACATTGGGTGCTTATTCAACAATCTGGCTTTATTGTCACAACACAATGTTTATTCCATTTGTAACCTTATCATTGAATTCAGTTCAAAAGTTGGGCAAGTCAATCATGGGGCATAAAAAAACTGCTCAAGGAGACATCTTGAAATACTTTGCTCAACAAAATCGCATCTACAATTTTATACATTTGTGTACAACCGACTTGGGTACAATAATTTCATATGGGGTTCTCATAGTCTCGGCTACAGCTGATTTCGCCATGTTTACCAGTATTTTCATCGGAACTGGGAGTGATCTTTTTGATTACATTATCCTTTCCGTCGGAATCATGTCTTTCGGTGCCATTGTGGGAATCAATGTATTTTCAGCCTTTACTACACACAGAGTAAGTAAGCAACAGTCAAGTTTGGTTCATCTAAAAAATTTGGTTTATTTTCTTGGTTAGATAGCGCTGTGTAACTCGGTTAATTATCAGTTAGCAAGACGATGTAAACTCGATTTACAATCAAGTATCAAAGTAAGTATTAAATATGAATTAACTCTCAACTTACATGTTTCTTCATCCTAAGCTTTTAGCTACTTGTGAACGTATTAACACAGCTCCAATCGGCTTCACTCTTAGTGGAATTGCTATCATGGATTCTGAACATTTGCTTCTGGTATGACATTGCTTTCAACGTTTTAAATACAATTTACAACACATTTTATACAATATCTTTTAGTAAAATTACTTTTTTTCATTGTTACTACAGTATCTCCTGGAAAATGCTGGATTAATGTTAATGTTTATAACAAACTTTAACAAAGCAACTGTAAACTGAATCTTAAGCATAAATTGGCTCAACATTTGAATTGACAATAGGTTATAAGATTGATAGCTATTGATTACCAATAGACATTATTAAATGGTCAAATCCTATGGAAAGCACATATCTATTGTATTTTTGCACCGATGATAAAATTATGCTCATTAGGTGACAATTTCAGTTTCACCAGTGAATCAATCATTTTAAATTTGCTTTTGAAATTGGTTAAAAATGGCTTCTGTTGGTTGCTTCTTGACAATTATTCATCAAATTCACTTCTGAATCAACATGCATATTTTCAAAGGCACACAAAATTTATCAATTTCACTATTTCAATCTGCACTATTCCATGATCCATTAATAAAATTTTCAAATCTATCACAAAATGTGCTTTTTATTTCATGTCTAACAAACGAAACATTCAAATGAATAAAGTCATCGACAAAATATTTTCAAAAGTATCCAACTAAGTTAATTGTGTTTCCATGAGTTTGCCAAAAAAAACACTTTAGCAACAAGTTTGATTCATGATTCAATTCGTTTCATCATTATACCTTTTAATATTTAACCGTCAATACTAAAAGAGTTTGATTGCAGTGGGAAAATGGTCTCTATTTATAGAGATTACGTGAATCAGCTGTAAATTTGTTTCATCTCTTTTTTTTTGTTCAGAATAAAAACCTAAAGTAGATATTTATTGTAACCATGGTTAATTGAACGATCAATTGTGATTATTCCATGATGGAAAAATTGCTGTTGCCAACTAATGACGCCAATCTTAAATTGTCTAAATGAACTGGGAGAGGGAAGGTAAGAGAAATGGAGAAATAGACAGAAAAACGAAAGGATATGTAATGTTCGTGAGAAGCTTGCGCCTAGTTAGGAGGCTTGGATAAGAAAGGTTCAGATGCTCTGTTATGTCAGGACGTATAGTTAGCAACAATAATAACCTTAATTGTGATCCTGTGTATAACATTTGTGGTTGACAATCGGTTAATTGGACTAAACATGGGTTCTAATTTAAAATTAAACGACAATGTTGATAATCTTAAGCCAAGAAGGTTGATTACAGTAAGACATGGTGAACGTATGGATCTGGCTTTTGGTGATTGGATTAAACTGTGTTTTGACAAACAAGGACGATACAAACCACAGGACTTGAATCATCCAAAAAAACTGATTGATCGTGAACCTTGGGCCTATTCAAATGATTCACCGTTAACACCAATAGGTAAGACAAATTAAAATTTACCCTTTTAGCAACCCTATCTCATTCAGTATCCTATGCATAAGATGACTTACCATTTTCTCGTATGACTTGTATTAGGACAGTTTCACCTGATTTTTCAATTTTCATTTAATTACTTCACTTATTAGACATTAGCCACCATCTATAGATTAGCCACCATTCTGTTCAAATATTTAATTGCAATATTTTTAAAATGATAAACCAATTAAACTCTAGCATGTATATGAGAAGATGGCATTAATCATCTGTTTGCTTTTTCTTCCTAGAATTATTCCCAGTAATTTCCTGACAATGGGAACTTGATATGTTATACATGTAGATTTAAATTACGTTTTACTAATTGAATTGTTTCTCATTTCAGGTGAATTTCAAGGATTTCTGTTTGGACAAGCTCTTAGTGACCATGGCGTTGAAATTAACCATGTTTATTGTAGTCCAGCATTAAGATGCTTACAAACCTGTCACAACATTCTGAAAGGAGCTGGGATTCAGGATAACCTGGCTGTTAATATTGAACCTGGATTATTTGAATTTTTAGGTGATCATTTACACCGTTTGCCATCATGGTTGACTCCTAAAGAGGCTGCTGCTGGAACTGGAATGAACATTAATCTGGATTACAAGCCACAGATAGAAGCTGTAGACATGTTGACCATCCGAACAGCTGAGAATCACAGTGATTTCTATGCAAGATGTCATAAAGTTGTTGAATCAATTATTTCTTCCACTGTCACAGGGAATATATTAATTGTTGCTCATGCTGCCTCTGTTGACTCTTGCACTCGCCTTCTCACTGGAAAAAAATTACCTGAATGGAATGATTTCTTTCAATTTGTTCATCGGATACCTTACCTAGCTCATTCACATTGTCAAATCAACAGAAATGGTGAATGGAAGATGGTTGAACCCTTGTTTCCTGGCATAACAATCAGCTCCAATAATCACTATGATTATTCATCACTTTGGTCAATGTTACCCAAATGAGCTCTCTCTAAACACAGATTATAAAGTGGTCAAGTTTCATTGTTCCTGTTGTGGCTCATTTTAACTGTTACTCCATTTTCCTGCAATTGTTGTGTTTCACTCGACCCTTCTAAATTATACGTATTTTTTGTTTTATTAGTTCAATTTTCGCTATTGAACTGGCTGTTATTAATGTAGATTTAACGTTTAATTTTATTTTTTTTATTTACTATGTATAGAGATAAATACTATCATATCCTTTGGTTAAACAAATTCAAGAAAAAGCGAGAGCGAAACAAAAATTATTCACTGGACTTTAGACTTGTTCAAAATGTACTATCAACTGTTAATACAACCAAATCCTGGTTGTTTTCAACATTACATCACAATTGTTTCGATCCTTAGTCAATCAAATTCAACATTATGCTCAAATCTACCCGTTTAACCGATTAATTCATTCACTTACTGAATCACACAAAAATTTCAACGTCGTTTTATGGTCAAATTAAGATAATTATCGACAGATTAAAATAAGTTATAATGAAGATCTATTTATTATTATTGAATGACTATTTAAAAATTATCTTGAGACTGGTTGAGTCTTTTTCATTTGATATTGATTATTTATATGCAGACATTGATTTTGAGTAAATCAATTCAATCATCATAATGATAAAGGGAATCAAATTTCTTTTTAAATTATCATGGTTATGCTTGTGATGAATAGAGCTAATGAAATTGATCAAATCGCTAAACCATTCCACTCAGACTTGGAAGACGTCCTAATTAGGCTCTCATGATCTAAGATTTTTTTGTAAGACCGATCAAAATGGAAGAAAGAGGAACTGAGGGAAGGCAGGGTGACGGCATAATGTTGGTATATGTTGCATGGAAAGATTCATGGGAAACTCGAGGCGATGTCAAGCAGCTGGTTAGGTGTCTTGGTGTCTCCAATGAACTGTTCCTTATTGCAATTCGATATTTTTTTGTCGTCAAGTTTTCTCTGGTTAATTGCTTTTGCTAATTGTTGTTGAATCGTTAATATTGACAGTGAATTGATTGTTCGATGTAATTACATAATGATATAAATAGCAAGCTTATTATACTTATCAACCATCATTAGAAGCGAATCCGAATTGAAATAATCTCATATTGATTTCCTCTCAAGTGCATTTGTTTATTTTAAGATATGTTTTCACAGACAATCGATTGATCAATGTTTATAGATTATTTTTTTCAGTCGGATCAAGCATCAATTAATGGTTACCTTTAATACCAGATTAGATGCTAACAATAATATAAATCACTTGAATCCAAATCAACCTGTTAAAACATCCCTTGCTGACCACAAGAGTTTTGCACCATCTTATCCTGGCTAATGTTGCCTTGAAATCCACCACAGATAACCGAATCCTAAATGGGTTTCAAGTTTTCCAAGACACTCGCTCGTCATTGGATAAGCTGTAGCTGCACAATCAGTCACTGAATTTAGTTTGAAACAATCATCAACAATGGAATTGATTGTTTTCGATAACTAATGTGATCATAATTGACCAAATACTGGACTAAACTTGCTATTACCTTTTAAGTTATCGAAACAATCAACATGTGAATAACTTATATTAAATATTTTATTTTTATCCATGTGAACCTCACATTTGCAAGCTGCGCTGCGAATTGGTAGTTAATAGTTATTGAAAGAAAAATAAGCAATGGTAATTGTAAAAGTTAATTGTGGGTTTATTTAAGAATAGAAATCAATTTCGACTTATTGCCCTGAAAATACAAGAATAGAAAGCATGTAAATATTTTTTAAATATTGTATGAAATATAAATTCAATGAAAATGGATGGCGCTCAACGACCTGGACATTCCCCATGCACATACCAACTAGGTATAACTGACTCTATTGGTACATCCATTTTTTGAACAATCACAGGCAGGAAAGGTGTACAATGAAATCTATAGACACCTTTTTCGACTTTACAAGTATTTGTAATGAAATCCAGAGTTTTGTGAAGAAAGTTGAATAATGCTCCTCGATTATAACCTCTATGAAAAAGCGTATGAGTTGGAACAGACGTAATATTTGTGACCTTAAATTCGTCACTTTTTTCTCCAATGTAAACTCGACTTACACGATTGAGCATGTTTCTCGCCCACAACGAGATTTTACGAGATTCCCATGAGTTTTTTCCCGATCGAGTTCTTACATCGACAATATCCATGTCATCAATAGGGTCGGACACATCGTCTTTTCTATGTACAGCAGTACAACGGGCGCTGTAAAGAAGTTTATGCCTTCCAATGTTGGCAGTATTAACCGAATGAAAAGAGTCTCTCAACCCACCATCATGAAGTGTACTATTCTTGCCAGTGTGTTTCTTAGTCACCAACTGTTCAAAGCGATATCCAGCATAAGAAGACAAGTTTGAAAGCTGAGATTGGTCGTGAACACGTTTATTTCGTTGGTAAGTATCGATTTCATGCATGAAGATTTGACCGTCGAACCTGCCTACAAGAATTTCCCAATCATCCAGACTATTCATAGGAGAAGCCATGATGGTGGTCAATGTCTTTGAATCCGTGATGATACTGGGTACGTTATCGTTACTATCCATGAATCCTTTATTTTCCCAATACCATCGTACAATATCACGTTCGCAGGGTGTACGACACCAATGAGCAAATTGGTTGTAATTGCTTGTCAAGTCTAATGTAGTATCAATATTTTCTGGTGGATTATAATACCGAAGTTGCGATTTATCGGAAAAAAATACACCCTTTTTGGAACGAATTTTGATTGAAAAATAGCCGACTCTAGTTGGGCGAGACATTATTGATGATCCTTTTCTGTCGTATCGGTATAGATCAATAATTGGCAGGTGAGAAAAAGGTTTAAATAATTTACCCAGTAAATATTTTTGTCGTTCACTGATCTCTTTGAAATCCACATTTTTCAACATCTCCCCAAATTTAGTTGCATCGCTGGTTATTTGTATAAACAATGTAAGAATTGAGCCTCTCTCCCTTCCTCCCGGCATCAAATTCTTGGTTTCGTTGAGGTTCCAATAATCAGTAAGCCATGTTGGAAGACTTGCATATAGTGAAATGGAGTGATCCATAAGTACTCGGGAATGGTACACTTCAGTTGTAATACAATCCAATACAACAGGGTCAATGGCTACATCAACAGGAGGTTTGATACCACGTAGTTCAACTGGAATTTTTTTCACATTGGGCGTTGCACCACCATTTGCATCAGGTTTAAAGTTAGATCTTTTTTTCGCACTTGATCCTACAAAGATGTACGTAATGACGAAACTCATAGTAAATACACAAGATAGTTTTGTTGTTTAATTGGAGGTGACCAGTTGGGCAAATGAAGGGTGAATTTTAGCTAGAAATGAAAAGTTGTCCTTTAAAGCCATAAACTATCAAATGTTTTGCTTTTAAATAAAAGAAGTTGTTTAAATTTTAAAGAGACTAAAATTAAACACAAATCCAGAAAAACGGACTTTAGGATTATAATACATATTTCACTGTATTGTTATTCATACAAATTTAGACAGATTAAAGGTTTTGCTTTCAATATCCCTATTGGATACTAAGATGAGGACCAACAATGAAGAAGACGATCACATGAGGATTGATAGATGAGCGAAACAGGATGTTTATCACTGAATTAAACAAAATATTCACCAATAACTTTATTAAACGAATGCACGAGTGGCATTACATGCAAAATAACAAGTGAAACAATCCACATTAACTTCAACTTTTAAACGTTAGCAATACAATGTTTGTTACTATCAGTGATAAATATTAATTGAACGCACATTGAACTTTGGTCTGATAGTTACATGAGTGATCAATTTTCAATAACTGTTAATAGTTATTTTCTTGGAAATTAAATTTCTATCTCAAACTGCCTTTGCTTGCTCTGTCTGCTAATTATCAATAAACTTTGGTTATTCTGTAAGCAAGTTAATCTTGAGGTAAGAATTCAGGAGTGAGAAAGAACATTTTCTATCAAATCGAAGCCGCTTTCTTCCAAAAATAACTGACTCGAGACTAGTGAATTGAATAGATAGTACAAATGATTTACAAATGTAATGATCGTTATAGTAAATCCATACAGCAATCAGTCTACAGTTGGAAGAGAGGAAACAGGAGAAAAATTTATATCTGGTCAAAGAAATGAAAATTCATCAAGCTAGTTAATAAGTTAATAGTTATTAAGTTAACCTTAATCTCACTTCTGCTCTGAAATTTTTCGTAACAAAATTATTTTCGAATCAGATGCTGATTTCTTGTTTTGAATCATCCGGTTGTTTGGGTTGAAAAGCAAACTTCGTCTTCGAATCATTGATTGGGTTAGTGATATATAACGAATTGGATGTTCAGCTGGTTTGAAAAGTTTTTTTCCTGGTGAAGTTGGAAACATTGATGATGAATGTGAAGCTGAGTTAATTATTGCTTTCCTTTTGGTCAACCCTTGATCGGACGGTTCACAACAAGTTACACAAAAATGTAATTTATGAGCCAGAAATGTGAATGTGAATTGAGTCTGAAACATTCATCGACAATGGAATTGATAAGTTTTTGATAAGTAATGTTATTATAATTTCGTTCATAACACTCAGCAGCAAAAGGTAAATCCCAGTGAGAGGATTGAAGGGATAATGGATGTGGACAGCCAGTGATTTGGACTGTTTTTCGAGTTAAACACTCATCCAAAACACCATCCCTTGAAGTATAATTATTATCTGTTTTGGTTCGAGCATAATTTCGACAGTTTGTCAAATACGAAGGAGGGAGAAGATTCAATTGAACTGTTTTAAGGTGATAGCGGAAAGCGCGTGGATAGTCTGTCATTGTTTGTACATCCATCTTACAAGAAGGACTGACTGGAAGGGTTGTGGGTAAAGTTGCTCCGATAAAAACATAATCAACAGAACGAAAGAATGACTGACGAAATTCGAGAAGAAACAATTCTGGTGGAACTGGATCTTTGTAAAAGTCGTTGGTTGTAGTAATGATTGGCCCATCAAGTGAACACACAAACACAAAGCACACCATGAATGCACGATAAAAGAGTCTCAGGTCACATAAATCAGTTATCTTTTTGTTTAAATTATGACGTATGTTGAGACCACCAAAAAGCTCATCAGTGGTGTATAAACATTCAGTTACTCGTTAAGATTCTTAAAAGATTAAACAATGATCGAGCCGTACTAACGTAAGCCGTATTTAACATGAAGCACTGATTAGTTTAGAAGTCAATTATCTGAATAACAATTATTTTAATGAAACTTATTGATGAAATTAAAAGTTAAAATTTGTCTTCAAGGTGATTAATTTAGGCAATTTTGCGCCATCAAAACACCATAAAATTGTTTCAATTTAATGACTATCTGTAAGGCCAAAGTCATTATTCCTAGTGAATAAAGAAGTTTTGTAAATGGTAAACTTGAATAACCATGATGTTTAGAAACAATTAAGTTTCCCAAATCGTTTACAAAACAAAATTCAATTGAATGAGTCAACTGTGAGACAACAAAAAAATTTCCCGAAAGATCATTGACACATCATACCAACAAGGTCGACAATAAGAGAGGAAGCAACAACAGCACATAAAGGACCAGTCGTTAACAAAAAAAGGTCTGCTTATTACCATAGGTTTTTAAAGGTGTTTTAAGGTTGGTCAGATGATAGACCAGATGAAGATTGAAGAAAGAGGAAAGACAGGGAAACGGCTTAAGGTAGGTAAGTTGGAAGAAGCAAAGCGAGAGAGTGAGAGAGAATGAGAGAGATTTGTGAGCGACAGATGAAAAGAGGTAGAGAAATTTTTAAATTTTTACTCCCGGTTTTTAGCAACTGTTACTTTGCTTATTTCCAACCTTTTTTAAATCCTTAATCTTTTGTCTTCTTTATTTTAAAATTTTTAATTATAATTTTTAATTATTAATAATCCTTATACTCACCAATTGTTCACCAGTTCATCTAACTAACTGTAACTGCCAAAATAATCAAGTTTGGCCAGCAACAGTTCAACATTTAAATGTTACCGGTTTTTCCCCAGTCTTCTGGTTTTACCTTCTGCAAGTGATTTTGTTACATTGTTTTTATTGACCAGTATCTTTAATATTGTGTTAATTCTTGGATTATTTTAATACCAGTGGATTAACCAGGTTGTCTGGTATGTTGTGTTACTTTGTTGATCACCTAAACCTGTGTCTTGTTTGTGTTTTCAGAGTTTATGCAAATTAGCATCTGTATTTGGTTATATTGCTTTCATATTTTCCACTGTAGCTGGTTGTGTGTGTTTTTTTATTGTCGATCAGTAATTGAAGTTTCAATTAGAATCTAATTGTTTATCTCTTTTCTGATGATTGACTGCTCTCTCTACTAACTTGATTAACAGTTTTCAACACCTATTTATGATCAGTTATTAGTGTAATGTTTGCTAACAGTTAATTTATTCAAATCACAACTTTCAATTAAGTTTAATTAGTTGAACTCTCATCACCGAGACCAATTGTTTTATTCAGCTCAGTATCTAATTGTAATGATTAACTGGTTGATCACTTGAAAGAGAGTTGAGCTGATAATTCAATGAGTGCTTATTTTTTTTGTCAACTTGTTTTTCTGTACGATTGACTGCTTAAGCTGTGCTCTTCTTATTAATAATAGCTCTGATCGGAGATGTTAACTCTTACTGACGGCATAATATTGTCATTATTATACTTTTACGTTATTAAATAATTCTTTCTGTCATTTTTCACTCATAAAGTTCTACTATTGAAGATATTGCTCAAAAACAGTAAGCCTGAAGGGTTTATTTTGAAGGTTCTACTACAATTCACATCCAATCAGTTGGCAAAAAAGATGTTATTACAAAGAAATTATGACTACTCTCGTTTTATTATCGTCTCTTGTGTATCCACTTGAATACCCTTCAACAATTTACCCTTTGCCTGCCTCGCTAATTCATTTAGCAAACTGTCAAACTTGATCAGTTATGGTTTCAATGATTTTCATCAGCAAAACCCCATTGTACTTAACCCAACAATCGTGAAACTATGAAAACAAACAAAATTTCACTTATTTCAGTTTCTCATCACTAATTTTTTTCTTCATCTTTTATCATTACAGGTTCCACATTTGATCCAGTTAATTGTGCGTTAACACAGCTGAGAATGAGATGGCTATTGATACTGTTGTGAATAATTCCGCGAAGATATAGTTGCTTGTGAATCCATCTTTTTACTGTTTACTTTGCTCATAACCAATTTTACTCCTTAAAGCCAATTGATTTTATTCATCATCTCAATAATTATTGCCACTTGCAGCCTTAAATATGCGTCAAGACTTGAATCCATTGGAAGTTGATATTGTTTTCAATTGTGAGTCGGTGTAACCTGCAAACCAAAACAAGTATAAAGGAAAGGATAAACTGTTTTGGATCAAAAAGAAATCAATTTCCCTCACTAACCCTTATTTAAAGATAATCACCATCTCACCTGTATCCATACATCAAAGCTATTTTGATTGAAGGATCTCATCATCAATTTAATGTGCTATAATCGTTTATCATTGTTATTTCATTATTAATTGTGATCAACACCATTCTAATTCTATTCGACTGTTACTTTTATATATTTACACTCACACAATAACATCATTAAAATAAGTATCTAAGCTATCACGACGACAACGACGACGACCACCATCACTACAAACACATCTACCACCAGCAGCAGCATAACAACCGCCACCACTAACAACAATAAAAATAATCATAACAGGATAACTCTGATGAGGGTGTTGATGAAATATTTAATGTTGGCTTGATCGTGTCCTTAAAAGAAGAAAAAAAATACAAGAAAAATATCTTGGTTTGATGGATTAAAGGCGTTGAAATTAAGTCAAGCAACGGTGTTAAAGGAAAAGAAGATTAATTTTTTCTTGTTTCATCATTAAAATTAGTAACCTTGCCACTTGGAGAATCAATATGATTAACTGTAGTTTTGTTTCATTCTGCTTCCCTCGGATTGATGTGATTGTCGCCTGAGCTTTGCTTTAAACAGTTGTTTATTGTTAAAGGAAAAAAGAACTCGATTATCTCTACTTTCTTAATCAAGACAATTTACCTTGAAAAAAATTTAAGAAAGATATTAATCTTTACCTACTTGAAATTTTCTCTTAACATTTCAATAAATCAACTCGTGATCTATTTCAATTATCGTCATCATTTCATTTTGGATTCTTCTTCTTCTAAAATTGCAATTTTTAGTGTTTTCTGGTTAGATGAATATCCCACTTGGTCAATCATGTTTTAAAAAAGATTACCAGGAGAACACTGTTACTGGTCATCTTCATTTTTCTAACCAGTTACCTGTTCAACCTCAAAGTGGTATACATCTTACCAAATTTGAATCTTTACCTAGAGGACTCAAAAGAGCTGAATTGAATAGTGTTAAGTGTCAATCAGTTGAAAATTTAACACATTCACCGCTTCCTCCCATGTACTCTACAATTACCTCAAGTACACCACCACCTGGAATCATTGAAAATCATCACCAAGGAGGCTTCATAAATGGCCAGTTGTCTTTGAGAAAAGGATTGCGTCGCCTTTTAGATAAAAATGGAACCTCCAATGGTAGCCTCAAATATTCTCATTCATCCCATGTTCTCAATCAATCATCAAACCCAACAAATGCAACTAAATGTGAATTTACCAATGGTTCTTCATCAACCTTATCATCCTCATCTAATGGTTCATCCTCTTTATCAACTGGAAATCTAATGTCTACTCGAAGTCATTCACTGGAAAATGGAAATGCAAAGTTGAAAGATTCTGTTCGTTCCAGTACCATGATAAACAACACGGTTAACCAGACTAAACAAAGTTTTGTTAAAACACCTAGAAGTCGAAGTTCATCACCGCATCGTAGTCTACGATTTAAATCTTCCATTGCACGTTTCATTGATTCAAATGGTCGTCTGGTTGATTGCAATGGTCGCCATGGGTTACCTCGGAAACAATTAAAAGCACTTCTACCTATGGAAGATCCAAACATAAATTTAACCTACTACCGACAGTATTCACCTATTATCGAGAAAAATGGCCTTCTCACACAAGTCAATATTCGTACTATGGATTCATTGAAAGAAAACCTAGACATTTATGTCGTCTCCAATAATTCAAATCACAACAACAACAATAATAATGAAAGCCATAATATTATCAATAACAAAAGTGTATCTGTTAAACGTCGCCCTTCCAATTTATCCTGTAGTCGTGTTTTACCAAATGATGATCGACTCTATTCACCACAATCAGTTAAACCATTTAGAAGTGTTTCCACCCTGGACTCTCGTAGACATTGTTACCAATCTTACTCTGGTCCTACAACCCCAGACCGTGAAATAGTCCATGGCCATGGTCGTGATTTACAGAGAAAGTTTAGTGATCCAAGATTAGTGTCTGATCACAGAGATCAATACAATTATTATCAACAACAACAAAGGATAACAAAAAATAATTACTTGACTTACCAACAGTATTTACAGCATCAAAACAAGTCAACAATGGAACTTATTCGCAATGGCGCTAGAATGCTCTGGTGTGAATTACCGCAGGTCCGTGAACTGGGTTTACTTCGTGAACTCTCACCAGCTCAGAGGCAGTTACAAGAGGCTCTTTTCGAAGTGATCACATCTGAAGCTTCTTACCTGAGAAGTTTAGACATTCTAGTCAACCATTTTGCAAATAATGCTATACTATCTAATCCAGCCTTTCTGGATCCTCGACGGAGAGCTGAATTATTTTCCAATATACATGTGATAAGAGACATTTCTCACAATCTGATGAACATTTTAGAGGTTCGCTGGAGACAGAATCTCGTTTTAACTGATGTTTGTGACATTTTAGTTGATTATGCTTACAACCATTTTGCTCCCTACTTAACCTATTGTCGTTTTAAACGTCGCCAAGAATCAACCCTTCGGGAACTTCAGCTGTCATCAAAATTCAACACTTTAATCAGACAACTAGAAATGGATCCAATTTGTCAAGGATTGACTCTCCATTCATTCTTATTATTACCTGTTCAACGGGTTACCCGGTATCCTCTGTTGGTTGAGGCAATACTTCGTCGTCTTCCACCCGATTCAGCTCAATATCGTTCCTGTAAACGAACCCTGTTTGCCACCGATAAGTTAGTTAAAGAGTGTAATACTGCTGCCAATCAATATGACAAATATCTTGATCTCACCTCTAAACTTAAATTTACCTCAAATAACATGAAAGGTTTATCAATAAATGAGCCCCGATGGTTAATTATGAATGTAGAAGTAACCCGATTAAAGCCGGAAACACAGTCAAACTTATTGATTGGCACCTTTCGTGCACCTCATTGGTCCAATTCAGTTAATGTTTTATCCATACTGAGTGACATGGTATTACTGAGCAAGAAAAAAGGGTGAGCCTTTTCATCTTTCTTCATGTTAATTCATTATTATTATTATTATTATTATTATGATATCCTCCATCAGCCAATTTATCCTTGTAATCCAATTACTTTACATTAATGCCTGATATTGTTTTCCTCTTCCTTTTTATCTAATAATTCAAAACATACTCAATCTTAATTCCATCAAATTATAATTATCTAGTTAATGTAAACCATGTAAATTGGTTCAATCCAGTTAAAGATTGATCCAAGAAGAAACTAATTTAAACATGCAATGGCAACTGAATGGCAACTGAATCGATACTTGAAATTGATTATTTTATAAACATTCATTTGTAATGTTTAATAATATTCAATGTTTAGTAAATATATATTGTAGCACTTGGAAGACTAATAATAGCAATAGAATAATTTAATGTAACTTTGAATTTTCAATCATGAGTGTTTTGTTTAAAGTATTTAATGTATTTATGCCTAACCTTTAATGATGATGATAATAGTCATGATACCTGTTAATGAGTAAAAAGGAAGAAGGGATTCTGATGGATTATCTCAGTTTATTTGGAAGTTGATTTTTGAAGTGAGTTGAAGTTTTTTAAAGGTTGGCGTCTAACGATATGTAAAGGAAAATGAAAAAATTGTTAAAAATGAAGATCAAGTTCAACTTAATGATATAATAATAATTTTTATGGCGATGTTAATGATGCATTAAAAGAGTCATTTCATATTAATGATTTGATGTTTGATTTCTAATTTTTTTCTTACCTTCTGATTGTTATTTTTCAATTTTACCTCAATTACAGAGATGAGTTAACTGTATACGACTATTGTTTCCGAGATCTTGTCCAGATGAGAAAAGTTGGCCTGGATACGAATGAACGAACTTTATTTAATTGCAAGCTTCCAGAAACTTATAAAAATTTGGTTAAGATGACATTTCTTCATAACAATTGTGGTAAAAGGATTGAATATTGTCTCAACTTCAATTCAATGTACGTATTGCTTTAATAGTATTTTAATTTTACTTTTAACTTAAATTAATTTATTTTTTTCTTCTGCTTTTTAATTTAGATCTGAACGAGATGAGTGTCTCTCCATTTTAGATCCAAAGACAAACTTTATAAGGACTGAACAATTCATGGAATCTTCATGTAAGATTTGGGAAGATTCAGTGAAACATCAGCAGCAACAGACAACCTGTTGTCCTAACCAACATAATGGCTGTCAAAATGGAGAGTACGGTCATGAGATTTATATATGAAGAGTAAATCAGAAAAATCTCACAACGATATCGCCATTCTCATCAATTACAACATTATCTTCCCTCATCTAAATCCTTCCTCTTTGCAACTCACAGTTGTCAGTTGGTGGAACAAAAAAGATGAACAAGATTTTAAACACTTAGCTGAACGAACACGACATCATCTTCACCTTTTTCACCTTCTTCTCACTCCGTCTTCATTTGCATAACATTTTTTGTTCACTTCTTCTCCTACTTCAACTTCAACTTCAACTTTACTCAATCTTTTTTTGATTTTTTTCTGGTTCATGGTCAGAGTGAAGGATTTTTCACCCACATCCTCCTACCAAGTTGAAACGAGACATCATCTAATATCATTTCATCTTTTTTGATCGTCTTCATTTGGAACAACTTGTCCGTAAATGTTGCCGTAAATTTAATCAACATGACGAACAAACTGTCAAAGTTGAACATCTTTTTTCTTCATCGAAACTCAACAGATAAACAAGTCATGAATCAACTTAACAATCAACGAATCTCATCATCATTAAACATCACAACAACCCTTCATCACTTTACTTCTCGCAACACATACAAACAAACTCACAACAAAATGTCATGTTTAAACCGATCTCATGCTCATTCACAAAATACACTCAACTTTTAGATACAATCACATTCCCAAGTGAACATCATTTTCACTATTCCGTCCAAGTGACTTTCATTTAGTGATATTTATCAATTTGGCTGCCATTTTTACAACCATCATTAATTATACAACTATTGTTACTATTAGTTTTGATGCCACTTTATTAACTCTGTCATCTTTCACCTACTATTTATAAATCCAACAAGTGTTAAGTTTGCGCCCTTAATGCTAAAAGGCATCTTTTTTTGATATTTTGATTCCACATTCATTTACCTTTTTTTAAAATGAACCCAATATTTACATAATTTTGTTACCCAGTATTAATCATGTTGAATTTTAATCAATATTGATCAATAATCATGAAAAGTAATCTCATGTAAATTATGTTCAACGATTTATTCCAACGGACAGAGTTTGTAAAGTAAATCAAAAGAAAAATCATATAAAATGTTAGATTAATGTTAGTTTTGTTTTGCTCATGTTAACTCTTTAACCTGTACATGGTTGAAGGACAACAATTAAGGCTACCTAATTAGTGATTCACATGACACATTAATTAATGATGGTGCACCTTGATTAATATTGTCATCTTCCTTAATCAAATCTAAATTTACTCTCTCTTTTCACAACCATTTTGATTACATTTTCTTGCAATTAATACAATAAAAATAGTTGCAGTGATTGTTACAATGTTATTTTCAAAGTATATTATTAACAATAATAAACTAAATAGGGTAAACACTGATTCAATTGTAAATTCACTTTAAAAAAGGACAAATTGTATAATATTGATTGTTCATTTGGCTCTTCCTTTTCCCTTTTGGCTTGGCCTTTATTGTAATATTATTATTATTATTAAAAAATATGTTTTCCCTTGCTTAATTGTTTACTGTTGTTTACTGTTATTATTCAATTTACTCACATTTTACACTCAATTACCAAATGCATAAACAATTATCTGAGCGTTAATTCAATTTCATACTAAATAACCTTTCAGCACTAATTGTCTTCAACCGCCACCAATAATTAATATATTAATACTAATTAGTGTAGCAAAATCAAGTCAAAATAATGAAATCTTGAAGTGAAAATTATTTGGTATAAAGGTTTCAATGAATGATATTGTTTAAGCTCTTTGTGTGTGTTCAATGTGACAATTAACAAACTGGGTTAACATGGATTATAACGGATAAATTAGAAATTATAATTGATTAGTTTGCTTTATTATAACCGTAAACCTAATCCTGTTTTGTACCATCATTATGTTTGCCATTTCATTTGCATAGGAAATAAAAATCTAATTGTTAACTTACAAATGATTGTAAGTCAATTTTTCCGGTTAATCTCAAGTGTTATTGTCTTTAAATTGACTGTCTGGATAAGGTGAATCAGAGTTGATCAAAGTTGATCAAAAGAATTGACTGAACTTCAATTCTGACTGAATGAACGACAAATTTTTTTGTAGACTAAAATTGGTTGAACTGTCAGATTGTATTAGGTATTTAATTGAACATACAACTGTGAGAACTTTTTTAACCTTTGATTTGATTTAATTTACGTTTATACGTGTAATAAAAGCCACACGAGATGATTTATTGCAACACTTTGCAAACTCACAAGTTGAATTCATCACCACATGATACAGAGTAAGAGTACATCACCACATGATTACCGGAATATCACACTGAGACTCGAGATTAAGGTGTATATTGAAGGGAGTAGAATGATTCAACTTTTATTTGGCAATCGTAATCAACGTCATTGTTTGACCAATTGATGATTGAATGTTCTTTTGTTGATGGATACGTTTTCGGATTACGTCAATATATTATCCATTGTGAGATTGGTTCATTAACTTGTAATAAGAAATTTGTAGATTCATTTGCTATCATGGCAATCAAAAGATATTTTTCGGTTTCAACGACTTTAAACTGATATCCTAGTAAATGGCTTAACATTTTTGGGTGTTTGACTGTAATTTACTTTAGCAACAGAACTGATAGTTTGAGTTGAGTTGTAAAATATTTGATATTCATAATCCGATATAACCTCATATGGAAATTCACAAGGAAATTGAACACTTGTTATCGCTATCGATCAGAATAAAAATAATTAATCTTTCATGTAGATTTAAGCTCAATTTATAAATGAAAGTGGCGATGATGAGTGAAGATTCTAAGCAAGTAATAAAACACTCGTAGCAAATTTAAAGAAAAAAACGATTATTTATCTTTTTTTATAAATAAATTAATCATGAAAATGTTTACAGAAAATCTGATAGTTTGAGAGCCCCTGTTGGAGTTGGATTATAGTCACCATCTGAGTCTCGTCCACCCCGACCACCTCTTCCTCCTCTTCCTCTACCTTTTCCACGACCGCCGCGACCGCCACGGCCACCACGACCACCACGGCCACCGCCGCCACCACGACCTCCTCTACTTCCAGCTTCAGCATAAAAGCCACCATCACGATCATCACGATCATCCCGATCATCACGACCATCACGACCATCACGACCTCCACGACCTCCACGGCCTCCACGACCCCCTCGTCCTTCATTAAAATGACCTCTACCTCTACCTCTGTATTCACCTCGACCCTCAGTAAAATGATCATTATTAACAGGGAAACCTTCTTGATCACGACGATGATTTTCGTCTCCTCTGTCTTGATCTTGATGGACTTGTCGATTACCAAGGACTTTACCTGGTTGCATTGGCTGTCCAGGTCTACCTCTAGCTTGTCTACCAGGTATACTAACAAGTCCTGAGGATATTTCAGGAGAACAGAAAACACATCCTGTACTTTCATTGGGATTGCGCTCTCTTTTGTACTCAACGTGAATTGTTTTACACGAACAAGTTGCACATTTTTCACTTTTCACAGTTACTTTAACAGCTTCTTTCAGTCCAGACATAAAAGAATCACATTTATTACAATAAATTTTCCACTTTCCTCCGTGTCCTGAACCAGGGTCCAGAGTTAAGGTTCCATCTAATGAGCACCAACGACAACTGCCGATACCCAAGTGTATCATTGATTGGAAGCACTCTTTATTGGGACACTGATTACAACCAGAAAGTTTATTCATGTCTTCGAATGGAGGATTGTTATAACATTGAGGACAGAGAACAAAACTTTTGGAATTTCCTCCAAATCCATTGAAATAGAGTAATTCATACTCATCAAGAGGACATTTTAGTTCTTTGAATGTTCGGAAACTACCATTAAAAGGTAAAGAAAGGGTTTCTTGGCAGTTAGGACAGTATAAACGAACAGGTTTAGCAGAGATGAGTTTAAGGTATCGTCTACATTTACCACATCGAGATAGTGCTTTGCCAGACTCAGCTAATGATGAAAAGGATACTTCGAAAAGCTCATCCATAGCTTGAATGTTTTTCACAAAGTTGTCAAATTTTTCTCTGAACTCCCTTAATGTACTTTGCAGGACATGGTGGAAATCAGCGGTACCTGCGGCTATCTGATTGAGTCTTTTTTCAATTTCACCTCTTTTTGTCGGTAGAACAAGATCGTTATCAATTTTTTGATATCCATGGATCAGAACAATTCCCAACTTAGTAGGAATTAAACGTCGACCACTAGAAATTTTAACGTAATTACGAACACATATATTATTTATGTGAGTAGGAATAGATGCATCAGTCCCAATACCATGCTTTTCCATTAATGAAATTAAATCTGATTCACTGAGATAATCAGGCGGGCTGGTTAATCTCTCGTCAAGTCTAGTCTCTCCAATGAAAAATTCATCTCCAGTTTTAATAGTCGGAGGAAGTCGTTGATCAGCAGGCATAGCTAACCAAGGCATTATCTCAGTGAAACCAGGATCCAAAACAATGGAACCAGTCTTAGAAAATTTTTCGTCTCCGATAGAAAGGTTAATGGTTGTTTGTTCATATTTACAATCACCCGCAAGACTACCGATGAAATGTCTTACTATGTAGTCATAAAGACGCCATGAGTCTCGGTCAGAGAAAGTATTGTTAGATGCTGACTTCATTGGTGTAATCGGTGGATGATCCCCTGCATCACGTCCTGATTTAGGTCTAACAACACCTTTATCCAGAATTTGATTAACAACTGTTCCGTAATCTTCATGAGATCTAAAAGTTCTAAGCGAACCAACAAGATCAAAATTAGCAGGGTATTGATTAGTTTCCGTTCTAGGATAACTAATAAATCCTTGAGTATATAATCTTTCAGCGAGTGACATGGCTTGATGAGGTCCAATAGCTAGACCTGAACTAGCAACACGAAGCATTTCCACCGTATTCAAGGCTCCCACTCTAGGTTTGGTTTTATCTTTTTTTGAAATACTAGTGACAACAGCTTTCTTTTGTGCTTTTATTTTATTTAATACGGATTTCGCCACATTCTGATTAAACTCTCTTCCTTTATCCCAGTCCAGTTGAAAGTTAGGACCACCAGGAACACCCACATTAACCAAAAGAACCCAGTAAGGTTCAGGCTGAAATGATTGAATCTTATCATGTCGATCAACGCAAAAACCTAATGTTGGAGTTTGACATGGGCCAAAAGAAATGAGTGCGCTATCAAGATTACCATATTTCCCCTAAAATAAAAAATAATATTATAATAAATGTTAGATTGCTATTAGTAAAGCTTTTCCGAAATTAAATCAAAAATTGAACTTACATGAAAAAAATGAGTTTGGAATCGAGTGAAAGCACAGCCAATACGTAAATCAAGTTCTTGTCGAGCATCTACTGATATTGATTCCAATTCATTAGGAAAAATTAAATTCTTCATCGCATGTTTAATGTCTTTTTCGGTGATAGCACTGAACTTGGCTCGGAAAACATTCTAAATAATATGAATAAGGCAAGTTGAAATTGAGAAAGATTAGATGTGGAACAAGACAATATATTGGTAATAATTTATATCATCTAACAGCAATTGTTGTGTCCTGATTTTACTATGATAAAGTTTTACCTGAGGTGAGCCAAATGAGATTCTCATGACAGTTTCAACAGCTTGAATTACTTCGAAGCAAATATTTTCTCCCTCTTTGTCACAATCCAACCAAAGAACAAGATGAGTAGCATTCCGGGCCTTTGCACAAAATGAAGTTTGTTAATGAAAAGTTGATCAAATCAATCATGTATCAAACTGAACAAACCTCGCTTTGAAGAAACTTTGGCATATGCAGCTGTGGATTAGCTTCTTTCTTAATGATGGGTGCATCAAACAACTCAACTGGCTCTACTTTATCCCAATTATTGTATTTACCGGGAAAATCGACTGACATAACATGACCACAAACAGAGGTAAATTTAAAGAATGCATCATTATAGCCAAGAAATGGTCCATGATATTCGTGAATCGAGCAAGCTCCATTACCACCTTTACGTGTCTTATAACGACCATTAGATAAAATTTTTGCCAATGATTCAGCCAAAGATGGTTTCTCTGCTACCATTAATACGATCACCTTGGAAAAGATAGAAAATGAAGAAAACAAAATCAATAGATTTTAAATAAAGATATGCACAGCATTTATCAACGATATACACTATTGAAATTTACTGTTTGATTATTGAATTGTTAAATTGACTGACAAATGCAACAAATCTCAAATCCAGAATTGCCAAATGATACTCACCATTTTTGAGGGAAATAGTTTTTTCTGATTTTGTAAAATAATTCACGATATAAATTAGATCATTTCCAAAAGAAATTAAATGACACTTTTTAAGCAAGTTTTCATGTTTCACAAATCAATTATTTACTCGGTTGAGGTTATATGTACACAAAGATACTATCCGATATCTGTATCTGATACCACCAATAATAACTAAAAATTGTAAATTTTTCGTTTAATGAATAGAAAAGCCTTAATCTGAAGTTAGCTTAAGAATTTTTGAGCATTTTAATGATGATGATGAATTGAAAAAAGGATTTAAATAATAATTTAATAATGGATTGAACTGATCTCAAATCATTCTAACAGATATCTGTTTCAAATGTTGCGGTAAAAAAATTGCACTCGTCTAAGTTTCTAGAAACAAAAAATTAGTCAAAACTAGACTCGAACCCTAATCATAACCTTTGCTCTTATTACACTCTAACCACTGAGCTAGCAATTTATTTTTAAATTCTGATTTAAATTTATCAAGTCATTTGTTCAAGCAGGCATTGTTAAATGAAATCTCTGTAATGTAAAGCTCTGGCTTTAATGTATGCATTCTTTGACTGGGATTTAATAAAAATTGATCAAAAATTAACTTTTAATCCACTATTAAACTATTATTTGAATCCTTGCCATTCAACATCATTATGTGTACGGTTAACTTCATTGTTAAAGATACACAGATTTGTGTACATATAACCTGTTCCTATTTACTCATTATTTAGAGTGGATTTCACGAGATATTGTGAGCTCTTATCTCTTTTACTTTTTTTATTCACCAGCTTGTCAGATAAGAAACACATGTCCAATTATAGAAATGGCGGTCTTTTAAAGATGAAAAATGTGAGAATCATTAATAAATACAAAACAAATGATCTAAACTGATTAGCAGAGTGTAGCTCATGTTAAATTAAATTCTTGATATCAATGAGAGATAAATATTTTTCTTAATCAATTAGATTTGATTCAAATAATTTATCTTACCTTTACCCATTTTAAATTTCCCTCCGCAATAAAGAAAAAACAGCCGGCTATAGTAACCAAGTTTTATTTCATTATTTTCCCACCTAACTCGTTGTAAACAATGTACAGTTTTAAATCAACAGCTCAGAATTTTATCCCTTGAATTGTTTACCTCTGGTAATTGATTATCCTGTTGAACATCTTTTTACTCTTTGTTTACAGAATTTTTTTGGGACCCTGATGGAAGTAGAAGGTAAGTAAAGGTTAAATGTTTTTCATGGTTATTAATTTTTTCATTTCATTTCAATTTTCATCATTCACAGAATGTTCATCGTCCAAAGAAACTCAGACAAGCGCGGGTCCATTCGAAAGGTATTTGTCCACCATTTTTGACAACCAAAGTGAAAACTATTCTGGTTTAACCTTGTGTTCAATTTGCTCGGAGCCCTGGGTTCAGGATACGGATCATCGAATAGTCAGTTTAAAATGTGGTCATCTTTTCGGTGAGAGCTGCATCAACAAATGGTTTGGCAGCACAAAACATGGCGGTCAAAAGTGTCCTGAGTGTCAAGCGCCAGTCCGTCGACCCGATATTAGGACATTGTTTGCAAAGACAGTGGTTGCCGTTGACAAAAGTGAGGAATTAAAGTTGGAGAATATAGCGCGTAAAGAAGCTACTTTGTTGGCCATGGCCGAGATAGAGAAAAACAGTATCACAACAAATATAAAATTATTTCAAACTCAGCTGCAGGGCCTGAAAATTCAACGTCAAGAACTGCTGCTCAAACTTGAAAGATTGAAAGCACGGAGTGGAGTGAAACCTGTTGCGGGATTCGAACCCTCTGACCAACCAATGAGTGAGGGCTCAGAAGTGGAATCAAAGGGCTCAGTCTATTCACCTTCAATTGAAGCATCGAATCTCACTCCAGGTAATTTTGTAAAAGTGCACGATTTCGAATTGTTTTCACATGGCGACTGTCGACTTTTGGTGTCCTCAAACACGTACAATATTTTAGCCTGCAGTCAAAAAAGTAACATTGATTTATTTGATGGTTATGGCATACGGACCGTCGGCTACAGCGATTTTAGACCCAAAATGTTTATCCCTCTGCACAAAGCACAAATCAAAGACATTGTATTCCATCCAAGTGAGCCTATTTTACTAACCGCATCAATAGATAAAACAGTCAAACAAACGCACACTCATCAAGGCTCAGTGATTTCAACCTGTTGCGTCGAGGATGCGGCATGGAGCTGTTGTTGGAATGAATCGAGTCCGACAAGCTTCTTCGTTGGCTTGAAAAATGGGCAAGTCTTAGAATTTGATGTCAGAGCGCTTCATCATCCATTAAATGAACTGAAGACTTCTGAAAAGTTGCCGGTGGCTTCACTTTCATATGTCAAAAATAACGTTATGACAGGTGTTATTTGCACCAGATTACGTGGAAGCGAATTTTATGCCTTCAAAACTGCAAACATAAGTGAGAGGTATCCTATGCCTATCATGGGCAATTTCACTTCTGCATATTATGATAATCCATCAGCTAATTTTTTAATTAGTAGTCGCCCGTTTAAGAGATCTGCAAATATTTCTCACTCCGTAAGTCGACGATCTTTTTTGATTTTCTTTTTCAATCTTTCTTTATTTCTCCATGCTGTTTGAAATTAATATTTTTTTTATTTGCATTCCTTAGGTTTACAATTTGCGGTTTGCATTCAGTGAATCGGAAGACAGCTACCTGTTTCAATGTTATCCCGTAGCTGAATATTTGGGAGGAATCAGAGCTGATCATGTTTTGAGAAGCAAAATTTATGCTCATCCAAACGGAAATGGCCACATTGTTTGCGTCGGCGATCAAGATGCAAACGGATTTATTGTTTTCGACTCAAATCTGATTACACCATTGTTAAAAATGAAAATTGGCAGTCCAGTTTTTGACACATCTCTGATAAAACCACCTAACACCGATCCTCATCTGTTTTGTCTTACAGATAATAAATTAATAGTGCACAAATGGTCTGCGTGATAATTATTTGATGTCATGAAAATCAATCATCATTCTCTTGACTCTTGTCATCCAATTTTATCGCAATTTATCTCTCAATACCTGTTCTTTCTCTGAAAAATTATTCAACTATCATGGAATCACAATTTTCAAAATGCAATCGAAATGCCCTTAAACCTGCCTAATCATCATCGTTGGACATCAATAAACTGAACTACTGATAATTTTGTGTACAGTATAATTAATTTTGTTATAATTGACTGATTTTTCCCTGTGTTTATTGCATTCATAACTTGTGTAAATATTGATGTATTTATTAATCTTTTGTACCTTGAAAACAGAATGCTCAATACAGTTACCTTAACTCAATCCTGAATTTCCCTTTCATGCTTTCAATTATTGTAACTAATTATTAATCATCAATAGTTTTATATTGATTAATCAATGGTTCACTTTAACGACTTCCTAAATCAACCAAAATATCATTATTCAACATTGTACAAGATTTGAAACCAATGAAACTCTTTAGATTTGTGTTTATAAATTTCAATTGATTACACCGGAAAATAACAAAATATTTCCCTCATCATGATTTTTGTCTATAATAATTAGATGCTATTAATTAAACAAAATAAGGTAATCAGTTATCAAATAATGATCAATCAAAAATCAAATTAAAGCTACGTTAAACAAAGCAAAACAGCAAAAAGATAGCAATTTTACAACTTCAAACAATTAGAACACGTAAACACAGCCAGATGATAGCAATTAACTCATCCTCTGAAGGCCAACTTAATGAATTTACATGATAACAAGTAAATAAGAAAGTTCTAAATACAACATTATATTTTTAATGTAAAAACAAATTTCACTTAAAGATGTTGTGTTAGTAAAGCAATGACAACTTACAGGGAAATGTTAGTCATTCAGTTTAAATGGTTGACTATCAGTAATAAGTTGATTAGATGGTTTAATAAAATGGGGTAAGGTAAAATCATTCATCACAGGTAAAGGTAACAGATTAATGAGCCAATTTCTGAGCATAAAATTGCACTTCCTTGTAATCTAGTTCCAGATGCTATTGTAAAGACGTGAGAAAGTAAAGCAACAGGCAATCTTCCCTCAAGTTTTTTGCTCATTCATTGGATAATGAGTTACTTTAACATCAAATTCTGGCACTTGACTGTTTCCCGAGCCAACAAATAACATGATATTTTCATTTGAGTGGAATGTAATATCTTTAATCTGTATGAAGAGAGGAGGATGATGAAAAGGAGAGAGAATGAGAGAGAAAAATTGGCAATTTGAAAGTTTACATTGAAAAATGAAAATGACCAACGGTTTAACAGTTATACCTTTTAACACTACTTACAGTAAAGATGATGTCCATAACTTGTGAATGGCTAAAGTCGAAAAGCATCCTTTGACATTGATCCATACATTTGAAAAAATCACCATGATTATCTCCATGAAACCCAAATAAGGCCACAATTAAAGATCCGGGGCGTAACTTGAATTTTTTCCTCCATCCTTCTGTTTTTCATCCCTCTCGTACATCTACAGAATCATCTTCATTTCTTCCTTCTTCCTCACCATCATCATTATCATCAACAAAAACATCATCTTTCACTTCTCACTCTTTCCACAGACTTTAGCCACAGACTTGATGGTTGCCAGAAATATTTTTAGTCCTCTTCATACTCGATGAGCATACATTCAAACGTTACTTTAATAAAATGCATTGCTCAAGTTTTGTATGTTACAGTAGTTTCTGCATTATTTTTTAGTGCCATCTATTGATCATTAGTTATAAGGTGAGCCTTCGTTATAATTTTTGTTATCTTTCACTTCGTTACAATTTTCCAACTTTCATTTAGTATATTAATTATTATTATTTTTGATTGTTTTTCATCTTGATCAGTGTTTTCATTAAAGTTAACAGTTATCTTTAACATGGGACAAAAATTTCCTCTTCACCTTTAATGATCAGCTTGTTTGTGAAAACAAATTTATTCCTATAATTTTGCCCTCTATTTTTTTCTCATCTCTCTCTCACTCTCTCTTTCCTCTTCACTTTTGTTTACAACTATTGTATAGTTATTTATGCTGTTTTCTCTATGCTTTCTTTTACCCTTATTCCATCCAACATATCATATCCAGATTTTTATGAACAGTTTCATTCAATGGATCGAGCTCAAAAGAAAGAGTTTCTTAAACATAAGATGGAACGACGGCCTGATCGTCAAATCTTAATCCAGCAACATATATTGGAGGATACGGTTAATACAGTGAGCCCAACCATCCATATTAAACAAAGGCAGTTGAAGAAGGCTCGATTAACGGATGATTTAAACGATAGGCTATCCCATAGACCTGGTCCCTTGGAACTTGTTAAAGGAAACATTTTACTTGCTGATAGTGAATTTGTTCAAGCAGTGAAAGAGGGGCAAATACAGTTTAAAGCTACTTCTGAAGGAAAGCCAATTAAACACCCACCTCCAAGGTTTATTATCAAGGAAGAAAGTAGTTCGGATGATGCAGCTTCGCCATCACGACCAAGTGACAAGCCGATTGATTTTAGTAATGATACGGATTTAGGTTCATCCTCATTCATTCCTACTACGACAACAGTAACAACGACCAATTTTGAAATAGCAACTTCTAGTTCTAATCCAACGGCTAATATAAATATTACCGATAATACCAAAGGCGTCAATAATTGTACTAACAATAATATCTTAAGTTTAACTCAAGGTATTAACTTAATTCAACCCTCAACCAATCCAGATAGCACTCAAACTCTTACTCTTGGTACTTTTAATTGCATTCCAATTGCCTCGACAGCCACGCCAACATTATCAACAGTCTTTCCGACTTTCACTTCTATTGCAACCAACAATGTTTTATCTAACAATCAATGTCAACAACATTCAATGGGAAATACTGCCATTGCTATTAATCCACCAACTTCAACCACCTTTTCCAATTTCACCTCATCACCAACAATTAAAGAAAGTGGACCGATTTTGACCAAAAATCGTAAAAAATCTAAATCTAAGTCTCAACCTAAGACTAAAACAATCAAATTCCATGAGTATAAGGTATGTGGAACCCCTTTTTCCTCTCAATAATAAGCAAATTAATTTAAAGCGTGAGCAAACACCGTAGGTGTCAATGGTTAAAAAAAGTTAATGTGACTCCACTTGTGATTAGCTTTACGTTATCCATGAAACATTGGACGAGAAAAATTGTTCTCAAGCCAACTAAAAATATCATGATTACTCAGAAGAAAAACAAGTTGAGCTTAAATTCTTTACATGAATGTGAGTTTCAGAAAAACTCTCAATTTCTCACACTCCATTTAATAAATGCAATGGTCAAACTTTTTTCAAATATATCGGTGAATGAAATTAACTAAGGAGAAAAATATTGTTTCTAAATCTTGTTTAATTGAAATATTTATCCAAAGAGATGCCTCGTAGATATGATAAATAAAATTCTAGCTTTGCTCTTCATTTTCATCTAATTTCAAATTCATTATAGTTAGTATCAATTATTTTCAACTAATTCAACCCCGATGAAAACAGATACTTTACGATAATCAATCTTATTGTTTAAACTGATAATCAAGCAATTGGATAAATTGAAATTCAACTTTGTAAACACAATTGTTTTTTGGTTAATCATTGCTGTTTCGAAATGCTGATTTTTACATTTGATTGTTGCATTTTAACCTTTGATTTAATCTTTCTTTCATTTCATTTTGTTAGCGAAATCAATCCCAGTTTTTATCAATTTAATTTATATATTTTCACAAATTGCAACCAAAATGTTTGTTCTATTTTTGTTTAGATAAAAACAAAACTCAGAAACCTTCTAGATGACGAGATTGCGTTGATTCTCATTTAGCCAATGCAGAACCTAATTTTCACTAATTTTCACTAATTTATCCTCTCAATCTAAATTACATTTTCTTTAATCGATTCGATCAATTTTCAAGGCAATAATTAGAAAAATTACGGCTAATCACTGGTTAATTAATCTATTGAATCAACATTTTGTCCAAAATATCTGTTTAAGTAGTTAGGTGTTAACCTCATTTTTGCATAATCTTCCGTAATAACTAACAAGATTCACATAATCAATTTTTAATATCTCCACGTATCCGGATTATTATCATGTTAAATATAAATTTTAATCTAGGTACAGTTGTGATAAATTACTGAAAATAATATCACATGTTTTGAATAATCACTATCACTGTTAGCTGTTAGCTAATGCTACATAGGATTGAACTCAGGATTAATTGGAATGCTCTCAACTTGTTTACTCTATTATTGCTATTTGTCATTGTTTATTTACATCTTATTGACTGACAATTATTTTTTCTCTTTTTTCTTCTTTCCTCCTCATTTTCATCTCCATCTATTTTAGGGTCCACCAAGCGCTCAAAAGAACCAATCATCTTCAAATAGTAACACTGAAACGTCCTATGAACTGTTACTCAAGCAACAACAATTATTTCTCCAATTGCAACTGGAATGGCAAAATAAACAACATTACACACAAATTATTTTACCCTCATCTCAGGTAAATTTTCCAATTAGCTATCAACGATAAATAGGAGTTATTTTAGTTTGTTAGTCAAAGGCTGAAAATATCACAGAAAATATTAGTCTTTTATTGCACTTTTTTTCTTCAACTAATATTGAACTCGAAAATTAGCAATTCAAGATTACTCCGAACTATGGTTGACCTAGAATTGATCTAAATAATCTTCCATTGGACTTTAAACTTGCGAGTTCAATCTCTCCATCTTAATGCTCTCTTTCCCTTTCTTGATCTCTTCACATCAATTGATCTATTTTTGTTTTTTGTTCTTGTTTCAACTTCGTCGACTATAACTCAATAGAAACACTCAGTTGGAACAGTTTCCATAAAATAATGTACATTATATGATTATTTTTACTCACTGATGAAGAGACTTGAGACTATTTCCGCCTTTTAAATAATATCCTTCGTTGACTTGCAACTCAATATCGTTTTCAAATTCTAATTTTTCTTTTTTTCTCTCTATTACAGAAAGCTAACATGGACCAAAGCTCTACTGCTACAAACTACACTATTGATAGTAATGGTGGTGGCAATTCAAATAGTACTACCAATAATGATTTAATGTCTTCCAATATGCCGTCCAAAAGTGCTAATTCTAATAACATTACTTCAAACTCTTCGAATGCAAATGTTATTAACAATTTGAACACTGGTAATATTATTGTAAACAATAGCAGTAATACCTTTGTTTCTGGTAATGTTGCGACCAACCAGACTAATTCAATTACGCCAATGATGATTACTACCTCAGCTCATCCGATATCAAATGTTGAACTCAACAATAATCAAAATCTTATCTCAGCTCAATCTGTTAATTCACCTTCAGTTAATAGTTTAAACATTGGGTCCAATAATGTTAACAATAGTGTTAATAATTTAGGTGGAATTGCAAAAATTATAATGAAATTGGAAGATATGAAGGTCAGTGATTTGAAAAGTGAGCTCAAAAAACGTAATCTTCCTGTTTCTGGATCTAAACCCCAATTAATTGAACGACTTAAACCTTACGTTGAATCTACAATCCCTAATGGAAGTTCATCAAATGATAACAGTTGTATCGATGATCCGATGTCACTTTCTACCAACAACAACAATAATAATAATAACAATAATAACGACAATAACGATAACTATATTAACAACAATAATAATGTTAATAATGCAATAATAATTGGTGGTTCAGATAAGACCAAGATAAATATGAAAAATTCCCAACTATCAGTACCAATAAAATCAGAACCAGTTGTATACTTTAGTATATCTGAAGGGAGTTTGAATGATCATCAAATGAAGAGAATGCTTGATTTTCGAAAGAATTCAGTACATCACCATCACCAGCAGCAACAACAATTGATTCCCCAATCACAGCTTTCTCAACAACAACCAAATAGTCAAACTTCATTTCAACTGCAATTTCAGAACCAGTCTGTTTTTTCAAGTCCATCTGTCACCATACCATTGTCTGCCTTGGCTAATTCACAATTACAGATTGTAACAACTTCGCCAGCTCCTTTAAGTGAGCCATCGAGTGATTCAAAGTTGTTCCAGAAGCAATTTTTGTCAACTAATCAAGCAAAAGTGAATAACTCGTTACCTAATCAATCAGCCAATCTAGCTGCCATATCACCAAGTAATGCTTCGGCTTCTGTTAAAGCTAGTCTAGCTGTATTTTTACAGCAACAAAAAACTCATCAACAGCACCTTCAATTTCAACAGCAGCAACAACAACAGCAACAACAGCAACAACAGCAACAACAGCAACAACAGCAACAACAGCAACAACAGCAACAACAGCAACAACAGCAACAACAGCAACAACAGCAACAACAGCAACAACAGCAGCAACAGCAACAACAACAACAACAACATCTATTTCAACCTCAACACCAAAATCACCGTCTCCAGCAACAGCAACAGCCACAGCCACAATCGCAGTTACAGCCACAGTCCCAGTCGCAACAGCAACAACAACAGCAGCAGACGCAGCCACAACCCCAGTCGCAACAACAGCAACAGCAAGATATAAATGGAACTATTGATTCATTGTTTAATGACCTGTTAGATTTTCAAAGTTCACCCATGAATGTTGATTATGCCTCTTGGTTGGCTGAAATGATGACTGATAATTGTCCATTCAAGTCATCGGTTAACTCTTCATCCTCTCATTCAACAAACGTCCTCAACAAACAGTCATCGTCCATGGATCATGATCCTGTACTAGCAAACAATTTTGCTGAAACTTGTCATTATGGTGACCCACTGATTGATTTATATTTTGGTAATGAGAATGAATGCCGTGAAACAAATGATCTTACAAGTCTAGGAATGTGGGATAAAATTGATTTTACTGCTTGATGATTTAATTTGTTTAATTATCGCCTTGATGACCGGAAAAACAACACAATTTAATTTCAATATGTACATGATGAAACGCAGATATGAATGCATAACAAATGATATAAAAGGGAAATAGTTAAGAGATTAATCTCTTTTACTTTGCTTTCCAAGAGTAATGCTTTTTTTATTAAACTGTTGCAACTTTTTTGATGCATCAAATATTTGGCAATTGATTACCTTTGTTTTGTTTAATTTAATGTATAGAATATAATAAATTTATTAATTATGAAAATAATATCAATATGAAATTAATTGTTGAGTTTGTAAGGTTTTACGAAAAAGTTGTGTCAGCTTATGATTTCTCACGATGAGCTGAAGTTTGTTTAGCAGAACCGTTGATTATCCTTTTGTTAATGTTTCATGCCTAAGACCAGTCAATGTTGAATATTTCTCCTGTGTTAGGGATCGACTCATTCATCGAATTTTTTCCCTTTTAAACTTATTAACTTTTAATCTTAAAGATGAAGACCAAAAGAATAGGTAAAGTGCTAATGTTTGGATATTTCTGGATAGCTGCATATTTCTTTTGGAAATGATCTAATTTATATCGTGAATTATTTAAAAAAACAGAAAAACTATTTCCCTAAAAAATGGTGAGTATCATTTGACAATCCTAGATTTGAAAAATCTTTTTTGTTGCATTTGTCAGTCAATTTAACAATTCAATAATCAAACAGTAAATTTCAATGGTGTATATCGTTGATAAATGCTGTGCATATCTTTATTTGAAATCTATTGATTTTCTTTTCTTCATTTTCTATATTTTCCAAGGTGATCGTATTAATGGTAGCAGAGAAACCATCTTTGGCTGAATCATTGGCAAAAATTTTATCTAATGGTCGTTATCAGACACGTAAAGGTGGTAATGGAGCTTGCTCGATTCACGAATATCATGGACCATTTCTTGGCTATAATGATGCATTCTTTAAATTTACCTCTGTTTGTGGTCATGTTATTTCAGTCGATTTTCCCGGTAAATACAATAATTGGGATAAAGTAGAGCCAGTTGAGTTTTTTGATGCACCCATCATTAAGAAAGAAGCTGATTCACAGCTGCATATGCCAAAGTTTCTTCAAAGCGAAGTTTGTTCAGTTTGATACATGATTGACAAAGAAGAGAGTTCAGGTCTAGCTATTGAACCTCATCATGTTTTGTGCTGCCAAACCATTTGTTGATGCAGCTCTCCACCGAAAAGATGACCACATTTTAAACTGACTATTCGATGATCCGTATCCTGAACCCAGGGCTCCAAGCAAATCGAACACAAGGTTAAACCAGAATAGTTTTGACTTTGGTTGTCAAAAATGGTGGAAAAATAACTTTCGAATGGACCCGCGCTTGTCTGAGTTTCTTTAGACGATGAACATTCTGTGAATGATGAAAATTGAAATGGAATGAAAAAATTAATAACCATGAAAAACATTTAACCTTTACTTACCTTCTACTTCCATCAGGGTCCCAAAAAAAGACTGTAAACAAAGAGTAAAAAGATGTTCAACAGGATAATCAACTACCAGAGGTAAACAATTTAAAGGATAAAATTCTGAGCTGTTGATTTAAAACTGTACATTGTTTACGACGAGTTAGGTGGGAAAATAATGAAATAGAACTTGGTTACTATAGCCGGCTGTTTTTTTCTTTATTAGGGAGGGAAATTTAAAATGGGTAAAGGTAAGATAAATAATTTGAATCAAATCTAATTGATTAAGAAAAATATTTATCTCTCATTGATATCAAGAATTGAATTTAACATGAGCTACACTCTGCTAATCGATTGAGATCATTTGTCCTGGATTTATTAATGATATTCACATTTTTCATCTTTAAAAGACCGCCATTTCTCTAACTCTCAAACTATCAGATTTTCTGTAAACATTTGCGTGATTATTAATTTATTGAAAAGATGTATAATTGTTTTGCCGATCTCCAAATAAAAGAATAGTACTAGAGTACTTCGGAGAAATTCAGAAAGTTTAAAATTTCCATGTGATACACATAAGCTTCTATTCGGCGGTTATTTCGAAAAAAGTCTCTCGGTTATAGATTGTAACCTTGTACTGGGTGTCTAATAATAGGTGAAAATTTTGAAAACTATGATATAATTTCTTTTCAATTACTGATTTATTCTGAATTGAATTTGCGTGATAATCAGGTCAAGATTTGGTAGCAAAGCAGATTGACCAAATGGAAGATAAACGGTAGATAAAGATTTTTTTTGAAATGATACTCAATCCAGTTTTCTGCAATTTTCAATCTGTTTGGTTATTTTTTCAAAGCTGAAACTATAATACATTATTCAGCATACTCAATTAAATTTATTACGCTAAGATTTAGCTGGCTTAGACGGCATCTTCATTATTTTCAAAAAAAACACTTATTAATCATTTACTTATTCAAAATTTTGTGGACGAACTGGTTATTTGAGTTGAAATAACAGTCAAAGTCGCAACAACAGCTTCAACAAGATATCAATGGAACTATTGATTCATCGTTTAATGACCTTTTAGATTTTCAAAGTTCACCCATGAATGTTGATTATGCCTCTTGGTTGGCTGAAATGATGACTGATAATTGTCCATTCAAGTCATCGTCATCACCCACTGATTGATATACAGTGGTTTCGATTGCGCTGAACCAGTTTTCTGCATTTTGTATTGTGCATTATCTTTATTGTCTCTGTAACTTTCGTTACAGTTTCATGCCCGTTAAAGGTGAATAAGGTAGTGGAAATAACTGTTAAAGTTAAAAATTTAGACATGATTTCAAAATTAATTTGCGACAGAATGGATAGACTTACACTTGTTAGAGTTACCATTTTTTTAGATATCAAACTGGCAACTTAACTCAACCTACTCATGACATTTGAAGTCAATCGATCAAGTATTTTAATCAGACTTTTATTAATTGAACTCGCAAAATATAAAATATTTTGGAAATTTTTATAGCGGGCAGTTTGCCATTATAAATCATTTATTTGACCAAACTGTAAATCAAATTCTGTCTAGACCAACAGCACAAATCATCCTAAATCGTTTGTAAACACAAGGAACTTTTAATATAATTTAGTCAAAGGACTCGGTAAAAAGTCCACAAATTCAAAAGTGGCAAATAATAGCGGATTATTGAAAACGGCCTCAAAAAAGACGATAGTTATCCGAAATTAACTCTAAACTTGATCAAGATCGCCAGCATAGACTAAATTATGCAAAAAAACAATAATTTGAAAGGAGTATTTATAAAAACTCTGACTTTTGAGTTATGAGTAGGGACTTTGGGGATTTTTTGGGGCATAAAAGCTGAGTCCAATACTGTTATTAAAAAATTTCTCTGATCGACAGTTTTCGAGAAAATCGAGGTCAAAGTCGTAACTTCGATCTCCTTTTGAACAGTCAAAAAACAATTATTGTAAGTGCGATCATTATCGAAATATTCAGGCTCAAAGTTTTTAGGCCAATGGCCAAAATCAAGAGAACTATTGATAAATTGAAAAAAGTGTTCGATTCGTGATATGTACCAGCAATTTTTATCACCAAATAATAAGTTTCATCTCTCTTACTATTACGGTCTTAGATCGCGGTCGATAAATCTTATTCCATAACTGTTCAAAGGGAGATCGAAGTTACGACTTTGACCTCGATTTTCTCGAAAACTGTCGATCAGAGAAATTTTTTAATAACAGTATTGGACTCAGCTTTTATGCCCCTAAAAATCCCCAAAGTCCCTACTCTTAACTCAAAAGTCAGAGTTTTTATAAATACTCCTTTACGAAAAAGATTCAATCACTTCTGAACCATAAAAACGCCAAAAAAGGCAAAAGTTAGAAAATTAAACAAGGAGTTAGCGAAAAATTACATTGAAAATGAAGTTAAATTTAAAAAATTGAAAGTTTGACAGATTATTTTCTTCGATTTTTTATGAGCTAGAATGTGAATAGGAAAAGGAGCAACTTGTGGTGTATTATGAGTATTCAATTAACAAAAATTCACAAAAATAAATTCTTTAAGTAATCTGGTTGCTGAATAATCAGCAAAACAATTTATGTCTAAATTGCTATTTCCACTAACTTATTTCTGAATCGCTCAAAAACGGATGAATATCTATCCGCTTTTGGTTTGCGTCAGCGCAGAAATCCTCAAAGAAGAACAAAAATGACCTTTTTGTACTGTTCGATAATTTTGAATTCAAAAAAAGATTCCGAATGAATAAAGAGACCTTTCACGTGCTTCTTGATCTCATCAAAGATATCACCACGAGAAAGAAAATTATCAAAACTTTAGGATGGACTGTTTAAAAATAAGGAAAGGTTCCCGCATCGAAATGTGTCACTTTTTCGACTTTGACAAGTTTTCATAACCTGTGTGGATAAATCATGGGACTTTTTGGTTTATTTCTTGTATCTCGTAATATAATGATTTAATTTTTCTGAAAATTCAACATATTAAGTTTGGATAGTGTAGCTTTGATATCTGAGAAATGCACAAAGAAAAGAAAACTCTTCCCAGGACTTTTGGAAACATCTCCATGTTACTTTGCGTTACCGCATTTGCTTGCGAAGAAGCAATTTCCCAATAAAGTATCGACGAATGGCTTAATTGTTGTTTAACTGTCCCTGCTTGCCCTTATCAGTTCTCCGTCCAGGTCATTTTAACATTAATCTGTCTGGACAGCGGAAATGATAAGGAGATGAAGGAACACATAATCCGTCAATGGATTATAATTAAGTCAGTTAACAATAATACGATGAAAGGCCCTGAATTAGAGCAAAGCAATGAATTCCTTGGAAAGAAGAAGAAAAGAAAATGATAATTGAATAAAATTTAAAATGAGTATTTCAATGGCAAGATTGCATGACAAAGGAAAGACATTTATGGATTGTTAGGTGCAAATTGAATGAAAGGAGGAGGAAGAAGAACAAGAAAGTTTAACAATTTCAATGGACAGACAAACGCAAACATTGAGGTTAAATTGATTGTAACAAATGACAAAATGATTAAATAAATTGTGATCAAATGGAAAGCAAAGTCTAATTGTAAAGGATGTTTAGTAGGAAAAGGAAAAAAAATTGTCTTACTTTGACTGGATTAACAAAAAGATGGATAAAATGACGGTTTTTGGTGACATTTTGATGAAACAATTTTGCTTTTAAACTTCGAGTTTGGAGTGTTTTTTTGGCATTTGATTTGTTTTGTTACGGGTCAAATTGGCCTTGAAAATGTTAAGGGTTAATTGTGATTGGTTAAGGTAAGTAGAGTCAATGAATGTGTTGAAGGAGAAAAAAAAGAAAGAAATTGAATCGAAGGAAAAGAAGAAATAAAGAGGCGAGAAAGGAAAATGGCGGAAGGATGAAGATGAAGATAAGGATGAGGAGAATATTGATGATAATGTAGAAGCACAGAGAGACAGGGATTGCGTTTGGAGAAAGGGAAATGGAAAGGAGAAGAGGAATGAAAGAGGATGGTAAAGAGCAAGTGGATGAGAGCAAGATTTTTATAGGAGCAAAGTGATGAGGATGATGAAGATGATGAAGATGGAGAGAGGATGGGAAAAGAGGAGGAAAACAAAGTGAATATATAAATGTATATATGAAGAGGCAAGAAGCATACTCACAATGGTGATGTTGATGTTGACTGAGAAAAAAAGACAAATGGAAGATGGCGATGATTAACATTATTATCATGTTGGTTAATCATGGTGAGTTGAGATGATATCTGGATGAAAATGGTTCAGGTTCAGGGCAACATGATGGTAAAGTTGATTTTTGGTCAAGTTGCAAAAAGAAACGAAAAGTGTTGAGGAAAAAAGAGATTTTTCAGTCTTTTTTCCTCAAAAAAAACTCTTTTCATATTTGAATTTTCTGAGGTTTCGGTTTTTAGGTTTACAATTTCATTTGTAATTTGTGACTTGAGATTGATAAGGTAAAGTTGTAAATGGATAAAATGAAAGGAATGTTTCAAAGGATTTTGTGTGTTGGAGTTTGATTGGAACCCAAATTTGGACAATTTTTCAGTTGCTTTGGGTTGAAAGGTTGAGATTGGTAAATGTTTTTACAGTGAAAGGGAATTGAAAGTTGCAAAAAAAGTTGGAGCTGACTGTTTGAAGCTTACAGTCTGAGAGACTGAAAGTATCTGGAGCATTCCGAACAGAAGCATCAGATGAGAGTCCAAAAGGAGGATCAGAGAGATGAGAATGAGAAGGATGATGGAGAGGATGATAAAGAAGTAGAGTATTAACAGTGTAAATCTAATAGGGAAAGGGAGTGATAAAATAACATTGAGACGACTCTGATGATGCTTCTTTGTTGCACAAAATGCGATCGATGGAAACTTTCATCTTCATCCAACACTTTCTATCCTTTCTCCCTCTTCCTCCCTGTCTCATCATCATCATTATAATCATCATTTTCAACTCTCAATTCACTCTCACCAAAAACCGGCATCAATTCTCATCATCTTTAAGCCTGTATAGAAAGAGGAAGACAGAAAGAAAGAAGAGAAAATACTAACGCTGTTCTTCATACATTTCATCTTTCTCATCTTCATCATCTTCTTCCTCTACTTCTTCTGTATTACTCCTTCATTTAACTTGCATTTTCCCTTGAGCTGGTTTTGTATTCAACAATCTCATTCCCTTTCCTCTTCCTCCTCCTTCACCCACTTCATTCCTCCTCTCATTTTTATCCCTCTCTTCCTCATCCTCATTCTCATCCTCATATGAGAGCGTGTTTAACAATGAAAGGGGAATCACAAAGAAACGTAAAAAGTAGCTGATGATGAGGAAGAAGAAGAAGAAGAGGATGAAAATGATGAACATTGAGAATGTTCAAGTAACAATTGAAAGTATTAAAAAAAGCATTTAGATTTTAACTGAAAAGTAAAAAGATGAAGATGAAATTTTCTCAGACTCTCTGTTTTTACCTCTCAAAAAATGAATAAAAGACAAAAGAAAGTTGCCTTTTTACAAGAGAGGATGAAGATGATGAAAAATGAAGATGAAAAGTGCAATAAAGAAAAGAATAGAGAATGAAAATTTAATTGCAAGAATGGTAGCAATAAGGTTGAAGATTAATCAAGGTTCATGAAAAGGAATCCATTTGAAGAAGAAAATTGTTGCAAATTTTTTTCTTCTCTCTCAGCATCCAAAGACAATGATGAAAATGGTGTTTTCAGTTTCAAGGATTTTGTGGTTTTCCGGATAACAAGCAGTATCTTTAACTGAGAAATAAAATCAATCTGAATAAGCAAACAAATAGAGCATGAGAAAGAATAAGATGAAAAGGATGATGAAAAAAGATGAGGAAGAAGAAGAAGAAGACAAGTTTTTATCGATTTTACTTGGCAGCCATCAGCTCATCATCAGCATCCCTTCCAGTAACCAAAGGTCCTTTAATGCTCTCTAACAGTCTTAAAATTCACTCCAGGCTTTACATGTTCACCTTATCATCTTGATTCATCTTCCCCATCCTCCTCCTCATCCTCATCATCTCTTACAGTATTGGTCACGTTTGAAGCAATTCAATGGCAAGAAAGAAAAAAAAAACTTTCAATACACTTTCAATGTATTATTTCATTTAATATCATCATTTTGTTTCCTCTTCTGATTCCCATCTTCTTGATCAGTTAATTTAATTGATTAAAAACGATTGACAATGAAATGTACAATGAAATAAGTCAACAAGAAGAACAAGTAAAAAACATAAATAAATAAAAATCTTTACCATTATAATACTTATTATCCTCATTATCTTCATTATTATCATTGTTATCATAAAAAAAACTCCAAGATGTTAAAACAAACTCCCAGCAATGTTTTTCAATCTCGCGTTATAATTTTATTACAACTAATTTGCTGCCACTTTTTGCCTTTTCTGGTTAACTTTTTTTACCCATAAAATGACTGCAAATGTTTTATTCATTTAATTGTTTTTATCAATCTCAAATATTGTAATAAAATTATCCAGCACTGAACGTGATAACATTCCCTGGAATCAAAGTTGAAACTTGAAAATGTTAATGACAACAATAAAGGAACCAAATTTTCATCCAACAAAGTTGACCAACATTTATTAAATATTTAAACCTTAATTGCTTCAGATTACTTAACATTTTTTCCCATTCCATCAAGTTTATTCATCCAAAGGCTTGAGCTTTTGTCTGCACCCGAAAAAAAACTCAAAACTCTGGACATTTATAATGCATGATAACAGCAAGAAGTGCTTAGAACAACTTTCATCTCTGAATCATTATCCTTTTTTTTCATCTTCACTTGACTCATGTTGTTGCAGTAAAAACAAACTTCTCAACTGGTTGTACCATTAATATCATCATGGAAAAGGAATGGAAAATTATCTGAATAGCTGAGCAGGGAAGGCAGAAAAAAACGGAAATTCATTGCAACTCTTTACATGCACAATTGTAAATAATCTTGGATTGGCTTTCCAATCAAATGTTTATATGTTAATATAATAGGAAAACTTGAATAAAGTTGATCGTTATTATCATCATCTTAATCATTAAAATAATCCGGAAACTCGTAGAGGAAGTTCATTGAGATTCATTGATGATCATCATCAACCAATGATTCAGTTCAATCAACCAAAAATACATTTTCCCTGATTAATACAGCAAGGTAGTTGATTCAAGAGCATCATCAGCCAATTCTGATAATGAAGGTGAAAATGTTTCATCTCGTTTTTTTTGTTCGTTTATTGATTAAAATCTAATGCCATTATTGATATACCAAGGCATTGCTTTTGTCATTCCGTTCATCATCTTTCATTCTTAATATGATAACGTGAGATAATTCAAGATGATTGGATTGATTTCAAATTTCCTTTTCCTTCCAACTCGATTCGAATATATATTAACCGTTTTAATGTTGAACAAAGTGTTGAAACTTAATGAAACCATTTTCATGAGCAACACCAGTTTTACCGTTAATATTGTCAATAGCATGTACAATTGGATTGGGAATGGAATGGAAGGAGAGAGAAAAATAATTTACTTGTTTCAAATGGAAATCATTGAAAGGTAAACAATTTACTCAGTTAACCATGAAATAAAAAAAAAGAGTAAATAATTTGCTTCTGTTTAATAGCGACTGATATTTTGTTTAACTAGCAATTACATCAGTCAATTTGTATAAAAAAACCTTAACTAAATGATGAAAAAATATGGTTTTACGTTCAATGGACTGTTCAGTTTATTGGCTTTTATACATTTACCAACCTTTTATTAGGTAATGGCATTTGTTTGTAACACCCATTAATACAAATTGATTGTAATCAAGGTTTAAAACCGAAAAATTGCTAATTATATATCGAGATGTTTTCGCTAACATTGGAAATAAGTTCAAGAAAAATTACATCAATGAGCTAAGTATTGATGCAAATCAACTTTCAAGTTCAGTTCTAGACTAGAAGATGATCAAGAACCTTTCACTTGATTGAATGAAATGAAATTCTTGCTCATCAAAACTTGTGTCATGATATGGTTAAGTTATTAATATAACCAAACATGAATCCGGAAAATTGGTGCTGAAATTTAACTTTGGAAAGTTGAAAGCTTATTAAGAATTAATTTGCGAATTCAAAAGCTGTTACAATTTAATATCTTGATGATTTACAGACAATTGTCATTCGCTTACTGTTGACAGTTGTGACTCGATGGAGCTTAAGATTCAGAAGCAAAAGATCAGATGTTAGCGTATGAATGTTGAGCTGAAAAACACGAACTTAAATTTCAATTTACTTTCGCCGGAAAATGAAGAAGACAGGGAAAAGAATCGTCAGGACACTGGATGAATTAACTGTTCTTGAACCAAGATTAGCCCATTAAGAGTGGATGGGACGACGCTAAGAATGAAGAAGATGGTGAAAATTTTGAAGACACTTTTCAAGTAGAAAGTTATTCCTACACAGTGTACATTCATCGGCTTGAGTTTTGACTTAATATGACCAATGAAACTGTTTCAGATTACCTTTGATTTTTGTTACTAATTGTTGATCATTTCGAGATTTCATGAAATGATCTTAACGAAATACTCTTCTTCTTGTAGGTTGCTATTGCATTGGTTAAGATACTTTGAACCTTTTTCTTGTTGAAATGCTTTTTGGGTTAAATTGAGTTATTGAAATGAAGCTCACATTAATTTATATAATATCATTATCACTTTTATTCATTATAATGTTGCCTCAATATTCAATATGAAATATTGAAATGTTAATTGAAAAATTTGATCAAAATTCTGTTCAATTACCAGAGCATTTTAATTGAATTTACAAGTACAAAATTGACTTTTCTTGATGTATTGCAAGATTATGTTTAAGGTTAATTATAATAGAGTTCATTTTTGATCATCTAACATTTCATCTTGAACAAGTTTTTTGATTGTAAATAAGTTTAAACCTTTTGTTTGAGTTTCAGACTTGGAAAGGTTTTTGCTTCAGAATTAAAATGGAAAATAATTCTTGAAAGGATTCAACTTTTTTGTTCAGATTGAACATTGATAAATCACGGTAAAGAAACAGATTGTTGCAAGTTCACGATTAAAACTGGTGGGGATGGAAATGTTGGTGAATAAGAGGAAAAATTAAGATGAAGTGCACTGATTAGTTGAACAAGATCAATAAGTTTTACTGTAAACTGAACCAATTTACTTTTATGATCAGTTTCACCAACAATCAAGTACAACAATTGACTCAACAGCAAATTGAAAAGCATTTTGAGAGTGAAATCAATTGATCGCAATTGTTTTTCAAGTGTTTAGCTACAAAACAGGAGAAGTAAAAGCTAATTTCTCGAAGCAATTTTGATATTGAATGTCGAGCTAAATGCTAATTATGAGAGATATCAGACAATCTTTATTTGATCGAAGCTAATTAAGATGCTCAATTAAGAGAGCGATTTGATCAGGAGTTTGATACATTTTTCGGTGAATCAAGATGAACATTTGTCGAGTCAACTAATGAAAAGATCTGTCTGATGATGAGTATCAAGACGATGATGACGAGTAAAATGAGGATAAAGAGGAAGAGGTTAGCAACAGAGGGAAAGGTTAGATTGATATAAAAAAATGGTGAACAAATATAATGGAAGGCAAAAACTCATTGATCCATATTGTT